CAAATACGTCTGCTTTTTTTATGATGAAACATACCCCAAAGTAGAGAAAATTATAATAGTCTGTTACACACTTACCTACCCATTCTGTTCTTATGTATTTTTATGGGAATCCTAGACGTCTTGTCTTTGAACCCTAACTTCACAGTTCATCTCTAATAACTAAGAGTTTCTTTTCTTTTTCATGTAATCACAATGCCACCATCACACTAACAAAAGTAACAGAGTTTCTTAATATCATTTAATATCTAGTCCATAATAAAATTTTTCCAATGATCTCGAAACTTTTTTTCTAACAGTTGGTTTGTTCAAAGCAGGATAGTAAGTAGCCCCACATATTGCATTTAGTGAGACGTCTCTTTAAATTCTTTTAACCTAGAGCAGAACTTCATTCCTTTTGTCCCTCCCCTCCACTATCCAACATTCTGCCTTAAACTACAGATTGTAGCTCATCTTCCTTCCTTCCCTCTTTCTCATTCCTCCTTCTATCTTCCTCCAATAAATATTTATTAAAATCCAAGCCCTGTACTGGGCATTGAGGAGACTCTTCGTGGTTTCTGTCTTCCTGGAGTGTATATCTGTGTCTTCATTTCTCCAACGCCCTTTAACTCTGTTACATGAGTAACCATCCTGAAGGATACAAAGGCACCTCTCTTTCTCCTGCTCAGAAAATTCAAGCATTTCCCATTTTCTGCAGAACAACTGTAGAGACATGACATAGATGGGAACTGGACTCCCAGCTCCACCTGGTCATGGGGCTGAACCAGGCAAAAGATACTTGGACTTTATCTTTGGGCACCACATTTTGGATGAACCGGATAGCACAGGCACTTCTGTAGCAGCCTAATTTACACCTTGAAATTAGCAAGAGCACTAAGTAAGAATACGAGGCCATGACGTAGTTCCTGTTATTACCACCACTCTCTGTGCCACATTAGAATTGAGGAATTGCTGTGGGCCCCAGTTCTTGCTACTTGCTCATGTGAAGACTGAATAAAATGATACATCTAAGCTCCTTCGTATGGTGCCCGGCACAAAGAAGGCACTCAATAAAGCATAGCTTTTTAACTGTTATTAATAAAAACATAAAAATAAAATAAAATAAATCAAACACACCTGTGCAAACTTTCATGAATTCTCCTAAGTTATTCAGTTTCACGGAATATTGCTGGGCAATCTATGGCTAATGCAACCCAGGAACTGAATTTTTAATTTAATTTCAACTTCCATTTTTTTTTTTTAAAGATTTTATTTATTTGACAGAGAGAGTGAGAAAGCACAAGCAGGGGGAAGCAGTAGAAGGAGAGGGAGAAGCAGGCTTCCCACTGAGCAAGGAGCCCGATACGGGGCTCAATCCCAGGACCCTGGGATCAGACACTTAACCGACTGAGCCACCCAGGCGCCCCTAATTTCAACTTCCATTTTAAGAGCCACCCATGGTTACTGGCTACCATGTGGGGAAATGCAACAGTCAGCAACTCTGACCAGGTCCTATTTGCCTTTTCACATGCTATTGAAAGTGGGAAGCCAATTTGTCTAAACAGTTTTGCCTACCCAACATCTCTCCTTTAAGTATCAAAACCTCTCTTTTCCATTTGGGTAAACCCTGTCCTTGATATTATCTCCTGGGATGGGTACGTCACTCTGGCTTGGCTTGTGGTGGGAGTGGGGGACAATAACTAGGCCAGATTGGTCAGGGTCAGTCTTGAGACTCTTGTAGGAACTATCTAGAAAGAGATGCTCTGTCTAAGGTTGCTCTTATGTGAAGAGAACCTGCCTGGAAATTAAACCATCAGAGAAGAAGATGGAAGCAGGGGATGGACAGTTTCTTGATAACATTATTTGAGTACCTAGATCCAGCTTTTCCTGAAGTCATTACTATCACTACACTTTACAGTTACATGAACCAGTAAATTCCTTTAACTAATGCCATTGTGAATTAGGTATATATCACTTGCCACTAAAAACATCCTGACTAAGAGACACTCTGCCATCTACCTAGAATCCCTTTGTATTTCTTATCCACCAACTGAGAATTTACTTTAAAACCCAGCACAAATATCACCTTCTCTGTGAAGCCTCCCTAAAGCATGAAGGCAGAAATAACTGCTTCCTTTGTGGTGCTTCCATATCTCCCATTATATGTTTATCTCTGCAGTGAACAAAGTATATTAAGGCTGAGGTTATAATTCACCCCTATTCATCTCTCTTTCATCTTTGTAATGTCAGTACGCACCATATCCTAGCACACAGTACTCATTCAACACGTTTGGTTAAATTGAAGATGAATCTCTTCTACTTTAAGTTATTATAGCCTCATATTTTATGTAGTTTGTTGCTGCCTTTATCCATTAAGATAAGTATGTTTCTTATGTTGAGCCATATGAAATTGCTGATATTTGACATTTTGGGCTCCAAAAGCAGCAATTTCATACAGTTCAACATAACAAATACTGACAATTATTATAGATATCTTAAAGGCATTTACCATATCCACAGTCAGTGGTCAGAAAGCTACAAGCCTAAATACTAAGATAATAAAGGAGCAGAACAAATGACCAGTACTAAGGAGTGTCATGCATATGTGAAATGTTCATTTATTTAGCAGACACTTAGACTGCACTTACCTTATTCCAGGCACTATTGTAAGTGCTTCACAGGGATCAATTCATTCCATCCTCATAACGAGCCCATGAGGGGGGCACTATTATGATCCTCATTTGACAGATGGCAAAACTGAGGCAGAGAGGTTCGGTATTTTGCCTAAGGTCACAAAATGATAAAGTGACAGAGCCAGGAGTCTAACCCATGGAGTCTGACTCCAGACAGGGTCCTTGTTCTAAAGCACACATTATGCTAACTCTTAACCACAACGCTACATGGTGCTGGCAGAACTATTAGAGAAGTCGTCTATCCAACACAGTCAATTGGAAGTTGCTTATTGATGTGAGTGCAAGGAACCCACGCCAGCTCTCTATTTACTGCTGCATAATACACCTCCCCAAACTTAGTGGCCTAAAACCACAACCATTTATCATGCTCTCGAGCTCCATGGGGCAAGGAATTAAGACCGGCACGAGGGGATGGCTTGTCTCTGCTCCATAATGCCTGGGACCTCAGAGGGAAAGACGAAATGGCTAGGGGCTGGATGACTTGAAAGCTGAGCTCAGTTGAGTCTGTGGACCCAGTACCCACATGTAGATCCTCCAAACAGCTTGAGCTTCTCACAACATGGCAGCGGGATTCAGAGAGGCCAAATCCAGAGAGCAAACATTCCAAGAGGAAGAGAATGAAGTTGCAAGGCTTCTTTTGACCTAACCTCTGAATTGGTGCTGCGTCACCTTCTATACCTAGGAGCAAGGCACCGAGACCAGCCCAGATTCAAGGAGGGAGAATTAGGCTCCACCTCTGTGTGGGAGAGGAGCAAGGTAACACAGCAGGTGAGAAAGATAGGGTCACAGCACTTTTGGAATCATAACTGGCACAGAGTCACAGAGACTGTTGTCAGAGCAGTAGGTCCTGGAATATTTTCAGCTGGAAACTACTGAACCAGCAGCTTGAACACTAGGAGGGGTATTATCTCATGAAATGAAAGGGCCAGAGGCAGGGCAAGTCCAGAATTATTTAGTTGTTCAGTGATGTTCATCAAGGCCCCCAGTGCTTACTATCTTTCCACCCTGCTACCTTTAGCACATCCAAAACGTTTCAGTCCTTGGTTGTAGGTCGGCTGCAGCAATTCCAAGCATCAGGAGACAATGTCAAACAAAGAAAAAAGAAGGATATTTATTCCCACAAAGCTCTTTATTTTTTTTTTAAGATTTTATTCATTTATTTGAGAGAGAGCATGAGAGAGAGAGCACAAGCAGGGAGAGCAGCAGAGGGAGAAGCAGACCCCCTGCTGAGCAAGGAGCCCAATGTGGGACTCAATCCCAGTACCCTGAGATCATGACCTGAGCCGAAGGCAGCCATTTAACCTACTGAGCCATGCAGGTGCCCCCCACAAAGCTCTTTAAGTGACAAAGAATAACCTCCTCCCCAAACCTCATAGCCAACTTAGCTTCAGGTCACATTGGTCAGGCACCTGACCTTGCCTATGTTCACACCATATCTGAAAAGGAAGCAGGGAAAGAAAGGATCTAGCATTGTGGCTTCATAGTAAGAAGCGCTTCTGCTAATAAGAAAAAGGAGGAAGGAGAATCACCATTGAGTCACCAGTATCTGCCACAAATACAGGTAACTATCCTTTCACTTAGCAATTATTAGCTGATTGCTAATCATGCATCAGGCACAGCACTAAGAGGCAGGCAGAGCAATGAATAAGACAGACAACATCCCTGCCCTCATAAAGCTTACAGTCTGGCATGGAAAAGAACATGTAACAGGCAATTACATAATTAAATACAAACGTGATAAATGCTATGAAAAGAAGTATGCAATCAATGCACAATTTGCTATAATAAAAAATATTTCTTCCCAGAGGTTTATTGAAATGAAAGACAAGAATACAGTTATAAAATCTAAAAGAAGCACAAGGTCCTTAGTAAGCCTAAAAAGGTAATCATTGAAAACTATGAATGCTCCCATTGTGTAGGAGAGTGAAGCACCATATATGGCAGATAGACATGTCCTCATCAGTAGAAGAGTTACTCCACCAAGGGTCAGAGACAGTTCATTGGGATTTACAGCAATCGCAATGAACTCTCTGAGACTATCTGACCTTCTATCCAACTGCATGCTCACCAAACAGACTTCGTCACTTACCTGGACACCAGACTGGAATTTTCCAGTCTCTGCAAATCTATATCTGTCACAATAAAATGTTATTTTGGTCGATTTAACGTGGGTGTGAACAGTCTTAGGCCTGATCCCTTTTCAGTGACCTGAAAACTGAGCAGACAGATCTTCAAAGCCAAAAACACAGACTGGGAACCCCCAGTGAGCCCCACTCTGTGCATTCGCAGGATGGGAAGCTGGCCTTGCCCATGACAGCACTAAAAACCCACCTTATACATTCCTTTGATAACAGCTATGGCATCAGCCAACTGCTGATTGTAGCATTTTCTTATGATGTCCTCATTCTGCAAACCAAAAATAAGTACAATGAACACCATACTGAATTTCCAAATATGATTCTCTCACCCTACTAAAGGACTCAGTATAAAACCATCATTCAGATCATCACAAATCTTGTGAAAACTCCAATTTGTAATCATTTCTCCAACACTATAGCTATTACACTGCATTCAATTTTTTAAAAAGATTTATTTATTTATTTTTGAGGGAGAGAGAGCACGCACATGAAAGATTACATGCATGTGAGCAGGGGGAGGGGCAGAGGAGAGGGAGACAGAGCATCTCAAGAAGACTGCAGGCTGAGCCCAGAGCCCAACACAGGACTCGATCTCACGACCCTGAGATCGTGACCTGAGCCGAAATCAAGTCAGCCACCCAACTGACTGAGCCACCCAGGTACTCCACACTGCATTCAATTTTTACTTAACTATAAGCAATAGAGAGCTCAAATGGATAAAATAAATATAGATAATTTGAACATTTTATTTCACTTTACATATTTAAGTCTTTTTACTGTCTTCCTAGAACTGCTCTTAAAAATAGTAAAACCTATTTGTAATTCATATCCTCTCCTGGTCCTTGTACCTTTTGAATGGGATATGCTCATAAAAAGAAATCTAGAGCCACTAATCCATAAAACAGAGTCATTTTCTGATTAATCAAATCAGTTGACCATTGTTTTGGATAACAATGGAGTGCAAACAACAATTAGGCTTTAGTCAGACAGAACTGGATTTCAGTATTATTGTGCCACTTTCAATCTGTCTGACCTGAAGCAGGTTACTTAACCTTGGCATCTCAGTTTCCTTATCTGTAGATCAGGAATAATCGGGTTTCATTTAAGCATTGTTGAGGGACTTATGGAGGAAACACATTTAAAAGGCTTATAGTGGTTCTCAGAATGGTGGAGTCAATAGAAGATGAGGGGTTTGTGTGTGTGTATTATAACTGAGGAAAAGCAGTCCCTATTCTTAATGACAGATAAATATGCTAACCTGACCAAAGAATTTAGGAAATTCCTTGAAGCAGCTGAGTTTTCAAGCCTTTGGCCCTTACAGAGATAATAAGTACAAATAATATCCTATAAAATTGTGCTTAAGAGCCAGATCTCAAGCATCAAACTGTCTGGCCAGGAAAATAAACTCTGCTGTTTAACTGGTGGCCTTGAGCAAGTTAATTAAACTTCCTGGGCTTCAATTTCCTCATCTGTAAAAGAGAGATAATAATTGCACCTACTTCATGAAGTTAGTGTGAGGATTAGATTAATTTGCATACAGAGTACTTACAAAGTTCCTGATACAAAGGAAAGCTATTATATGGATTAGCTATTACATGAGACACAACATATGCAAATTAAATTGCCCCCCACACTAGTTGCTAAATTCAAAACTGTAGTACATACCTATCTAAGCACAAGATCAATCCACATATAAAACAAAGGAAATAAGAGAACTTGTACCTCTTGATAATGTTTTTCGATTGTTAGGATCCTGTCATGTAGAGCAGTGAAGAGATTGAAAGACTCTTCTTTAAGACTGTCCTCAAATTTCAACTGAAGCAATTGTTTGAGGAACCCAAAATCCACTTGAAGAGATCTAATAATCTGAAAAATGGAAAAACATACATTATTGAAGAGAGTAAGGGCACTCTGTGTAAAGATTCTAGTACATTGCCTGGTTCTGGGTGTAGAAAAGCAAATTTTGATACGTCTCTTTGGCATACTGATTATTTTAGGCTGATTATTTTTAAGAAACTGCAAACGCAGGAGAAACTCCAAAACTGAGTAGAAGTTACCCTTTTATAAGAGACATTTACATTTAGAAGGGAAAGCTCCACTTGTAAGGGTGCCTTCCCTAGCTATACCAGCAAGAAGGGGATGAGTTAAAATCTCTAGAAACTCTTATGCAGATTTAAACCTGCATAACCATCATATCCTTGTTTATTGTGCTTTTCCTCATAACCTCGCTTAACTGCTCCCCTCCTCCCCCAACATCATCTTTTGTCTTTAGTTGAAGGTGGTATTTAAGGCCATTTCAGAGAGTTACTCAGTTTTCCTGGGTCTCTCACTTGTATTCAGGAGGTGTACATGTTACTGAATTGTTTTTCTCCTGCTAATCTGTCTCCTGTCAATTTGATTCTTAGACCAACTAGAAGAATGTTGAAAGGTAAAGAAAAAATTTTTCCTCCCCAACATGGGCATATGACCTGGAATGTAGTTAGGGGCCTGTCCTGCTTTTTAAGAATACCTCTGGAATATGGTATACATTGGAGAACTCCAGTTAATCTGCTAAATTAATATATGCTAATGGAGTAAGGGAGAGAAGGTTCTTGGTCATTTCTTCCCATCCAGGATAAAATACCTGGGTTAACAACAACCCTTTATCATACCTCCAAAAGGTATAGTTCAAGATGCGGATGTTAAATCAGAAAAGATAGGCAAAAATCAACATTTGTTGTGAATTTACTAGCCAAGCAAACCAGCATGTTGACTAAGAATCATTTCTGATCATCAAAACATATAATGTGTTTTTGTCTCCCATCATCTATTTAAAATGTATTCACTAGGCAATCTTCCTCTGCCCTGAATGGAAACTCTAATCAATTCCAGGGCCTTTCTGCTCATTCTTGGGAATAGAAAATCCTACTGTCACTCAAAACACAGCCTCAAAGTGGCATTTAGAATATTATTACCATGAGTTAAACACATTCAAAGTAAGACTGGGAGATCATTGCTGCTCCTTCCTCAGCCCCTATGAATATAGAGCTTTTTTTTCTTCTTCCTACTGTTGGGGGTCCTCTGTTGTTTTAGATCATTCTACTGGATAGGGCCCAGAATGACTCCATGATGATGCACTTTCTCTCTCTCTTTCTCTTTCATAGGCCACATATGGTCCATAGGAAACAATCACACATTCCTCACCCCAACAACTTTGGAAGTATAGAATGATCCCAACTTAGCGACTCCATCTTCCTAGTTTCCTTAAGCATGGATCAGCACCAGTCCTCTGTGTTTTCCAAAAGCAGCAAACGTACTTCAGGTTCCATACAAGCCTGCTTTACTAGCTTTGAGTTGAGGAAGATCGTTTCTGGTACCTCTTCCCCTATAAAGAGCATGGTAATAGCGCTTTCTCAATCAGTAATTTTTCCTCTGCACCTCCTGACTCTTTTTTTATTATCCTTGATCTATTTCAAAAGCTAAGAGTCATTGATCTGATATGCAACATTCCTTTTGCAAATCCTGCAAATGGGATCTAACTCAAATTCACTTTGGAATTTTATACCTGGTGTACTAGCATCCTGGAAAGAATCTCATTTTAGTATCCTGAAACTATAGATAAGATTTTATTTTGCAGATGAGGATAATAAGACTTCAAGTGGTTAATGACTATCTAATGCAACATTGCATGACCAGTAATGGAAGGCCCAGATTTAAACAGTTATGACTGACTCATAGCCCTATTTCTTTATATCATGTTGTCAACTCACAAAGGGTACTATGTTGACAAGTCATTTTTAAAAAATATTTGAAAGCAAGTGAAGTCTTAAGGAATTCCTTAAATTCCAGGAACAGGCAGAGATGACTTTGCCTTTAGAAGACCCAGTCCTGTATGGACTGCATGTTCTGAGGAAGGAAGGCACAGAAATCCTGTATGGTCAAACAAATTCCACTGGATCTAAGACTCCCACAGATCACTATAAACTCTAGATAAAATAGGAACAAAACACAATCATTATTCTGGAGAATAAACAGAAGCAGGAGAATCCAGGAGGGGATTCAAAAATTGGAGGAAGGAACTGATGCAAGGAGAGATGCCTGCTGGGGTGGCTGTGTTCGGTGACCTCACAAGGCAGCCAAAACTCAAATAGAAATCATTGGCCTTTATGGTCTGAATAATAAAGGGACAGAGCAACCACAGATGCTGGATGTGATTGTGTGGGCTTCCTAAAAAGAAAAAAACCAAAGAGAAGGAGTGCAAAATCTGTATATAAACTCAGAACAAACCTCTGGGTGATCCCCAAAACACACATACATAGAACAGACTGTAAGCAGCCCAAGGAGATTTGGGCTGTCAACGAAGAGACATTTGCAGTTTGAATCCAAACAAGTTTATTATGTGCTAAAACAAAGATATCAACAGTCTTCAGGAGAATATGTACATAAATATCAGAAGCCAGAACATAACACTCACAATACCCAAGATATAATTCAAAATACCTGATTAAAAAAGAAAAAAAAAACCAGGAAAATGTGATTCAGTCCCAAGAAAAAACATCATTGAGACCAAGACCAGTATTACCCAAATGTTGGAATTATTAGGCAATGATTTTTAAAGCAGCTATTATAACTATGCAGGAGGAAGTAAGGAAAATATATGCTTATAACAAATGGGGAAAAAATAGGCAATAAAGAAAACAAACAGAAATTCACGAGTTGAAAACTAAAATGTCTGAAATTAAAAATTCACTGGAAGAGTTTAATAGAAGAATAAGGATGATGGGAGAAAAGTATGTGAACTTGAAGATAAATCAGTAGAACAAAAGAAAGAAAATTTTTATTTTATTTATTTATTTTTTTTTAAAAAATTTTATTTATCTATTTGACAGAGAGAGAGACAGCAAGAGAGGGAACACAAGCAGGGGGAGTGGGAAAGGGAGAAGCAGGCCCCCCACAGAGCAGGGAGCCCAATGAGGGGCTTGATCCCAGGACCCGGGGATCACGACCTGAGCTTAAGGCAGACGCCCAATGACTGAGCCACCCAGGCGCCCCAAAAATAATTTTTAAAAATTTAATAAGTGAACAGAAATTGGGGACATGTAAGTCCATAATCAGAGGTATAACATGCAAGTAACTGGAGTTGCAGAAGGAGAGGATACAAAGAGTAGGGTAGAAAAAAATATTTGAAGATATAATGGCCAAAAAGCTCCCAAATGTGGTGAAAAACAAAGATTCAAGATGCTGAACAAACCTCATGCAGGATAAATACATATGAACCACACCTAGGTACATAATAATTCAACTGCTGAAAACCAAAGATAAAAAGAAAATCTTTTTTTTTTTCTTAAGTAAGCTCTATACCCAACGTGGGGCTTGAACTCATGACCTCAAGATCAAGAGTGGCATGCTCTACTGACTGAGGCAGCCAGGCACCTCCAAAAGAAAATCTTGAAAGCAGACAGAAAAGAAAACAAGTACATACAGAGGAATAACTTTTGGGATGATTAAAGTTTTCTTATTAGAAACCAAGGAAGTCAGAAGAGCTATGCTACAGTGAAAAGAAAAAAAAAAATACTTATCAATCTAGAATTCTATAATCAATGCAACATTTTAAATAAAGAAAACTATGAGAATTTATTGCCTTGACTGAGAATTGCTAAAGAAATTTCTTCAGGGTAAAAAGAAATATTACAGGCTGGAAACTTAGATTTTCAGGAAAGAATGAAGAGCATTGGAAATAGTACATATCCAAATAAATATAATGGATTGGTTTTTCCTCTTATTTGTGTAAGATATATAAGAATGTTTAAAGCAAACATCATAAGCTGAGTGTATAATGTATGTAGATGTAACACATATGATAACCCTGGCATAAAGGACAGGGGAGGGTGGTAAATGGATCTATACAATTGCAAGGGTATTACATGTTATGTGAGGTTGTACAATACTACCACTAAGTAGACCATGCTCTTTGCTGAAAGAAGAATCAAGGGATCTTTAGGAAGAATGAAAATTAAACTCGAAAATAAGTAAGAGATATAGGAAGTAATGGTGAGAAAGAAATTAGTGAATGTGAGCAAATCAAAACAAATATTAACTGTATAAAATAATGATATGAATAGGTAACTACAAAAATATTAGAAAAAGAGGTAGAACTGACATACTTGAGAATAATAATATGTAAGATAGGGGGTGATTATAGATAAAGGTAGTAGGTTTCTTGCATTATTTGACAGAAATTAGAAATTCTGGCTACATGCAGACACTGTAAAACCAAGTGCACATGTTCAAACTGGAGGCAACCATTAAAAGAATAAAGATACCGTGATTAACTTAATTCCCAGTAGAGGAGAGAATAGGTACTAAAGAAAGTTTATCAATCCAATGAAAAGTAGGGAGGTAGGAAAAAAGAAGTATAAAAGAAGAAGAAGCTAAAGAAAAATTACAGAATAAGTTGGCAGAAAAATAAAAACAAAAATAAATAAAATAAAATAAAAAAAAAAAATAAAATAAAAACACAGTAATTATTAGTATTAGTAATCACAACTAATATTAAGAGAATAAACTAGTTGTTGAAAAAGATTATAAGATTGGATATTTTCTAAACCTACTATCTATAATCTGTAAAATTATACCTAAAATGCAACACAGAAATGAGGTCAGTGTAAGAACGAGAAAGATTTACCAGGCAAACACTATACCAAAGAATGTTGATATAAGGATATTAGCATTGAACAGAATGGCAAAATATATATATTCACATACATATATATACACACATACACATATACACATACATATGCATATACACTCTCAACTAGTAACAAATGAAAATTATTTTTAATTTCTTATATCCAGGGCACAATGACAAAGACTGACCTCACACGAAGCCTTGGTACAAGTTGCAAACACCAAATAATTTGTCTCACAAAGAATTTTCACTGATAACAGAGGACTGAATTTAAAAACCAACAACATAACAATAACTAAAAAGCATACTTGGAAAATGTTAGAGCATTTCAATCTAATATTAATAAATATTAAAAGCATTAACTAATAAAAATAATTAGTATTACGAATACTAATAAAAATGCTACATTTCAAAATTTGTGGGGTGAAGGTAAAGAAGTAATTTGTGGGAAATATAAGCCTGTAAATGCTTATAAAAGAAAAGAGGGGGCCACAAAAATAATGATCTATAGGCATTGTAGCTGACAACCACTATCCATTACACTGGTTCTTCCTTACTGAGAGGACTAGGACTTTGTCCAGACAGAAATATGTCCAACTAAAATGCTCACTACTCTAGAACTCCTCCCAGTTAAGGTGGTCAAGTTAAGGCCAATGATAAATAAGCTGGGGTTTTCTATAGAAAGTTCCTGCTTTCCTATCATGGCCACCACCACCAGCCCTCCCTACTTCTCTCATAGTCTCCGTCCTGTATGAAATGCAGATGGAGGCTGGAAGTGTAGCAGCCATCTTGCTACTGTGAGGTCAGAAATATGAAAGCAAAAGCCATGCACTAATAACAGAGATTGAAAAAGATAAAACAAGTGTGGTATATAGATGACAACAGAGAGCTACTGCCTCAACTACAGATGTCTAATTCTAAGTGACTTCTTATTTGATTAAGCCAATATAGTTGCATTTCCTAAAAATAGAGCTTTATGACATCCTAACTGATACTGAGAGCCAACTCAAGGAATCAGAAAAAGAAAACAAAGTGAACACAAAATAGTAGAATAAATTAAAAAATAAAGATAAGAAATTTATGAACTAGAAATAAAGATATGATAGAGAGGATTAACAAATGTAAAAGTTGGGTCTCTGAAAAAAAATAATGAAATAGATAAAACTGCCAACATTCATCTAGAAAAAAAAGAAGAGGTATGCACACAACATTAGCTTTTTATTTTTTAATATTAAAATTTAAAAAAATAGGTAACTACAGACACAATAAAGATTTAAAAATAAGACAGTCAACAATATGCCAATAATTTGAAAACTTGACAAAATAAATACTTTTATAGAAAAACATAATGTCAAAACTGACCCAAGAGGATTTAAGAGAACCTTAATATATCCATAACAAGATAAAAATAGCAATAAAAATAAGCACATACAGTTTTGCAAGCAAGTTCTAACAAACATTGAAGAGATAGATAATTCCAACCTCATGCCAACTATTCCAGAGAATAGACTAAGGAACATCTTCCAACTTATTCTATGAAATACTATGACCTTGGTACTGAGATTGAACAACAATAGTATAAGAAGAAAAGAAAAATATAGGACAGTCTCTTATGAACATGAATGGAAAACAATCATTAGTAGAATTATACAAATGATGCAGAAAACAGAAGGAAATATTATAGTCCCGTTGGGTTCATTCCAGGCTTACTGTTCAAAAGTCAATTTTCACATCATCACATAAAGAAAAAAAAACATATGACTCAATAGACCCATGAAAAGCATTCAAATCCCGTCATTCATTATATTTTTTAGATGCCTTTCATCAATTAAAAATAGAGGAAACACCCTTAATCTGATATAAGCATAAGAATTTGGTTCAGCTGGATTTTAAAAATCCAAATAACAAAAGCACAAAAGAGAAATAAGTTTATTTCTCTTTCACTAGAAATTGAGTAGGCAATCAGGGGTGAAAATGACCTAAGATCCTTCTATCTTATCACTATACTGTATACTGCCTCAAAATCAGGGCACAAATGGTAGCATCCGTGTTCTAGGCACAGAAATAAGGAAAGGAAGGGAGGGAAGGAGGGAGTGAGGAAAGGAGGAAGGGAGGAAGGGAGAAGAGGAGGAGGAAGTGAAGTAGCAAACAGTAAGTGCACGGTGAGCTGTTTCTTAAAGAAGGTTCCCAAAGCTGCCACATAATATTTTAATCTAATTCTACTACCAGAACTTGGTCATTTGGACATGCCCAGTTGCAAAGAAAAAAAGTTATAAAACTTTTCTGAAGGTATTACTAGAAAAGGCAACAAACTGGCAAGTATGTAAGAAAAGAGACACCTCCAAAAGTTACTAGTGGGGGTGTAAACTGGTACAATCTCCGTGCAGAGCAATTTGGCAATATCCTTCAAAATGACTAATGCATACATCTTATGACTCAGAAATTCCACTTTGAAGTTTATGCCACAGATTGGCTGGCCTCTGAATATGTACAGAATTCTTCATCACGGTAGAAGATTTGAAACATCCAAAATGTCCATTTTTAGGGGAATAGCTAAATAAATGATGTACATTTTATGATGGATAGATACACTTGTGAAAATGACGAGGACACTACCAATATGGGATGATTTTCAAGTTATACTGTTAAGTGAAAAAACAGAAACAAAGTACACGAGAGTATTTATAGTAGTATGCTATCCAGTGTGACAGTTTTATTGATTAGGGATTTTAATAACTCTTGATATCCGAGGTGTATGAAATGTTCTGTTTCTTTACAATCAAAAAAGATCCAAAGGAAATATGGTGGAAAGTCAAGATTTGACAAAGCTGTATGGTGGGTAACACAGTGATTCATTATATTACTCTCCACATTTTTCTACAATCCAAAAGTATTTCATAATTTCTAAAAAGTAGCATAAATAGAAAATTCCAAAGAGAGTAAAAACATACTTCACTAAACTGGTTAACATATATAAGCATGATATAAATATAAACAGTAGTTGATACAAATTATTTTTAAAAACACGACTGTCGTCCAATTCAGCTTATAAAAGACGCTAAGATTAAAATTTTTAGTCATTTCAACTCTGCGAAGGAAAGAGACATCAAGGCAAACAATACCCAAAATAATCTCAGAAGTTTGAAAACAAATCCAATTTACCCGTATTAGCTTTTCTGTAGATGAACTCAACTCTTTTAGTGGCAGAATTTCACTGTAATCTGTTTGAGTAGCATGATCTGTGCAGAAAAAGCCAATCTTCAAATCATCTGAAATACTAAGTCTGGAGAAAAAAAAATGGAGAGTAAAAGTGCCAAGAAGTGCCACAGCCATCTGGTGACCACAAGTGGGGCCAGCCAAAGGGCAACGCCAGTACATAGATGATGAGTTTTTTTTAAAAATCAGAAATAATTTTGACTACCAACTTTGTTTAGCTATTGACTCAGCTAGCTCTAAAACCTGTCATACCTCTGGCCTTCCTGCAGTGTCATATAATAAATGCACCAATTGGTGAGAGCGTCTGTCAGTCAGAGCTGAAAGCATGCTGATATCCTAGCTATGTGACATTATGTAAATTACTTAATCTTTCTGTGCCTTAGTTTCCTCTTATGAAAAATAATAGTGCCTATTTCATAGAGTTATTGTCAGGATTATTGTGTTAATATCTAGAAGTACTTTGAATGATGCATGTCACTTAGTAAGCCCTCAAGAAATGTTACCTGGTTTTGGTGCTGTGGTGGTACTTGTTACTATCAACTACTGTGTTCTGAAGTATATTTTTTCATCTGGTTTGGAAAAAACTTTTGAAGTATAGTAATATTCAACCAAGAAAGACTAAGTTTAAATTTATAAAATTTTTAACACTTAATATGATGATTTTTCAATTAACCCCACTCAATTTTCAACTAAGCTTCTACACACTCCTTAATATCATAGTGATGACAGATCTCATCAGTAGCATTATCCAGATGGGGAGGAAACAGCAGTAATATTGTATATCTCAGTTTCAACTAATATTTCTGGTGTTTTTCCACAGAAAATTATATTTTAGATTTGCTCTAATTTCATTTTAGGAGCCTATATATATTTTTTCTCACTACCAGAGTACTGTTAGAAGAGGCAATCTCCTTGGATCCTGAGTGTCCCTGCACATTCTTTGTGCATATGCCAAGAATGCAAAATCCTGACCACTCTTTCCACAGGCCATTCCTCAGAATTTTGTTTGCAGTGAGCAGCCTTAAAGGATGAGGTAATGCCTTTCTTCTGCCAAGAAGCAGGCTGATAATCTTTACTAGGAAAGTGGTGAGCTCAGGGATCACTTCCTTTAATGCAACACACTGTGTATATAGGTATCTAGGATGGGTCTTTACTGTCACCCTCATGGCCCTGAGGGGGCATGGCAAATCAACACAAATAAATATGAGGGTCTGGATACTGTTTTTGCAATGGTGATAAAGTCCTTTGTCTCTGACCCAGGAGTCTTGTGTCTTCTGCAAATGGCCATGAAACAAGCAAACTTGTTAGCTTGTAAGTAGGGTAAGATCTCAAACACTGCAGAGTCCTGACCCATAAAATCCTCTCAATAAATGCTTGTTGTATTGAAAATTTTTTAATTTTAATTTTATTTTTTTTAAGTTTTTTATTTATTTAAGTAATCCCTACACCAAACATGGGGCTCAAACTCATGATCCCGAGATCAAGAGTTGCAAGCTCTTCTGACTGAGCCAGCCAGGCATCCTGTATCGAAATTTTTAAGACTAAGATATAGTAATTAACTAAAATCTAATAAATAAACTAAAAAGATCATCAATATTTAAAAATTTGTCTACCTAAAATTTGTAACCATTTTTGAAAATCATATGTGAAAACCACCACTAAATTATAATTATTATGTTAAAATTAAGTATGATATTGGACTACACTATAGAAATGGATGAATCATATGATCAATTATGATAAAAATTTTAAAACAATGTTTTAAAGCAGTTTATAAGAAATAAGAGAAAACCAATTTTTAAGTGGTGATGACATAATTTCAGGGAAAATGTTTTTGATACTTTTCAAGGATGACAACTATTATCGATGACAAATTGTACATGTGGCAGGTTTTTTTCTAGAACATGTGTTTTATAAATTTTACAGAAATTCTCTTTCTTATACATTTGGAAATCTTTTAAAACATGAAATAAAAATAAAATCCTTATACCTTCAAACAAGTGTCCCACAAAATATAGACAATAAAAGTTTCCTAAAATTACTATAAGCCTCCAAATTTTTGTCTTTTTAATCTATCATTCCCATGATTCCTAGAGGTATCTTACTAAAACTCAGGTTGTTTTACTCTCCTGCTATAAAGACTTTGATAGCCTTCCTTTGTCCAACAGAATTAAATTCAGTCTTCTTATTCTGACCTCCAAAATATAGGTGCAAACTCCTTGTCTGAGCTTCATGCATTTAACAAAGAATGACTGGGTAGCTAATGTTTGCCAGGCACTGTTTCTTGCACCAAAGATAACAGGAGTGGACAAGTCAAAGTCTTTGTTCTCATGGAACTTACATTCTAAAGGGAGAGACAACTAGTAAACAAGTAAACAAAAATATGTTATATAAAAATTATATTATAAACTATTGATTTATTTTATAATTTTATACTTTAGTTATTAATATTTATTTATAAATATAATTATATTATTATTTATTCACATAAATTTTACATAAATTTATATACATTTATAAATATTCATTTATACATATCTATTAATAATTTATTATAAATTATTTTTATAAATTATAAATTATAAATAAAAATATATTATGTAAAAATATGAGGCAGTGTTAAACTCATCTCTCATTACATATACCTGATGTACCATACTTACCTATTAAATGTTCTCAAAATATATCTACCTGGGCAGTACCTTCAGTCTAAGATACAGTCGTCCCACAGTTCTGCTTACTAAAACCATATGTAGTCACTTTCTTTTTTTTTATTTTATTTATTTATTTATTATTATTATTTTTTTAAGATTCTATTTATTTATTTGACAGAGAGAGACACAGCGAGAGAGGGAACACGAGCAGGGGGAGTGGGAGAGGGAGAAGCAGGTCTCCCGCAGAGCAGGGAGCCCGATGCGGGGCTCGATCCCAGGACCCTGGGATGACCTGAGCCGAAGGCAGACGATTAACGACTGAGTCACCCAGGCGCCCCTGTAGTCACTTTCTTTTCCATCTACCTATTCCTTCCATTCCCTTCCCTTGCCAGAGTGGAGGAATCAACATGGTGGCCAATGACATGAGTGAATTTCTTCATGATGAGAAAGGTTGGAAGCCATGCAGAGGCAAAGGCCAAGAATGTAGCAGGGGAGTGTGACAAATAGGAGCAGCAGCACAGAGCCAGCATGATTGGGAGACGGGGTACATAAAGGTAACAAATGTAAAAAAAAAAAATGAGGAAAACAGAGCATCAGCATTTGGCAATCACCATAGAGGTGACTCATTAAGGTGGGAGTTATCAATGACAGGTAAGGCTGGTCAGTGGAATTTGGATTAAGAAAAGGAAATTTTTTCCAAAAAATTAAAAATAGAATACTTTATGTACTAGCAATCCCATTTCTGAGTATATATCCAAAGGAAATTAAGTCATTACCTCAATATTTACACCCCCAGGGTCATTGAAACATTATTCAAAATAGCCAAGGCATGGAAATAACCTAAGTGCCCATTAATGGATAAATGGATATGGAAAATGTAATGTTTATATACAATGGAATATTCTTCCACCATAAAAAAAGGAAGGAAATCCTGCCATTTGTGACAACATAGATGAACACCGAGGGCATTATACTAAGTAAAATACGTAAGACAGAGGAAGACAAATATCGTATGATCTCACTTATATATGGAATCTAAAAAACCCAAACTCATAGAAACAGAGATTGGTGGTTGCAGAGGCTGAGGGGTGGGGAAATGGGGAGATGTTGGTCAAAGGGGACTGGAAGCAGCATATACCACATTTGTGTATGCTACTTCAACCCATTTTCCAAGTCCCGGGTAAGGCTGCCAGTTTTTGTGGGAGCCTGGAATAAAAGAAATCTAGACTGTAGTGCAAGCTGCCCTTCCACTTGGACATTATGATCCAGCAGGTAACAGCACTATTTGTCTATGACAAATAGTGGGATTATCTGTGATCTGGCAAGCACCACGAAGAAAATCACAGTAGAGACATCTAGGTTTTAGAGCAAATCATATGCCTTCTTCTATAGATGACTATTATCCTTTTGAGAAACAGCCCTGGCTTGCTATTAAGACTGAATGCATAAACATGAGTCATCAGGCCTGAGTTTCCCACGATAAACTGGGTTTTCTCTGACCCACCAAACTATAAAATTGGGCATGAGCAGCTTCAATCTCTTAAGACGGAAGTGACATAAGAGACCAGGCTCAAGCAGAAGGAAAAGACATTTCCAGGAGCCCATAGCCCCAGCTCCATTCCTCTTCCCCCCCCCCCCCAATCCATAGTTGCAGCCTTGTGGGAAGTTCTGTATGATCAGCTGACTGAGGAAGAAAAGACTCAAGCCTGGTTAATGGAGGGTGCTGCCATCAGAAGGGGGATACCTATAGTCCCACAGCTTCACTCCGAGGTGACCTTGAAGGACAGCCATGAAGGAAAATCCTTCCACTGAATAGAATTGAAGTAGTACATTTTCTTGTTTACTTTTTCTGGATGAGAGCTAGCCAGAATTGCATATCTGTATTAATTTATGTACTGTTGCTAAAGTTTTAAGGAAGGAAGAAGACTGAGAGATTGGTGACAAGAAAGTCTGGGGAAGAGTTCTGTGGATGACCCTTTAAGAAGGGGCTCAGGCTAGGGGCGCCTGGGTGGCTCAGCCAGTTAAAGCGTCCAACTCTTGATTTTGGCTCAGGTCAAGATCTCAGGGTCCTGAGATTGAGCCCCACGTCAGGCTACGGTCCTCAGTGCTGAGTCTTCTTGAGGTTCTCGCTCTCCCTCTCCCTTTGCCCCTCCCTTCACTCATGCTCTCTAAATAAATTAAAAAAAAAAAAATGGGCACAGGCTATAAAGATACTTGTGCCTCATGTGAATGCCCATCAAAGTTATCCACCACAGAGAAAGTATCCAATGATCAAGCAGGTAAAATGACACACACTGTGGATAGCAGTTAGTTTCAGCAACCATCCCAGTGCTCGCTCAATGGCCCTTGCATGAAATGGCTATGGTGGCAGGGATGGAGTTCAACAACATGGATTTCCCCTTACTGAGTCCGGCCTGACTGCTACAAGTGGAGTGCCTCATCAGCCAACCAAGAGATCAATACTGAGTCCCTAATATGCCAGTATTAACCAGTGGGGATCCACCTGGTGGCAGCCTGATAACACTGAACCTCTTCCATCATCCTCACTGGGATAGACATATATATGTATTCTGGATGTGGATTTGTATTCCCTGACCATAATGTGTCTGCCAGAACCACCATCCATTACAAAATGCCTTATCCACCCTCATGACATGGTACACATAATCACTTCTGATAAAGGTACTCATTTCATAGCCAAAGAAGCGCAGCAATGGGCTCATGCCCATGGAAATGACTGGTCTTACCATATATCCCATCACCCAGTAGTGACTAGCCTAATGGAAGGGTAAAATAGCTTACTGGAGATTCGATTATGGCAGTGGTGAGACAGATCCATAAGGGATGTGTTTCTGTCTTACAGGATGCAGTGTGTGCTTTGAATCAGTATGTGGTACTGTCTCTCCCATGGCCATAGGTCCAGGAACCCGGAGACAGAAGGGAAGTGGCTCCTCTCACCATTATGTGTAATAACCCACTCCCAAAAGTATCTCTTCCTGTCCCAGCAACTTTATGATCTGCTGACTTGGAGGTCTTAGTTCTCAGGGGAAGAATACTTCCACCCAGAAACACAGCTATAGTTCCATTGAATTAGATGAGATTTAATTGAGCTGATATCTAGCCGCTTGGGGGTCCTTTGGCGGAGAATGGGGTCTGGCTGTAGTGATTGATTCTGATAATGAAGGATCAAGTGGGTTGTTGGTATACAATGGAGTCAGTGAAGACTATGTCTGGAATCCAGGGGATTCTCTGGGGTGCTTCTTTGCATTTCCATACTTTTTATGAGCAAGCTATAAAGGCACACACACGAGTTGTGTCTTTCCACAATGTCAGCTTTATTCAATCATAAAGCAAAGTTAAATCACAATTATAAAGCAGGTTCAGGATTCCAAACTCAATGACATTTCACCATGTGATTAAACTTGGCTTCTTACACAGCATACAAAGCAGGACAGAAGACAAGCCACACAGCAAACTAGATAAACAGAAGGGTGTAGGAAGTTCCACGAACCAAACGCGAAGTCAGTCTGGGGGCGCGCAATTGAGATAAGGCCTCGGTCTGGTTTGGGTCAACCCTAGGCTCTGCCTGCTTCTGATGTTCAAGCAGGCAAGGACCTCGGTTCTGTTCGGAGATCCATCGGGCAGAGCTTTCAGTGGCAGTTGCCTTTTTTAAGTGGCCAGGCATAGAGGGGTCAGGTCTGAAGAGACTGACAGCTTCCTGCCAAAATCCTTTCCTGTTTAAAGGGATTTCATCGGCTGTGGGTCTCTGCAGCCCTCCTCTGTTGTCAGTTGACTTGGGTCCTGGCGATGTCTCCTGGCTGCAGTACCTTACCTGCTTGCGTCACTGCTTGACATAGGCCCCTGCTTGACATGAGAGACTCCATTTTACTCTCTACAAGTCTGTAGGGGAGCAGAATTTGCCACCCTAAAATACACCTCTTCGGCTTAAGGATTGTCCTGAGTTAGTTACTTTTAAGGACCAGCAGGCAAAGGAGAAGCTCTGAAAACAGAGTAGAAGTTGCCCTTTTGTAAGGGACATTTACATTTATAAGGGGTATCTCCATTTGTAAGGGAGTCTCCCTAGCTGAACCAGGAAGAGAGGATGACTAAATCTCTAGAAACTTAACAATGGATAAGGCAAGTACTTAAATCTGCATAACAACCGTGCCCTCCTTTACGGTGCTTTGCTTGATAACCTCCCATAATGGCTCCACCCCTCACCCTCTAACATCTTCTTTTGTCTTTAGGTGGAGACGGTATTTAAAGTGGTAGCTTGGGCCATTTGGGGGAGTTACTAAATTTTCCTGGGTATCTTCTGTGTATACAGGAGGTATACACATTATTAAACTTCTCTTTGGTTTTCTCCTGTTAATGTTTTATTACAGGGAGTCTCAGCCAAGAACCTGAAGGGTAGAGGGAAAGTTATTTATTTACTTATTTATTTTTAAAGATTTTATTTTTAAGTAACCTCAGCACCCAATATGGGGCTCAAACTCACAATCCCAAGATCAAGAGTCCCATGCTCCACCGAATGAGCCAGCCAGGAGTCCCAGGAAAGTTATTTTTGAGAACTCAGAACCTTTCAGGAATGAAGATTTGGATCTCCCAGCAGGGTGAAGAACCTCAGTCGGCCTGCATCTTTCAGCCAGCCGCTCAACAAGTCATCCCCATGGACCAGCTCTGGCCAGCACCCTCTGACAAGTTTCTTTGCCACCAGCTGCGTCCTCTCCCAAGAGGTCTTAATCTCCGCCTTGGATGGTGGTGGGAGTGAGGGTGGGAGTGAGGGGGAGTGAGGGTCTTCTAAGTTCTTACTTCCTTTCATGTTTACTCTTCCTCTGCCTTTGGGATCACAGCTCCATTTTGCGTTTGCTATTACAAGACTGCTTAGAGTCTTCTTTTACCACTTTTACTCCCTTTTACTAGTTAAAAATGCTTTTTGTTTAAATACTTCTTAATATTTAATAAGGAACAGGAAATATTCCCCCATTTCAATACTGGCGAGGTTTCTGCCTCCTGTCTAGATCTTGAGTGCTAGGTCATCATAATAAATACAAATGGTCACTTAACCTGTTTCTTTATATTCTACAACACTGTACATTTAACACACCTCATGCTTCATCCTCCCTGTCTAGAAATACAATCCTTTACCCTCCTCGGTGCCAAGCAGCTCCTTTTAACTATTCAGCTTCATTTTTCATTAAGCTTGAACATGTATGTTCTTTCTTTTCCATTTTAAGCAAAAAAATCTATTGTGGGCAGTAGGTTTATGGAATGTGGGTAGCTATTATGAATATATGTTACATGTCAATTACATCTCAATAATGCTGAAAAAGAAATAAGTTAAGAGTGTAAAAAAAAAACACCCAAATACATACATTTTCCAGATATGACTTAAAAACTTGGAATGTTTTCAGTTATTCCTTCTGGTATCGTAATACTATAACACTACAATACAATGCTTTAAAATCAAACCCAAAAATTTTATAGATACCTCCTACAGAGTGTTTAAAAATTATATTAAGCACTATTTATTGAGTGCTTAACTCGTCCCATGTGGTTTGTTAAGATGTATGCACTAACACACGCATTTTCCCTTCAGGTCTTCCTCCCAATAATCTCATAAAAGAGACTGGGTTTCTTGTTTCAAAGATACAGAAACCGGGGTTTGAAGAGAGGAAAGAATTCTTCTAAAATCATAAGCCTGAAAGGACAGATCCCAATTCTCCATCCCTAGGGAGAATAGACTCAGGGCTCTAAGGTCCCTTGAGTCTTAAATTTTTGTATAACTGACTCAGAAAGATCTGGCTCATTCAGAATCTAAGTGAAACACGAAGGTTCATTCTTCAGTTTCCTGTCAAATTCCAAATGTCTCTGATTTTAAATGGCAACCTCCTTGCCTAGAATGGAAACCCACATCACAACAAATTAGCTAAGTGGTTCCTACACAGGCCTTATTTATAGTCTCAGCAATTTGATTTCTGAATAATGGTTTAGTTGTTATGCATAAAATACAGTCTTGGAAAAATGACAATTATGTTTTTTGAATAAACTAGATACAAAATTAACATGTAAATTTAGTATAGAAAACAGACCCTTGAATATTTATTAATAGAATGCAATGACACTTCTCACTGGATCCTAGAATAGTCTATCCTAACAAATGCTTATTAACCAATTAGTCAAAGAAAATGGTGTTAGGTGTGCTAAATTTTCACTATGGTGTACTGTTCAATTTTAAATAAGGAAAACATTGCTTCACTCTTTTCCTCTTCAGGTCCTCCACCCCTACATCCATCTTTGTGCTAATTACTCCCAAATTGATACAGCCAGCCTGGACCTCTCTTGTGAACACCCACTTGAAGGGTAGCAGAATATGGCACCCCAAAACACGCCTCTTTGACACAGGATTATTTTGAGCTAATTATTTCGAGAACTGCAGATACAGGAGAAGTTCTGAAAACAAAGTAGAAGTTACTCTTTTGTAAGAGAAATTTACATTTATAAAGGATACCTCCTTTTGTAAGTGTCTCCCTCTCTATACCAGGAATAAAAGGATGAGTAAATCACAGGAGAATCTTACCAAGTTTTCTGGCAGAGCAACTGGAAGAACTATGATGAACTCAATTAGGAAAGACAAGAAGGGCTGGTGTAAGAATATCAGTAGTTCGATTTTGGACATGTTAAGTTCATAATACCCAATAGCTATCCCAAAGAGCTATCAAATAGGCAGTTTGATATGTAGGTCTGGAATTATGCGGAGAGATTTGGGCTGGAGATATAAACCTGAAGATCCTTAGAATATACAAGATAGTAAAAGTCAAGAGAAAGAAAATCAAGGACTGATTCCTGGAAGATGTCAATGTGTAAGTAAGAGGTGGGGGATGAAGAGAAAGAAGCAAATCAGGCTGAGATGTACAGACTAGAAAGGCAGGGGGAAAACCAGGTGAGTGAGTGATACCCTGAAAGCTAAATGAAGACAGAATTTTGGAGAAGAGAGTTCTCCATTGGGTCAAATATTGCTGATAGGTCAAATAAAATGAGATCTAAGAAATTATGTCTAGATTTATTCAAGTGAAAATCAGTGGTAACCTTTGAAAAATCAAATCCGGGTTAGTGGGAGTGAAAATTACTAGAGAGAATTCAAGAGTGAATGGGAGGTAAATCAGGATCAGTGAGTGTACATGGTTCTTTTAAGGATTTCATAGCTAAGAGGAATGATCATAGATGATTTAATTTTCTTGTTTAGTTCAATCCTTACACAATGATGATATAATATTTCTGTAATATATTTTGTAATATAGTTTTTTAAATTATATACATGTAGCACTAAATGTTTTTTAAAAAATGCCAGACCAAGGGGGCACCTGGGTGGCTCAATCAGTTAAACCTCTTGATTTTGGCTCAGGTCATGATCTCAAGGTTGTGGGATCGAGCCCCGCATGGTGCTCTGCTCTCAGTGCCAAGTCCGCTTGTCCCTCTCCCCCACCACGCACTCTCTCTCTCTAATATAAATAAAATCTTAAAAAAAAAAAAGGCAGACCAAAGCATTAAATCACAAAATTATACAACCAAAAGACTCCTTAAAAATTTTCTAGATATATAATATATACATAATATTATATAACATGACTATCATTTTTTCTCACGCTTAGAAAGACCATAGAAAAACTATTAAGTTTCAACAGCAATATTTCATGCTTGATAAAAATCATCTAACTCCAGGATATATCCAAAATAATTAGTCATATTAAAATTCTATACGAGGGGCACCTGGGTGGCTCAGTTGTTAAGCATCTGCCTTCAGCTCAGGTCATGGTCTCAGGGTTCTGGGATCGAGCCCCACATTGGGCTCCCTGCTGGTGGGAAGCCTGCTTCCCCCTCTCCCACTCCCCCTGCTTGTGTTCCCTCTCTCGCTGTCTCTCTCTCTGTCAAATAAATAAATAAAATCTTTTAAAAAAATTAAATTTAATTTAAAAAATTAAAAAAAATAAAATTCTATAAGAGAGGTATAAGGGGTTTGGAATGCAGAAAATATTCCTATTTTGTAAAATGAATTTTCGTAAATTATATAATATGAAGTCACTGTTGAAAAATTTGGTGTGGTGCATACAAAAATATAATCTCTTTAAAAAGGAAGGTGAATAGCATGCATGCAAGGTCCCTTCAAAAGAAGATTCACTGCATTAGGAACATCTTGGTTTATAGCACAAGGATCATCAAATCAAATGTTTATATACAATATGGGACAAGCTGACATACGAAATCTCTTGGTAATATTCAGATCAATTTGAGGGTCCAACATTTGAACACTCAAGCTCAATGGAACCAAAACCAAAAACCTAATAGCTAGCAATTTTGTTGGTAATAAGATAGAGTGCCAGTGTAGCAGGTAACTTCCTTTTGCAACTCAGCAGATATTAAAAGCATTCTAAAATTTGCATAAGACATGACATCAAACCGAACACCTTAAATATACTTTGTTAAACAATCAGTACACTGTAGACCTAAACTCATTTTTTCAAATGGCCGCATGTTACATTGTCTCATAGGGGTGACAACTTACTTCCTTATTGACGGCTATTTAGACTATCTCCAACTTTTTGAAATGAGAATGCTATAATAAATATCCTTAACATATCTGTCATATTTTATATAAACAATAATGCACAATAAATGTCCTTAGAATGTGTTCGTGTGTGTGTGTGTGTGTGTGTGTTTACACAAGTCATGTTTTCCAATAGGATCTAGTCCTGACAATGAAGCATTGGAATAAAGGGACAGCATATGGGGCGCCTGGGAGGCTCAGTCATTAGGCGTCTGCCTTCGGCTCAGGTCATGATCCCTGGGTGCCGGGATCGAGCACCAAATTGGGCTCCCTGCTCGGCGGGAAGCCTGCTTCTCCCTCTCCCACTCCCCCTGCTTGTGTTCCCTCTCTCGCTGTGTCTCTCTCTGTCAAGTAAAGAAATAAAATCTTTAAAAAAAATTAAAAAATAAACTTAAAACAGGGACAGCATATTTAAAGTTTTTGAAACACACTGCTAACTCACCCTTCAGAAAGGAGTTACCACGTGCATCTAACAACAGTGTACAGGAATGCCTTTTTCCTCCCATTTGCTACCTTTGGTTATTATTTTTTTAATAAAATATTTATCACTAGGACTGCAAAAAATGGTGTCTCGTTATTTGCATTTTTCTGATTCGCACCCAGGATGGACTAGCCTTACTAAAAATATAAAACTTGTTAATCATGAATGTTAGCTCCAACTAGAACTGGTTTTATAGGCAAATAATAATTACCTACTATTTCAATATGGCCATAGGCTTACCCATCAGAATCTTCCTTTTTCCCAACAGGAAAGAGGTGGTTTTCAGTTTTTCCACTCTCTCTTTGTTGAATGAGTCCAGCAGCAGCAGCAGCGACAGCATATGTGTTTTCTAATACTGTCGTCTCATTACTTTGGTGTCTCTTCCTTTCTTCATTAATCTTTAATGGAAATGTGATACTAAGGATAATTGTTACTACATTATTCATTAAAAAGAACTTTTTTTCATTATAAATTTCTTAAAGGTTTTATTTATTTATTTATCAGAGAGAGAGCACAAGCAGGGGGAGGGAGGTACAGACAGAGGGAGAAGCAGGCTCCCCGCTGAGCAGGGAGCCTGATGCGGGACCCGATCCCAGGACCCTGGGATGAGACCTGAGCCAAAGGCAGACTCTTAAGGACTGAGCCACCCAGTCATCCCAGAACTTTTTTCATTAATTTTATCATTTCACTCTTAGTTTGTTGTAATTTTAATCGATAAAAATATTTTGTGTTTAACTTTATCATTATAAATAATTGCAATTTTTATAAGTTCTGCTTCATTTCCGTTTGAATACAAACAGCAGAATTGGGACACGTGGGTGACTCAGTTGGTTAAGCGTCTGCCTTCGGCTCGGGTCTCATCCAGGGTCCTGGGATCGAGCCCCGCATCAGGCTCCTTGCTCAGCGGGAAGCCTGCTTCTCCCTCTGCCTGCCGCTCCTCCTGCTTGTGCTCTCTCTCTCTCTCTCGCTCTCTCTGACAAATAAATAAAATCTTTAAAAAATAATTAATTAATTAAAACAGCAGAATTTTCCAAAATTTGAAAAAGGGCTTTCTTAATTTTGTATTCATATCCACGCTTTGCTACCTAACATTCCCACCCCACCCCATCTGACCAGCAGATACAAAGAAATAAAAAGACAAAGACACAAAATTTGTCCTCGTCTGTCGTTACCACCTGGATTTTGCAAAAACAGCCAGATTTAAAGGATGTGACATTGTGGAGCTCCAGGAGCAAAGAGTTTTCCTCTTTCTGCACTGAGCTATTTTTTCGCCAATTGCCTTTTACAATTCTTTTTTCATTTGGATCCTAGGGTTATCAAAAAAGTGGCAGTGTTCATTAAAATATATGAACCAAAGTTCACCACAACACAAAAAGAACAGAGTGAAACTGATATTAGTGTAGAATTTTGGGAAATGAGTAATGCTCCCCAAATTCCACATTCATGGTTATCATAAACTTTTATAGCTAGAGGGTATAAAAGTAATTATCAACTTTAATCCCATTTTCCACTGATCAATGGGAGTAGAACCAAAAAAGGTTAAATGATTTGTCCAAAGTTCCTAAAGTGGCACTACCTAGCATCTTATGGCACCAAAAGACATGATGTAATTCTTTAATGCTGAATCAGCTAAGTTACCAAACAAATTCATTAAATTAATCAGATACATTAAAAGTATGACACTGGCACAGTAATTTAATATCTTAATTGGGGACAAGGTGCTTAGCTACTTTTTCTTTTGAAGGAGGATATCTCTAGATTTTTGTCTATTTTTAAAACTCAATTCACCTCAAAAGTCAGTTTTCTCCCTTCGAGTTAAATACTGAAGGTTTCTAAAGGTTTATGCTACCTACATTATAAAAAACATACATGTCAAAATGTACCATACTTTATTAAACATAATATGAACGTTTGACTCAACAGAAACATGTGAGAATGGTGACCAAAAAAAAAAAAGTGGAGGGGGGGCGCCTGGGTGGCTCAGTCAGTTGGGCCTCTGACTCTTGATTTTGACTCAGCTCATGATCTCAGGGTTGTGGGATTGAGCCCCGCATCAGGCTCCATGCTCAGTGGGGAGTCTACTTCTCTCCCTCTCTCTCTCTCCCTTTGCCCCTGCCCTTGCTCATGCTCTCTAAATAAATAAATAAATCTTAAAAAAGAGTCTGTTTTTAAAAAATGTGGAGGAAAACAGTGATAATACAAATATTTGTTATTAAAAATATCTCAAAGTGGTCCTGTTGGAATTCTAAGTTCCAAGAGTGAGTACAAAGCAGAAAAGATTGCACATACTGAAACAATAAATAGGTTTAGCTGAAATATTTGTTTATATCCTTTCTCTTAGTCATTGCTTCTTTCCCATTTTATTGTTTATGGAAATGCAATTTATATTTAAGCCAATAGATAAAAATAAAAACTCTAGAGATGGGGCACCTGGATGGCTCAGCAGTTAAGCGTCCGCCTTCAGCTCAGGTCATGATCCCAGGGGCCTGGGATGGAGCCCCATGTCAGGCTCCCTGCTCAGGAGAGAGTCTGCTTCTCCCTTTCTCTCTCCCTCTGCCTCACCCCTGGCTCATGCTCGTGCACACACGTGTGCTCTCTCTCAAATAAATAAATCTAAAAAAAACCCCAAAACACTAGAGATTATTATATATTTTTTAAAGATTTATTTACTTTAGAGAGAGAGAGAGAGCATGAGCAGGAAGGGCAGAGGGAGAAGGAGAGAGAAACTAAAGCACACTCCACACTGAGTACAGAGCCCAATGAGGGGCTCAGTCTCATGAATCTGAGATCACAACCCAAGCCAAAACCAAGAGTCGGATGCTCGACCGTGCCACCCAGATGTGCCAAGATAATTGCATTTTTTTAAGTTTTTTTTTTTCAAGATTTTATTTATTTATTTGACAGAGAGAGACACAGCGAGAGAGGGAACACAAGCAGGGGGAGTGGGAGAGGGAGAAGCAGGCTTCCCGCTGAGCAGGGAGCCCGATGCGGGGCTTGATCCCAGGACCCTGGGTTCATGACCTAAGCCGAAGGCAGATGCTTAATGACTGAGCCACCCAGGTGCCCTGATAATTGCATTTTTTAAGGAATTTTCTTTATGGTTACTCTGGTTCATGAGGTCACAGGGTGCATAGCTAAATTAGTTTCCCAGTTCATATGCCACTTGGGAGACTTACAGAGAAACTTAAGGAAAACCAATCATAAGAATGTTTTCCTGCACTCCTATCATTTAGACAGCAGAAATAATCTATTTCCGAACACAATTACGTATTTAGACAACCCCATGTTATACACAAACTTTTTTCTTAAGTGGAGAATCAGAATGACTCAGATAATTGATAAAGAGGAAAAACAAAAGAGCAGCAGCAAAGTGAACCTCTACCTCTTTTTGAAGTTGAACTTTCTTTTTTTCCTCATCCAGGATGTCTATCTGTAACATGCCTATCTCGTTCTTAAACTTTTGAACATCTTGCTGTAATTCTTCTTTTAGACATACTTCTGATGTTCTGTAACTACATGGTGGAGAAGAACTCACATTTTCTAATTTGGGTTCCATACTTCTATAGTTATTAGTACTGTTATTAACTGCACAGAATGGCTTCTGGAACAAGACTTTTGTTTTCTTGTAAATGTTTGTAACGGCAGAACTATGGTGCCTTTTTATTTGAGCCATTTGTCTCATCTCACTGGAGCGGGAAAACCTTTTGTCGAAACGGCTTTCTGAATCACTAGACTGAGGTATACGTCCAATGTCTAATTTAGAATTAGTGCTATTTTCGTTCATATTTTTTGCCATTTGCACGTCAAACTCTTGGTCTTCTTTCACTTCAAACGTAGCGAGTGGGTTCCTTACTTTTTTAGTTTCTGTATCACTTTTAAAACTCTTATTTTTGTTAAAAACATGCTCAGTGTCTGGTTTGTTATCATTTTCACAGTCTGATTTATTTTCACTTAAAGAAAAATCAGAAGATGCCTGGCAAGCATATTTGAGACTAGAATTTTTTTGTTCAGGAAATGCCTGAACTACTAGAGGGACAGGCACTGCAAATATATCCTTTTTCTCACAATCAAGTCTATCATTTGTCAAGTTAGAAAGTATTTCCATTAAGTTTGCTCCTTCTTTAAAGTTACCACGTAGTGACTCTTCCTTAGGATAAGGAGCAATTTTGTGTTTTTCACAAGTTGCACCAAACGTCCGCTTTAACTCACTGGTGATGTGTTTTAGATTATTTTTCCACACTAATTTGCCTTGTTTGATCGAGATTTCCTCACGCTTTTGCACAGAAGGATGTTCTGAATATACAGATATATTATCCTTTCTATCACATTTCTTATTCATTTCTGGTTCTCTAGACTTTTTTTGCAGATGCAAAAGTGGAACGTTAATTTGCTGGGTTTGATTTTCACGTGTCTCTTCTGCCAGGATACATGTTTGTGAAATACCTTTATCCTTAAGTAATCAAGTATGGACAAAGGAAAATTAGAAAATTAAAATTTAACTGTTAAATTTCTTAATCTATGTTAAGCTGCTCCCAAGTCACTGTATTGTAACAAAGAAGTGACAAATAACTCGCCCTGGCTTAAGACAAAAGAAAAACATAAATCCATAAACTTAACTTTGTTAGTTTTTTTTGAAATAAACAATTCATTACATGTTACATCTACCAAAAAATGAATTAGATTATTTTTAATGTTACAAACTTAAAAGATTTTATCTCACCATACCTTAAATAGTGAGCCCCTTCAGTGCATTTGAGGGTTTTCTTTAAAGATTAATAGCTAGTGAATAGGCAAATTTTAAATTATTAGGAATCAAAATCAATTAACATCAATCAGAAAGAAAATTCCTAAATCTTAAGTCAAATTATATACTATGATAGTGTTATACATCACTATAATTATCTGCTTATATACAGCTCTAATATAATGTCCACTGAGAGTGGATAAGAAAAATGTTAATACTTACTGATTTCTTATGCTGAAATGAAATAACTGAAAAAGTTATTGTTTATTACCCAACTACAAAGGTCCCACCCTGGAAGGTGTGATTCTACAATAGGCAATTGTGCTGATTTTATGACCCCACACTCTGAAGTCAACTACACAGAGATCGCAAGGCAAAATCAATCTTTAATATTGGTATTAGTGACTGGCAATACAGAACTGCACATTTTGAACCACTGAGAATAATTACTCCTTCTACACGAATCTAAGTCAGTAGTCATCATTATTGTACTGCTCATAATTTCAACTGCTTAAACATATGATTCAATATTTGATGTTACCTTCTTTATCGCATAAAAAGTTACAAAAATGTGAAGAAGCAAACAATATTCAGGAATTTTTTTTATCTCAATTCCAAGGATGAAGTTTAGCTATAAGTTACAGAAATTCAAACAATATTTTAAGTTTTGTAACTTGTAAAATTTTATAAAAACTAAATTTTAAATTATAATCTATTGACTTCAATATGTCCATTCAAAAGATCATTTCATTTGAACTATGTTACATTATTAAAGCAGGAAAAACAATATAAAATTGGAAATTTAAATTTAACTTTTTACATACCCGTAGGTGGTTATTTTCACTTTCATCAAGTCTTTTTTGCTCTTCCTCTGATGTCATTTCTAATTCATTCTGCTGGCAAATCTATATATTTAGTTAAAATGGACTACTTAGAATGGTTAGATAAAAGCTATAACCTTCTTAAAAATAGAAAATAACATTTTATCTATTGATAGTTTAAACTTAATCTTTAGCTGAATATTTACTTTAAGAAATACTTTTAATTATAGGAAACTTCAACAAACCATTTGGGAAATACTAAATGTCACCAGGTTAAAGACATACAAACATCTCAAAGATTCATTCACAAGTTCATCCACCTAACATCAATGAACAAAACAATCAGAAACAAAATTTTATAATGCAGCAGAAACATATAAAATCACAAGACTGTTCTTTACCTTGTAACAGCACCTCTTAACACCCAAAGTGTCAACTACAACATTATTCATGGTTTCCAAAATTATTAGTATTTTTTATGCCTTTATTAGTGTACAACCTTCCTATGGGTGTATGTCCCTGATGAGCGTAAACATGCCTGAAATGTTTTCCTCTACTACTTGATAAATTTCTTCACATCTTGTAGGACACAGACTGCTATGTAAAGTCACCCTTGATTATGGCTCTTCTTCCCCAGATGAATAGGTGTCTCTTTCTTCAGGGCTACCTTAGTACTTTACCGATTTTTCTAGTGTATCTTCACCACCTGAACTGTAAATTACTTCTTTATATATCTCTTTCTTTTGCTCCTGGACTGTATGGGACAATCTCTCTCACTCTCTCTCTTTTTTTGGAGAGGGGGAGGAGCAGAGAGAGAGAGAGAGAGAATCTTGACGGGGCTCCAAGCCCAGCACTGAACCCCACGCGGGGCTCGATCTCACAACTCTGAGGTCATGACCGGAGCCGAAATCAAGAGTTGGACACTCAACCAACTGATCCACCCAGGTGCCCCTGTATGGGGCAATCCCTTAAGTCATCTCTGTGTAAACAGTCTTTATTTTACTCAGTAATTATTTACGGAGCTCCCAGTAAGTGCTAGGCACCCGGGTTTAAAGAAGCATGTAGATAAAAGGTGTCAGGAATGGTTTTTCTGGAGATAATGCCTGAACTGAAACTGAAAACAGTGAGGTCAGCCAGATTCAAAGGGGTCAGAGGGAGGAAAATGGGTATGCAAGGCTGTAGTAAGACAAGGGAGAGAAGCACACAACAGGGTAAATATTTGTCTAAAAGGGAGAGAAGCACACAACAGGGTAAATATTTGTCTAAAATACAGGGATCTAAGAGGAAGTCAAGACTATGAAAGCTTTATATGTAATTTTAAGATACCTGGACACAAATATATTTTCAACAGTGGTTCATAGTCATATTTACATTTGAGACAGATCACTCTAAATGCTGTGGAGAGGGATGAATTTGAGGGGCACTGTAATAAAAGATGGGAGATGAATTAGAAGGCAGTAAGGCAAAATAAAGATGAAGTACACCTGCACTGACAGAATGGTTCCAGAAATACTGAGGCTATAAAATGATCAGGGCACAGTACAGAATAAATCTGTATTAAATGAATAAACACACAATCTTGGGTCCCTAGAGACTAACTTTGCTCATTACTTTATAAAAGGCATCAAGTGAGAAGAGAAACAATCTACATGAACTGTTTTAAGTTGCCTGTATTTATAATTTGTGTTTCAGATCTTCCTTTGTTACAGGAGCCTGTAGGTATTTTAAAAGTCCTACTTCTTGGATCTACCAAGCTCATGAAGAAGTAACAGCAAACAAGTCACTTGTATAGGTAAATAACTTTGGATTTATTGCCTGTACGCATTACTCTAGGAGATAATTGAAAATCTTTTGAAAATACAGTGTTAATTCTACAAGGAAAGAAAGAACATAAAAGTACAGGGGTGAAAAAATATTGTACGATTTATTAGTACAGACCTGATCAATGACTGATAAAAGGCATGGAATGAACTGGTACATTAAGTAGAGACACATTAGATGTGGTTAATCAATAGACAGAGTATCTTAGTAGAATTAAAACTGACTTTCCATATATTATTTTTAAATAATATAGTGCTCCTTAAAACCCATATTCCATTTATTTATTAAAAATAACAAAGGGAGGTGCCTGGGTGGCTCAGTCAGTTAAACGGCTGCCTTTGGCTCAGGTCATGATCTCACGGTCCTGGGATCAAGTCCCGCATCGGGCTCCCTGCTCAGCTGGGAGTCTGCTTCTCCCTCTGCCACTCCTCCCACTCGTTCTCTCAATTTCCCTCTCTCTCAAATCAATAAAAATTTTAAATAACAATAATATTAAAGAGGCATAGAAAACTTTTGATTTAGGCTCACGTCATGATCTCAGGGTCATGAGATTGAGCCCCCCCATCAGGCCCTGTGCTGAGCGTGAAGCCTGTTTGGGATTCTCTCTCTCCCTCTCCCTCTCTCCCCCCATCTCTCTCTCTCTAAAAAGATAAAATGAATATAATAAAACAAGGAGATGGACTATACATACATAGCTGAGATGATACTATATAGTAAATTCTCAACTATTCCCATTACTGCTGGGAAAGCCAACTCTAAAACAAAAGTCATACAGAACATAGGAAATATTTCAATATTTGATTTGGGAAGGTGCTTTTTTTAGTTACAATGAATATAGCTTGACCAATACTTGTGAATTTAGAGCTATAAAATAAAGCTAAGAAACTATGTTTTGAGTAAGCAATCTTTAGATCTCTACCTAGTATTCCCAACTGGTCCCAAAGTTCTCAATATAATCCTGCTACCTACTCTCAAGTGAATGCTAAAAACTAGCCCAAAGGAAATTACTTTCTCATAATTCTTATTCAGATGTTCCTTTGGTTAGAAGAAGAAGACAAATGTCTTGCTAAAAGATATTGTTTGGTTGTAGGTTGCATAAAAGGAGTAAACACAAAGTAATTTTTGCCACAAAATTATTTTTTTTAAACTCAAAAAAATATCTTTTTTTTTTTCATTTAAAAATGTATTTAGAACACATAAAACAAGGCAACATTTATTCTTTCTTCTCGTCTTCCGGCGCGGGGTCTGCGGGCGGCTCCTCCACTGTGGCACTGTTGCTCTCTGAGCCAGTGTTACTGTCACTGGTCCCCTCCTCAGCCATACTGTCCACCCCCTCCTGCCCGCTCTCCTTGTCCTCAGGAGTAGATGTGCCTTCTTCACCATTCTGTTGGCTTTCCGTTGCTTCTTCAAGGTGTGTCTCCTCTGTCTCCATCGGGATGCTCTCGTCGTCCTTCTTCTCCTGGCTCTTACTAGCAGCTTGCTCTTCCTCAGGAACCATGCTGCTCTGACTGCGTTCAGCTTGCTCTGCTGCTTCTTTCTCTCTTTCCTCCTGCCGTTTTCGAGCCTGTTCCTCTGCCTGTGCAATATCAGCGGCAGTTTTTTCCATGTCCACTTCGACTTTCAAACCGCACAACCTTTTAAGTTCATTGTTAAATGAATGTGTGCTTTCCAGGAATTTCCTCTTCTTTTCCTGGTGTCGCTCCTCTATTTGAAGTTCAGCTTCTAGTTTTCGCTGATGAACCATTAAGGACTGGACCTGTCGTTGAGGACCTGCCTTCTAGCTGTTGTGACAACTGAACGGACGTCTGGCACCACACTCTCACTAAGGATTTCACTGATGAGGCGGTGGTTTCCCTGGAAACGGGCGGTGGCTGTATGCTTCATTGAGAAGCCATCATCATAATCGTCTGGATCTTCAGCAGGCTGAATGCTCATCTACGGTTCTCCTTTCTCCACGCGAGACTGTCTCTGTCGACTTTCTTCCTCTAAAGCAGCTTCTGCACGACTTTTTGCATTTATGTAAGCAAGGTATGCGGGGGAATTATGATAGGCCTTCATAGGTTCATTGTACTCTATCTTTTCTGCTTCGTATTCGTTTAAATATTCTTGTTTTTCTTCGTCAGTGAGATCTCGCCACATGCCACCAATAATCTTGCCAATCTCCCACAACTTTAGGTCAGGGTTGGAAGCTTTTACTTGGTCCCAGACCTTGCTGCTGTACCTCATGTAGGGCATCAGCGGCGTATCTGGTGGCTTTGGGGTTTTGGAATCGTAATCCCGAGACCCGGCTGTTGGTGCCCGGGTTCCCTCCCAGCCCGTAGTTGCTGTAGGCGAGGTGACTGTATGGATTGTATCCCACAAACCCTGGTGTGCTGGGCATTTGTGTTGCAGGAGCTGGGGTGGGAGGTGGGGCATAAGATGGTCTTTTTGACATTTTGGAAGATTAAGTTCTCAGTTCCTTAAGAATGAATCTGAGACACCGCGGGCAGAAAAAGCAACCGCAGCTCGGGCCTCGTTTCCCTTTGTCCCGCGCACGACCCGCCCCTCGCGTCCGGAGCGGCCGCCGCCACAAAATTATTTTTGAAAAATCAGAACTATGGGGAAGTCATGGAGAGACTGAATTCTCTGTGCTTCTTTATTACCTTGTTTGTGCTGCTTTCTGGTAGCTGTGATTTACACAGGTCAGGGAGTTTATAATTCTCTAACAGAAACACAACTCCAATATTATTAATCTTTTCTTTCTATATGAAGGTCGTCTGTCCAAATTCTGTGGATGCTGACTGATTTTTGGTCACCGATTGTGATACACATGGGCATTTATCATCAACTCTGAAATCCCTGGATCTTTGACAAGGCTCATTAGAGTGGCACAAACCCACAAAAGAGAGTCTAATAATAACCCTCGCCCTCTGCCTGCCTCTCTGCCTACTTGTGCTTTCTCTCTATCTCTCTGTCAAATAAATAAATAAAATCTTTAAAAAAAAAATGCACTGTGTGTTCTAAAGACATGTGTTTTAAAAGAACTTTTAATGAATGGTACTACTTTTAATTACAGTGAGATGGTCTTTCCTCAATGCAACAATATCTTCAGAAATTTTATTTTATTTTTTAAACATTTTATTTATTTATTTGTCAGAGAGAGAGAGCACACAAGCAGGGGGAGCAACAGAGGAGAAGGAAAAGCAGACTTCTCACTGAGCAAGGAGCCCGATGTGGGACTCAATCCCAGGATCCTGGGATCATGACCTGAGCCACAGGCAGACACTCAACTGACTGAGCCACCCAGGCGTCCCTATCTTCAGAAATTTTTAAGCCTTGGACAAACATCATAAATTCATCTGAGAAATGAAAGCCTCAGGTGATCTAATCATTTCCATGTAAAAACAGAATAAGTCTCAGTCCACACTAGATCCTAAAACTACAGCACCATGAAACAGAAAATGAATATATAACAAAAATACTTTCCTTTTTTTAAAAAAAAAAGATTGTCTGATTTAAACCTCTTAAGACGAGTGAAAGAAAAAAGCAAGAAATGCAGAAATGAAACCTTAATGCCCATTTCACCACAAGGGTCCCTTTATCATTTTGTATCCATGAACCCTGTACACGGTTTAAAACAGTTCTCCCATGTCATCTGAGAATCCCCGGAGTTCCAATCCATCCATTCAGTAATACTAAATGTTATTTGACATTTTCACTCTCATTCTCTTATTAAGTGTACGGTGAAGTTTTCTAAAGATAGGATATGTGATAGTATCACAACTCGCATGATTAGTGGGTCAGAGCTCTAACGGCTAACAATGTATGATCGTGTATGCTTGTATTTTAAAAGCTTGTTTTAATTTCTAATATGGTAAATATCAATACTTAAACAGAAGTTCTTTGGAATTCCTAATAATTTTTAAATAGTATAAAAGGACCCTAAGGCCAATAAGTTTCAGAATTACGGTTTTAAATGATTGTGTCTACCAAGTATTAGGATAGAACTAATTACTTCCTGCAGTTTTAGTAATCAAAGACACCATACACACACACACACACAAACACACACACACATACACACACGAGTCCACTAATCAGAACATCTGTTTGGCTTCAGATGATCAACATAATAACACTAAGATGAAATAAACTTAAAACACAATTGACATGTTAGCAAGTGAAGCTTTACTCTAGGGAAAGGTCAGAATTGCAATAAGCATTGTGAACACTGGAAAAATCTGAGAGTCTAATAATTAACTTCTGGGAATCCCAAGGAAGTAATGGGATTCCAAACTTCAGGGTTTCAAAACATAAAAGTAGAAACTAGAGCTAAAGCTTACATTTTTAAAATCTCTTTTTCTTGGGCGCCTGGGTGGCTCAGTTGGTTAAGCAACTGCCTTCGGCTCACGTCATGATCCTGGAGTCCTGGGATCAAGTCCTGCATCGGGCTCCCTGCTGGGCAGGGAGTCTGCTTCTCCCTCTGACCCTCCCCCCTCTCATGTGCTCTCTCTCTCTCTCAAATAAATGAATAAATAAAAAATCTTTAACAAATAAAATAAAATAAAATCTCTTTTTCTTATGCTTATAAATATCTTTTGGGTAACAACAATGGTATCTACCTTGTTTATGTCAAATCCTTCAGTTAAATTTGCCACACACACAAAAAAAAGAATTCAGAATAAGAAAACTGTGAGCATTTTAAATATTTTAGTGTACTTCTTTCCACTGTAAAATTTGTATTGTAAAATTTACCTGAGTTGGATGTTTGTTTGTCCTTGACTTCTACTGTTTTCTTAGGAACAGAATCTTTCACTTCAATGGTAGGCTGAATGGGTATTGAAACAATATGATTAAGACATGATGTACCTTTCATACAATCGGTAGTTAAAAATTCAAAATAAAAATATAAGTCTTACCTTCACGTAAGGATATCTTTTCGGAGAATCTAAAAAGCAAAATGGACATATAGTTAATTATATGTAAACGTGAAAGCCAACTAAACATTCATGCAGTTAGTACTAAGCTGAATCCTCATGCTTGGCTCTGAAAATGATTACATTAGGTTTTGGTGTTCTGTTTCTGGAGATAGGAAGGTGGGTTAGGACAGCGACAAGAGAGAAATATGAACCCATTATAAATATTGAAAAAGAAATACGAATATATGTATTCAGTGTCATACTTACTGATAATAACAATTGTAGCATTTAGGGAATGAACCCTATAATCTCTTTTGTTTCCAAAATTAGTTTGATTTGGTAGATCATGTTAGTCTTTAAAAGGTTTTTTTGAAACAGCTGTCATATCAAAAAATTAGCTATCTTAAAAAAAAAACAGCCAAAGCTTCGATATTCAAATTAATCTCATTTGAATAATGAATACCAATACAAGAGAGATCTTTGATGTCCCATAGATCTGAGGAGGATGAAAGAGTGGCTGTTTTAGCCCAAGTTTAGCACTCCATCTGCTTTCAGTATTCTTTGTGGAGCAGCTGTAATTTAATCTGTTTTAGTGCAAATACACTCAAGCCATCTAAAGTGAATTCTCTGGAGTTTCCTCATCAACTCCAAATATCCTAGCTATCACGTCTTTCTTTCATGCCCCGGGGAAGGCAGAAGCCCAACCACCTGAGCCACCCCGGAGCCCCTGAAAAAGGCTTTCTAATAGCTGCATCTGCTCAATTGCATGGAGACCGGCTGGGGCCCAGAGGGATATGGAAGAGGAATAAACTGAGGGAGAGCTTTTTTTAGGGAAGTTTTCTGGGGAACGAGGCATTCAACATCCTGAAGTTTCATGCTCTCTAGCCCCAGTAGTATAGGAAGAGTGCCTTTCCCCACCGGCGAGTCTAACTTCTGCAAAGGTTCAGAAACGCTCAGCCAACTCTCGCCAATGTTTGAAGGGGAACCCAGCCGGCTCACAAGCGATCGCTGAGATTTGAGAGACTTGGACCTCGCACATGCGCTTTGGGCACCCTTGGCCGCCCGCCCTCTGCGCGCAGGCCCAGCGACGCCGGTTTGTGAGGCGCGCAAGCGCATCTGTGTTTGGCATCGTTGCTTGGTTACATTATGCTGAGCTCAAAGATTCCAGACCTCGGAATTTCGCTACTGTGATGTAGTGGCGAGGCGGGTTTGGCTTCTCTCTAGCGCTAGTGTTGGGCTCTAGAGGCGGTGAAAAGCCGAGGGGAAGGGGAAGTGTTTGTGAAGCCTCCAGGCTTTGCGGTGAAGAAGTTTTTTAGCTTCGGGAGTAAGAAGGGCGGGTCGTCCTTTCGCGTTACCAGCTCGCTGAGGGACGGCCCGGGCATCCTGCGTGAGAGGAGAATTGGAACCAGCAGCTTCGGGTGGGGGTACAACATCCGAGACAAAGATCTCAGAAAGATCCACAAAGTTGCCAGCATGGGCAACGTAAGGAAACTGCAGGAGATTCTACTTTCCGGGAAACGCGGCGTGGACGAAAGAGACCAGATGAACAGGTAATAGGGACTTGGAGGCCGGCTGCCGGAGACGGCGGGGAGGAGGTGGGGCGGACCGGGAGAAGCGCGCACCTTCCCGGGCTCCGCCTGTGGAGCGGAGCCCCCCTGTCACCGAGGGCGCTTTGCGGTCTTCCCTCCTGAGGCCCCCAGCAGGGGTGTAGCGCCCAGGCCGGCTGTCGGAGCACGAAAACGAAAGCTTCAGCTGCCTTTGGACCCACTCATAATTCCCCGGGTAGACCACTTTACAGACAGGTTTTTGTTTTTGTTTTTTTTAAGATTTTATTTATTTATTTATTTGACAGAGAGAGAGAGAGACAGCGAGAGAGGGAACACAAGCAGGGGGAGTGGGAGAGGGAGAAGCAGGCTCCCTGCTGGGCAGGGAGCCCGATGCAGGGCTCGATCTCAGGACCCTGGGAACATGACCTGAGATGAAGGCAAGCACTTAACTGACTGAGCCACCCAGGTGCCCCTCTTACTTTCTATTTAAAAAAAATTGGGGACTGCGGGTGGGGATTGGTATCTTCTGACAACGTTTAACCTCTTCAGAAGTAAAGGGAATGTTTTTACCTGTACTTGTCGATTTTATTCATACATTAAATATATACATTTTTTTGTTGTGTGTAGCTTTATTACATATAAGTGATTATAGATTAATCATTTTAGTTACATCCTTATGAAAATAAATAATATAAATGATACTGTAAAAGTATATAAAATTTTAGTTGTGTCCTTATGAAAAAAATCAAAAATAGGAAATATAAATGATTATTGCAATTTCAGATGTATTGCTTTACTTTATAAAAGTTTTCTTTAAAAATACTGAACTCTGGGGTGCCTGGGTGGCATAATCGGTTGAGCATCAGAGTGTTGAATTCGGCGTGGGTCGTGATCTCGGGGTTGGGGGGTGGAGCCCCATGTCCGGCTCCATGCTTGGTGGGGAGACTGCTTGAGATTCTCTCCCTCTCCCTCTGCCCTTCCCCCCGCTTGTGCATACTCTCTCTTTTTCTCTAAAAGAAATAAATCTTTAAAAAATATTGAGCTCTCCAACTGTATTTATCTACTCTTTCAATCCATTTATTTATCAAATAGAATCTGAACACATGTAATGTAGGAGACATACTCTATCCAGAATCTTTTCATTCTTAAAGACTTCATGTTGCCCAGTATTAGTAAGATGAGAAATTCTATCTATCTATCTATCTATCTATCTATCTATCTATCTATCTATCTATCTATCTATCTATTTATTTATTTTAAAGATTTTATTTTTAAGTAATCTCTATACCCAACATGGGGCTTGAATTTATATCATTGAGACTAAGGTTGCATGTTCTACTCATTGAACCGGCCAGGTACTACTAAGATGAGAAATTTTATTTTATTTTTTTAATTTTAAGAAAAGATTGATTTATTTGAGAGAGAGAGAGTGAATGGGAGTGGCTGGGGAGGGAGAAGGGAGGGTTAGAAGGAGAGAGAGGATCTCAAGCTGACTCCACGCGGAGCACGGAGCCCGACATGGGGCTCGATCTCAAGATCTGGAGATCATGACCTGAGCCAAAACCAAGAGTCGGACACCCAACCAACTAGCCACCGAGGTGCCCCTAAGATGAGCAGTTTTAAATTGAAGTATTAGGACTTAATCTCAGTTAAAGCTTTTCCTCTTTCCTTTCAAACGAAAACATTTCTGAAGATAGGAAATCGTAAAAGTTAACCTTTACTTGTCCTTTTGAAATTTATAATAGTATTAAATACTACTATTGATAATTGGTAGTACTTGATTTTCATGTGATTTATAAATCGAAATATTTAATAAAATGAGCTGTCCCTGTTTATTTAAATCCTGAGTTTCCTTTGGCTTAGTTTCTTGAAAATCAGAGTAAGAATTACTTAAAAAACATTCTCCGTTATTTTAGTCCTCTTTTCCCATAATGCTTTCAGGAACTAAAATTTATTTAAATGCCAGGCATATGACTAGAACTGCAATAGACCTGTTGTGTATATCATTATTTCATGTAATGTAAGGCACCATAGATTGTCTGATGCCCCAGTATTTTCTGTACCAATAAGAAATTGCAAAACAATTCTGCCAATTAGAGTTGTAAGACATTTTGAATTATAAATTGCATTCCAATGTCAGAGATATTAAAAGGTGACAAAATGAGCATCTTAGAATCACTGAAATGTAGTATTCTTGCGAATCCTTAAAACATATCTACAAAGTAGGCATAATTGTATCACTTTACCTAATTGGATGTTGTCTTTGTAAAATAGTAGTAATAGTAATAGTTATAATAATATTATGTAACAAACTTTGCATAGATCCTCATTTAAGCATCACGCCGAGGTCTTGTGAGATAACTAGTCTTTATTTATTATTATTATTTTTTAGTAATCTCTATACCCAACGTGGGGCTCGAATTCACAACCCTCAAGATCAAGAGTCACATGATCTTCAAACTGAGCTGGGCAGGGGACCCGAGATAACTATTTTTATCCCCATTTTGTTGATGAGGAAATTGAGGATAAGGCTAAGTAGGTGATAACTGTTAAGTGACAGAGTTAAAGTAGGAGTCAAACCCAAGTTAAGCTGAATCCTGAGGTCATGCTCTACCTACTCAGATAGGCTGCTCTTTATTAGTGTGGTGAAGAATCACTAATAAATATTGTACTTTCTTCAAAAGAAAACTAAATCCTGGTTTTGGAGTCACAGGAATAAGATGCTATTTAACGTTTACAATTACATGAATTAATTGCATGTTTTGAAATAGTGCACTATAATTTCCTAAAAAGTTCTTTCACTTTCATAGGACTGCTCTTCATTTGGCCTGTGCCAATGGCCATCCAGATGTCGTTGCTGTCCTAGTGGAGAGGAAATGCCAGCTTGACCTCTTTGATACAGATTATAGGACTGCTCTGATGAAGGTATGTGGAAGCAGCTGTGTCTGCCTGAGATGGATTTGATTTAATTACTTAGAATGAAAACTTATTGCATTTAAACATAACTAATTGGTGAAACCTGTGGCATGTTTACTTTAAATTCCCAGAATTGACACTCTGTTTCTTGGTATAATACTGACAGGCTGTACAATGTCAGGATGAGAGATGTGTGACTATTCTTCTAGAACACGGTGCTGATCCAAATCTTACGGACATTGCTGGCAATACTGCTCTCCACTATGCCGCCCTTGGTTCGAATACATCAATAGCAGAGAAGCTGCTTCTACACCATGCAAATATTGAAGTGAGAAACAAGGTGCAGATCAAGTGTATTTATAGAGTATTTGAAATAATATATATATGTATACGTAAATTTTTTTAGCCACAAATCATTTTATTTACATATTTATTTATATGTGTAATAAATACATATACTTACTGAATTCTATACATCAGGTCCTGTCATCCTGGAAACAACTCCAAAGCCAGGGCAGGGAGGGCTAGAGAAAGGTGATGCCCATGGAGAGGGCGAAGTTCTGTCTCCCAGCCCCGCTTCCACCCCAGAAAGAAAATCTTCCCATTAGTGCTTGGGAGTGGATGGTGGGCTCAGAGCCCACAAAGGCTTGAAGGCCTAGAGGGGAGTGGAGGTGGTGGAGGCTGGGTGCTGGGCAGGGGCTTAGGAAATGGGTGCTGCTGGGAATGGGTGGGAGACCCTGACCCAGTGGGGTAACTTGGGTGAGTGCAAGTGGGAGGAGAAAGCAGCAGGTTGCAGGCCCTGGGCACTCGAGGCCCCAAGGTTCTGAAAATGAGAGCAAAGGGATCAGGTCATGACATCCTACAGGGACATTTACTTGTGCTTGTAGCCACTCTTCCCACCACGTACCACATTGGGGTCTCCCATTTCAGAGAGTAGTTCCTGCTCAGCCTTGGGTAGTTCCTCAGTGGGGTGGTAGCTGTACATGGGGAGTAGTTGATGACCACGCGCACCAGTCCACCTTCTGTTTCTGTGACATGCATTATTTCTACCACTGCCCTTACAGAAACACTGTTGGTTGAGATAGGTAGGGTCAATTTTTCATATTTGGAAGCTCCTGCATTCCCTGAATGAAAATATTTTGAAATACCTTAATTGTCTAAGATTTCACTTTAATGATACTTTTTTTTGTTTTTAAGATTTTATTTACTTGAGAGAGACGGAGAACAAACATGAGTATGGAGGAAGGGCAGAGGGAGAGGGAGAAACAGGGGAGCCTGATGCAGGGGTGGATCCCAGGACCCTGGGGGTCATGACCTGAGCCAAAGACAGACGCTTAACTGACTGAGCCACCCAGTTGCCCCAAAGCCACTCTTTTAATTCTGAGTCCATCTCCTCAGTGACCCATTTGGATCAAGAGTGCCTTATGTTGCCATCTGGGATCCTGATACCATTGACAGAAGAGAATCAAGCATGTTTGTGTAACCTGGAGAAAACCTTCATTTTTTTTTTTTTTTAATGATTTTATTTATTTATTTGATGGAGAGACGGCGAGAGAGGGAACACAAGCAGGGGGAGCAGGAGAGGGAAAAGCAGGCTTCCGCCGAGCAGGATGTGGGGCTCGATCCCAGGACCCTGGGATCATGGCCTGAGCTGAAGGCAGACGCTTAACGACTGAGCCACCCAGGCACCCCGAAAATCTTCATTTTTATTGGAAAGCTCTCAAAACTATATCCCCAAAACTCTAATTTCTCAAATGTTAATGTTTGCCACAAAAAGTATTGTCAAATGGGGATAAGCAAATTTAAACGGATTTCTTTTGTGCTAGATATATAGTGCAATTTTGTAATATTTCTCAGACATAGATGATCATTGAATCTTTCTATTGGGGCACAGTACTTACCTTCCAGCAAAGTATATGTTCTTCGGAATGTAATTTAAAAAACACTACTCCAGAGATAATCATTTAGGTTGCTAACTCAATAAAAATACTTAAAGCATTTACTGCTATGTTTTAGATTTTGGAGATAGAGAGAAAAAATATAATCCCTTCCCTCAAGAAGCTCTTGGTTTAGAGGGGGTGCAATAAAATAACTAGAGTATACCATAATAAATACTGTGATAGAAGCCAAGATTCTTGGAACCAGCCAATGAAGTGAGTTTTGGAGAATGACTGCAGTTAATCTGTTGAAGAGGTGGAAGAGGGCTATTTAATTTAGTTTTATTTATTTTTTAAAAAAGATTTTATTTATTTATTTGAGAGAGAGAGAGTGGGTGAGAGAGTAGGAGCATAGGGGCAGGGCAGAGGGAGAGGCCAACTCCCCTCTGAGCAGGGAGCCTGACTTGGGGCTGGATCCCAGGACCTTGGGATCACGACCTGAGCTGACCTGAGTCCAGGGCAGATGCTTAACCGACTGAACCACCCAGGCCCCCTGAGGAGGGCTATTTGAAAGAGAAGGAGGAGCTGGTGAAAGCACAGAAGGGTGAGAGTACTTTCTATATTATATATTTGAGTTTAGAGGATCCTTTATAAGTTTTAAAATTCAGTATGGAAATATTGTAATTTTGTAAATTATAAATTGTTTTTGCACTTTTACAGGATGAACTCACACCATTTTTACTTGCTGTAAGTGAGAACAAACAGCAAATGGTGGAATTTTTAATAGAAAAAGAAGCAAATGTACATGCAGTTGGTAAGTTGCAAAGGTACAGTAGTTTTGGGTGTTTTTTTAAACCTTATATTGTTCTAGAGTGGCACAGTTACTCAAGTCAGAAAGACTAACTTAATAAGGGGATTAATTTATATAGTGAAAAATGTCAACATGTCATCAGTTAGGCAGAAAGCAATTATTCTGACGGGGCAACATGAAGAACAGTATATGGTAGAATTTATATTCCTTCATATTATTGACTGATGTCATTTGCAGGCTTTTTTTTTTTTTTTTTTTTGCCATATGATTTTATATTAGCTAAAGGGGTTTCATATTAGTTTTATTAGTTTTATAAAGTGTGGACTCCTAACTTTTATTTTACTTTACGACGCAATATTGGACTTCTTAACCCTTTTATAGTATTTTTGAAACTTCTACTTCATATATGTTTTCCTTAAAAGATGAATATTAAACATAAATAGGAGTTGCTGTGTCTTTTGGATGACTCTTTAAATTGCTTTTTGTTTTTGAAGAATACTGACGTTGGATGATCCCTAAGTGGTTAATAATTACTGTTACCAGATAATATGGGCTCATCATCCTTTTTCATGTTCAGTATATTTTTTTTTGGTTTTCATTGGTAAGGATAGAAGGATGAAAGATAACTGTAATTGAATAGACTTTTCCTTTAATGAGGACAAATCATAGGTGGGTGATAAAGAGAAAAGAGTTGGGCTTTAGATTGACACAAGACTAGGTTTAATTCCTAGCTTTCCTACTTGCTGGGTGTGTGACTTTGGAAACATTACTTATCATAACCAGATACATTTCCTGATATGAAAAGGAGGATAATAGTATATCCTTCAAGGGTGGTTCTGTGTACTATTTTATATATATATAGCATTTAATTTAGTGTCTACCACGTGCTTATCTTAGCATCATTAACTGTGACTATGACTGTTTTATTACCATTAGTATGAATACTGTTATTTTCAGCCTGCAAATAAGCTTTTTTTTTTTATTTTTAAAGATTTTATTTATTTGAGAGAGAGACAGAGAGAGAGCACGGGTGGGGAGGGACAGAGGGAGAAGCAGATTCCCTGCTGAGCAGGGAGCCTGACGTGGGGCTCCATCCCAGGGTCCCAAGATCGTGACCTGAGCTGAAGGCAGACGCTTAACCGACTGAGCCACCCAGGTGCCCCAACATCCTTGTTTTTTCTAACTAGTTACTTGGGTCTTGAGATGTTCAGTTTAGTAGAAGACCCTATACTTTCCCTTGAGGGCTATCTCCTATACTTTCCCCCTTGAATTTTCCAAGAACCTGAGGAGTTCCCTAAGACCAAAGAGACCATCTTTTTTCACAAGTCATTTGGAAGGAAAAGACATCAACTACTCAGCATTGCCATTGAAACTGGTTCTGCAGGGCGCCTGGGTGGCTCAGTTGGTTAAGCAACTGCCTTAGGATCAGGTCATGATCCTGGAGTCCCAGGATTGAGTCCCACATCAGGCTCCCTGCTCAGCGGGGAGTCTGCTTCTCCCTCTGACCCTCCCCCCTCTCAGGCTCTCTCTCTCAAATAAATAAATAAATAAATAAATCTTCAAAAAAAAAAAGTAAGAAAGAAACTGGTTCTGCAGTCTGGTCATGATTGACCTTTGCTCCTAGGATGCCCTTGCTGAGCCACATTCCTCAGTCTTCATGGTGATCCATAGTTAGACTTCAAAGTTACAACTTTTTTTTCGTTTACTACATAAGCTTCTATGCTCAGCTATTCCAAAGCACCAGCACCCTGTTCTGTCAGCTGGGCCTCCTGGCTTTAGCCAGACACACCCTTCCCTTCACACTCAAAAGCCTTACATGAAGCCCATATGTTAGCCCAGACCTTCAGGATGAATTATCCTTGTCTCTTCTTCCAGCAGATGGTAGTTGGGACCATTCTAAGCTGTTAAAGAGGTTCAAATAATGCTGCAGGAAGAGACTGGACTTCTCTTTCTCCTTTGTTACTAGACCTATATCCCAAGCCTGCTTTAAATCCTATGGAGCGCCTTTTCTTATTAGGTGACGAAAGGTCTCATATTGCCCTTCCCAGAGTAGTGGGCATCACCTTTCCCGAAAGGCCATGTCTTGGGTTTAATATTTCATTAAATCCTCTTAACAACCTTGTAAAATAAGGCAGTAAGATGCCTGTTTTATAGAGGAAGACTCTGAGCCCAAGAGAAGTGGCTTGTCCAAGAGGAAATAGCTGTGAGACTTAGGACTTCTGAGTTCTAGACACTTTCCATTATGGCAAGCTAACTCTAATTTACTAATTACTAAATTACGAATTCATGACTGGTTCACCTTACTTTTTTTCTCCTTTAATTACATACTTAATAAAAAGTGTATAGAACTTACAAATGTGAAGTATATGGGGTACTTCAAGCTTTGATATTAGTTCTGATATTATTTGAAATACTCCTAAGAATTTGATATTTGGTAAATGTTTTTCATATCAGTATTAAAATAGTAACATTGTTTATCACCCTTTTTTATATGTAGCAGTCGCCAACTAATTGCCGAATATAGAGAAGAAAAACTTAACAATGATTTGCAAAGTAAGAATGCAGGTAAGACTTTTCAGAGTGAATTACTTTTGGTGGTCCTAACATAGATGAAGTCAGAGTAAGGAAGTTTTGATAATGAAAGAGCAATGGAAAAAAAAAAAAAACCTACTGTGTAAATTGCATATGTATTTTTTTCTTTCTTTTCTTTTCTTTTTTTTTTTTTAAGATTTTGTCTATTTATTTGACAGAGAGAGATAGTGACAGCAGAAGCAGGGGGAGTGGCAGGCAGAGGGAGAGGGAGAAGCACGTTTCCTGCCTAGCAGGGAGCCCGATGTGGGGCTTGATCCCAGGTCTGGGGATCATGAACTGAGCTGAAGGCAGACCCTTAACCACCCAGATGCCCCTATTTTTTTTTCTTTCTTAATTTCTTTCTTAAGAGTCTAGTATTCAGGATTATTTAAGAAGTTAATTGTAGGCATTGCTGTCATGAACAATGGGAAGAAATCAGAGGGAGACAAACCGTGAGAGAAACTGGACTCTGGGAAACAAACTGAGGGTTACAGAAGGGAGGGGGGTGGGGGGATGGGGTAACCAGGTGATGAGTATTAAGGAGGACACGCGTTATGATGAGCAGTAGGTGTTACATGCAACTAATGAATTGTTGAACACTACATCAAAAACTTGTGATGGACTATATGCTGGCTAACTGAACATAATAAAAAAAATTAAATAAAGTACGTCCGTATGAACAACAACAACAAAAGAAGTTAATTGTAGGTAATTTAAAATATGAGGCGGTATTGTCTGAAAAGAAATTCATTATTTTAGTCATGACCCCTAAAATCCCATATGATATCTTTGTGTAAATAAGAAAAAGAGATTTTTAAGTTAGTATGTTTTATGTTTTCTCTATAAGCATATTATAATAAATTGAACCTGTTATGAAAATGGATCTTTTAATTTTTACAAGTGGATTACATTTAGTAAATATTATTATATAGTGATTTGTCTCATTAAAAAAGGAACTATCCTCGGGGCGCCTGGGTGGCTCAGTCGGTTAAGCGGCTGTCTTCGGCCCAGGTCATGATTCCAGGGTCCTGGGATCGAGTCCCGCACCGGGCTCCCTGCTCGGTGGAGAGTCTGCTTCTCCCTCTCCATCTGCCTGCCTCTCTGCTTACTTGTGCTCTCTCTCTATCTCTCTGTCAAATAAATAAATGAAATCTAAAAAATAAAATAGGGGGAAAAGTTAAAAAAAAAAAAGGAACTATCCTTAAAACTGGGGACTTTACAATACCTTCCTGGTATCGTAAACAAATGGCAAACAATAAGAACTGCAAAACTTAGCTAGTATGCAGCAATACCAATGAGACATTTTTTTTTTTTAAGGTAACTGTCTATTGGTTTTGCAATTTACTTATTTTCATTTGTTCACTTAACAAATAACTGTCAAGTGTCTTTTAGTTCCTAAGTGTTATTCTGATGTTGTAGAATGCAAACATTCAAAAAATACAATCCCTGCCCTCCAGGAATTTGTTATTATCATTGTCATTTTTATTATTTACTCTTCTTTATTCAGTGCTTACTATGTGCCAGAGTCCCCTAGTGCTTATAATTACCATTGTTATTTTTTTATTGGTATTTAATATGTTCCAGATACTATGTCCATAGTGAGGAATTAGAGTTTTAGGAGAGTGGGTAGAATTTAGGGTAAGTATGCAGACTGAATAGTAAGTTTGCCAGGTAAAGTGGCAGAAGGACGATGTTTGGCAGGAGAAACATCCATCAAGATGACATGTTTTGCAGACGGAACAGCAGTGCAAAGGCTAAGATGTACGAGTGAACTTTGGAGGATTTATGAGCAGTTCAGTTTTGCCAGTACAAAAAGTGTGCTATGGGAATGGTTGGAATGAGGTGAACACTTAGCTAAGGCAAGCTTATGAAAGTTTTTCAGTCGTATGGAAAGGAGTAGATCTTACCCTGTAGACCTTGGTAACTTTATCAGGTAAAATGCTTTTAGCTGCAAATAATAGGTGACTTATAACAGTGACTAAAACAGGGGCACCTGGGTGGCTTAGTCAGTTAAGTGTTGACTCTTGGTTTTACACAGTCTCGGGTCATGAGATCAAGCCCCACATCACGTTGGGCTCCGTGCGGAGTGGGCTTGAAGATTCTCTTCCTCTGCCCTTCCCCCCATTCTTGCACTCTATGGCACGCTTCCTTTCTTTCTCTCTCTTTCAAATAAATAAATCTAAAAAAAAAAACCAAAAACAAAACAGTGACTAAAAAATAGGAACTAGAATTGTTTTGATGGTTCAGTGATGTCATCAGGGTCCCAGTTGTCTCTTGTTCAGCTTTGAGGTTGGCAGTATTTTATGTCTCCCTTCCTGGTTGGCTAATTAGCAGCAGCTCCAGGTCTAGTCTCACAGGACAATATCCAATGACTGGAAGGACTGTTTTTCTTTATATGTTTCTTTCATTAATTAACTAATTAATTTATTTAAGATTTTATCCATTTATTTGACAGAGAGAGAGGGAACACAAGCAGGGGGAGTGGGAGAGGGAGCAGGGAGAGGGAGCAGGGAGCCTGATGCAGGGCTCAATCCCAGCACCCTGGGATCGTGACCTGAGCTGAAGGCAGACGCTTAACGACTGAGCCACCGAGGTCCCCCCTATATGTTTCTTTTATTTTTTTATTTTTTAAAGATTTTATTTATTTATTCATGAGAGACAGGGAGAGAGAGAGAGAGAGGCAGAGAGAGAAGCAGGCTCCCAAGGAGCAGGGAGCCCGATGTGACCCGATCCCAGGACCCTGGGGTCATGACCTGAGCCGAAGGCAGACGCTCAACCATCTGAGCCACCCAGGCGCCCCTATATGTTTCTTTTAAATAAGAATACTCAGAGGCTTACAGTGAATTTCCTCTAACATTTTCTAGGCTAGGGTGTATCGCATGCTTGTTCCTAAACCAGTCACTGGTAAATCAGGTACTGTGAATAGCTTAGAATAATCATTTCTCCTTTTGAAGCTGGGGTGAGGCCACCTTCTTTCTGTATGGGGACAACAAATATCCAAATAAAGTTGTAGTTCTCCAGCAAGAATGAAGAATTACGGAATGGCCATTGGGGAGGGAGCCAGCAGTATTTGATGCAGGGATTCATTGGAGAATTTGAAGCAGAAGGGTAATAAGATTAGATTTGAATTAGGGCCCTCTGGTTATGGTATAAAATAGGGATCACCAAGCTTTTTCTTTCAAGGGCCAGATCGTGACTATTTTAGGCCATGTGGTTTCTCAATTACAATTACCATTGTAGTGTGAAAGCAGCCATAGCAATATATAGGTGAATAGATGTGACTGTCCTCCAATAAAACTTTATTTACAGAACCAGATGGCAGGTCAGACTTGGCCTGTGGCCATAGTTTGCTGGCCCCTCATGTGGAGGATATATTGAAGGAAACCATGTAAAGAGACTGGAAGACAAAGGAAGCTTATATTTCCTTAGCCTAGTATCAGTCCATTATGAAATTTTCACCCTTCTATACTGAAAAAGTCAGGAGGCTCAGTTTATTCAATTTAAAATGTTGTTCTTTTTCTAGGCCTTATGTCTTTCTCATTTTTTAAAATTTAAACAATTTTTTTTAAAGATTTTATTTATTTGAGAGAGAGAGAGAGATAGGGAGCACAGTGGGGCAGAGGGGCAGGGGCAGAGGGTGAGGGAGAAGCAGACTCCCTGCTGAAAAGGGAGCCCGATGCGGGGCTTGACCCCAGGACCCTGAGACCATGACCTGAGCTGAAGGCAGATGCTTAACTGACTGAGCCACCCACGTGCCCCCTTTCTCATTCATTTTGCTTAAAAATTTTTTATTAATTTAAGAAATAACCATAATAGTTGGTGGCTTTTTTTTCCCCTCTGGAAGTCATCAGTTAAGAGCTCATGTTTGAGTAGGGCAGTGGCAGGGGAAATATAAAGCAGAGACAGAAAAGAAGTATAGTTAATATGATTTCGTGATTATTGAATGTAAAAAGTTAGGGGAGAGAGGAAATCTAAGAAGATTCATATGTTTCCAGGTTGAACACTGGCATTTAAATTGGACATGAAGAATGAGTAGGACTTTATCAGATGAAGAGTGGAGAGCGGTGGGAGTAGGGAAGACCAGGTTTTTTTCTGTATACGTTGAATTTGATGGAATGTCCATGTAGTAGATTTTCAATAATTGGATAATCGAATACTAGGAGGTTTCTAGCTGGAGGTAGAGCTTCAAGGTTGGAGGTGCAGATTTGAAATAATCTGATTAGAATTATTAAGCAAAGTGATAGCTTGGACAAAGATTGAGCTTGTCCATGGTGGAGAAACATATAGAATGAGAAGGAGGCCAGTGAACAAACCCTGGGAATACCAAAATATAAGGGTGGATGGAGGAGTAGGAGTTAGTAGAGAAGACTGAGGAGTGACTGGGGAAACGTAAGAGAGGAATTAGAGGAAGTGATGGTGAAAAAATTAAAAAAATATTTCAAGGAGGCGTATTACTGAAAAGAAAGAAATTACTGAAAAGAAAGTTGGATTTAACTTTTAAAAGCTCTTTGGTGGTAACCTTTTCAAAAGAATTTTTGAGTTGTACGATCTATTATTTACATGATTGGTACTTTCTACGTCCAAATTTGGAAAAATAACACATCAAGTAAGGTCCTACGTAACTTTTTTGTAACTGCAGTGTCTACCCGGACAGGGTCAAGGGAAAATGGTCTAGCCTGGTGAGTAGACTTGCCAACATTTTCCCATAATTGTCAAAACCTAGGAGTCAAGTGTGAGGAAAAGTGTTGTCTTTCTTACCTGTTTCTGGTGGAGATACTTGAGTTTTTCCTCAAGTCCTTGATACACTCTTCTGGATGAATACGAAAACAAAAACAGCAACAGGCAGGAAGCCACTGTCAGGCCCTATCTCTGATATGGAATCATGATGCAGCTGTATTTTGAGAGTTTTAAAGTTTGATCAGAAATAGTTTACAGACCTGCAGTTTGGAGCCTTTTGACCTCTTTTAAATATTTTATTGCAGAAAACTAGTATAATACCGAGGAGAAAATATAAGGTGATACACTGAATATACTAGTCTCACTAGTTTAGGAATTCTGTGTCAGTAAAAACAGTCAATACCTGACTATTTTGGTTAGTGCTGTCTCTCTTGATCCTCTTTTCATTTGCCTTCTTCTAATATCTCCACTTCTACTGCTCCTTTCTGAATTTCATCTCTAAAGAAAGCGCTAAGGAAAATTGTCTTGGAATCCAACACTATTAGAACACATTTCTACCATATGTATGTTTGACATATATGTGTATTTCCTTCTAAGGTAATGGGCTACCTAATCTAAAGTGTATCTCATATTTTATTAGTTTCTTGTGCTAAATTTCTTTGTATCTGTATCACAGTGACAAAGTTAGTGATGATGGTCTGCCAAGACTGAAAGCATTTTCTGGATTGTCAGAAATTTTTATCTGATACACCTTTAATGTGAAATGCTTTTATATTTTTTTTCCAGAAATTGGTAAACTGTGACTTAACAAGAATATGTGGCCAATTAGATTATCAAGTTTTTAACCATCTATGTATATAAGATAACTCACTTTGTTTTCCCCCAAATGAGCCCTATTGATCTTTAATGATCAAATCCACTATTTTCAGGGTGGAGCGGATAACTCATATTTTGGATGGAGTATTTTTGGCTTTTTTTTTTTTTTTTTAAGATTTTATTTATCTACTTGACACACAGAGAGATAGCAAGAGCAGGAACACAAGCAGGAGGAGTGGGAGAGGGAGAAGCAGGCTTCCCGCGGAGCAGGGAGCCCGATGTGGGACTCGATCCCAGCATCCTGGGATCATGACCTCAGCCGAAGGCAGACGCTTAACGACTGAGCCACCCAGGCATCCTATTTTTGGCTTTTTGACTAGTTTGTCGACAACTGCCTTTAATAGGTGAACTATGCTTTTAATTCTGTAAGAAATTAAGGAAAAGACTGGAAACAAAACTCTATAATCAATAGTGTGTTGTTAAACTGTGTATGATAGTTACATATTTTTCTATAGTTATCCCAGTTACCTTATTGATTCATAACTACCATAAAAATGGTATTAAGCCCTATTTATTTATGTATTTATTTTCTTTAAGATTTTTTTTTTATTTATCTGACAGAGAGAGACACAGCGAGAGAGGGAACACAACTAGGGGGAATGGGAGAGGGAGAAGCAAGCTTCCCGCTGAGCAGGGAGCCCGATGTGGGGCTCAATCCCAGGACCCTGGGACCATGACCCGAGCTGAAGTCAAACGCTTAACCACTGAGCCACCCATGCGCCCTGAATTAATCCCTATTTAGTTGGAGAAAATTTATGTGATCTTTTCATTTTTTTATAGGAAATTTTATACTGTAGAATATTTTGGTAATCATCAGGATTCTCTTTTTTTTTTCCTGATTAAAATAAGATTGTTGCTTGTTTGACATTATTTTCCGATCATTATGTCATCTCTTCTTTTTATGCCTTTATTCAGATGGGTATAGAAAAACAGGAATCTCCAAGGCAGATACTAAGAAAACCAGATTCAAGTAAAGGTGTTCTGTGAAATAACCGTCTGACTGTAATCATGTATAAAATATCAACCCAAATCATAAAAATTTCATATAATGCAGTTGTATTAGAGATTCCCAGAACGACACCCAGATTTGGTTATTCACTAGAAGAACTCACAGGTCTTAGCATATTTGTACTCATGCCTTTAGTTTATTACGGTGAAAGGATACAAAGCAAAATCAGCACAGAGGAAAGGTGCATGGAGTGAAGTCTAGAGGAAACCAAGTGCAGGCTTCTAAGAATCCTCTGCCTATGGCTGTGCTTAATTCCTCCAGCATCAAGTTATGTGCTTAATTCCTCCAGCATCAAATTATGACAACACATATGAAATGTTGTCTGCCAGTACAAGAATCTTGTAGAGACTCAGTGCCTGAAGTTTTCTTGAAATGATAATCATGTAGCCATCTTCTCCCTAGCGTATACCAAAATTCCAGGCTCCCTGAAGGAAATCAAGTATACAGGATAAGACACCTGGTTTGTACCAACACTTAGGCACAGCCACTCTTACCAGCTATGGAATGGTGGGAACCCTCCCAAAATCCAAGTTCCCGGATACCAACCAAGGGCCAGCCATTCAAGTGGGATCTAATGGTGGCAGTCTTTGGCCTGCTCTATGGAATCTTTTTTGCATAGGAATTATAGCCCTGACTTAATTTTTGTTGTTGTTTTAAGATTTTATTTTAACAGCAAGAAATATGATGGTATCACATGGTACTGGTTTCAGTAGCATGATCTGTATTAAATGAAGTGCTGGTTACTTTTTTGACTTTTGGTGAATATTTAACAGGTATTTGTACATAAATTACTGCGGCAATATTAGGTAATTATAATCTTTTTTTTACCTTATTAAACTTTCATTATGATTCTTAGATTAAACAATGGTTTCTGATTTAAAATTAGAATAAAAATTCTTAATTATATAGATAATCCAGTTTTGTTTCATATGATAGTGAATCCCTGTTTATAAGATTCGATTATATAATTGTCAGTTATTTTCTTGCCTAAGTATGCAATTAAAATTATTTGCTTTATGTATTTTCATATACTTCAATTTGGTGAATAATACCTGTATTCTGTTACTTCGGTCTTTATCTTAATTTTCACGGTGGCTGTATCTTACTTTAATACATGGTGATAGCAGGCTTAATGGATACCTTTTTTTTCCTTCACGAAAAATAGACCTTACTTTTTAGAACATTTTCAAGTTAACAGCAAAATATAGCAGAAAGTACAGAGTTTCCATTTACCCCATGTTCCCATACATGCATAGCCTCCCCTGTTGTCAACATCCTGTACCACAGGGATACATTGTTTTATTTACATTAACTCATCTTTATCATCCAAAGTCCATAATTTACATTTCGGTGCAGTCTTGGTGTTGTACATTCTATTGGTTTTAACAAATGTATAATGACATGGAATAGTCTCACTGCCTTAAAAGTCCTCTGTGCTGTGCCTATTCATCCCTCCTTTTGCCGCAACCCTTAACTCCTAACTTGAAAAGTTTTACTTTTTCCAGAATGTCATATAGTTGCAATCATACAGTGGATATCTTCTTGAATGCTTATTTTTTAATTTATTTTTATTTTATTTTATTTTTTTAAAGATATTATTTATTTATTTGAGAGAGAGAGAGAGAACTCGAGGAGGGGGAGGGGCAGAGGGAGAGGGAGATGCAGACACCCCCACTGAGCAGGGAGCCCGATGCGGGGCTCGATGTCAGGACCCTGAGATCATGACCTGAGCTGAAGGCAGATGCTTAACCACTTAACCGACTGAGCCACCCAGGCGCCCCTCTTCTTGAATGTTTGAAAAATTAAAATTCCAAGGTAATTGAATATAGTGATTCAAGATATTCTTTGTCCTTTGTTTTGTTTTGTGTTCATCAGTGTAGGATCTGATGACATATGCCTTACAGACTGAAAAAGTGTGATTTCTATAGACATTTGTCACATAATGGGGAGGGTTGAGAACAATGACATCATGTACTACTACCTAGCACTAACCATTGGTACCATTCTGGTCTAAGAGATGGGTCCAGATAGACTCTCTAGCAATGAAAGTAGATAGTCTCAAGAGGTTATACTTTATAAAACCAGAATCACTAAAATCACTAAAATCTTTCATACTTACCTGCAATTGGAAATAAGGCCAGAGAGAGTCTGTTTGCTATGTTTTGCCATGCTGCAAAGTACAGTGGCTATAGACCAAAGTTTGTGATGAGATGTTTCATCCTAAACTTAACAGTCTCTGCTGAAGAGCTGGAGAAGTTCTGTTGTGTTACAGCAAAATAAATGCAGTCTCTTTTAACTGCTCCTAGTAGTGGAAGTCCAGAAGAATCATGTTATTTAGGTTTGACATTGTCGGTCTATGATAATGATTCTGCTAATGATACTGTTTTCCGTCAGTCTCATAGGGCTTGGTTACAATTATGGTCATTATAAACATTCACTTGGAGGTATCAAATTCTGATAAATACCATTCTTTTCTTGCATTTGGTAAATGTAGAGGAGAAAGTAGGATTTCTTAATGCATTAACTGCCTACCAATAATATAATTAATACTCATTCCAGTGTGGTTTCCAGGTGTGATCTTGAAGGAATACTTTTTAACAAATCATCAGTCTTATACTTTTAATATTCTGTATTTTTCTATTGTTGATTTAAAATGTATTTTGCTTTTTTCTTTAGTGGCAGATAAGAGTGCTGAAGAAGAGTCTTTAAGCAGGTAGGATTTTTATGGAGTCTTTCAAATTATGTGTTAACTAAGGGAATACAGAGAAAAGCATTTGTTGAGTTCTGCTCTGGGCTAGACACTATATTATGTGCTTGACACTTATTACTTATATAGTCATTACAATAGCTTCACAAAGTAGCTCTGCTATTATAGCCTATTTTTTATTAGTCAGCCGTGGTGCAGGGAGGTTGATTAATTGACCTGTGATTACATAGTTAATGAGTAGCAGACCCATGATTTGACTGTCAGCCTGTGTGACTCCCATCTCCATTCTTTTGTCCCTCAGCAGCACTGGGATTAAGATACAGATCCTAGTCAGATCAACTCAGTCAAATTTAGTTATGTGTTAACCCTGATTTAGAGTTTTCTTAAGAAACCAGGTTAGTTCAAGCATTTGTCCTAATATATTTGACAACTAGTGATAACTAGAGGTAATTACTGCAGTGGTAACTAGTCTGTTGTTTTTACTGTCAAAGATTTTAGGGTGGATCTCAGTTACCGATGGCCACAGTACATAGCTTTTACATAAGCAAGACCTAATCAGGCAAATTCTTAGATATAGTGATGTCTGCTCTCCTTGAGATGAATGATTTTTCCAGAAGTGAAGGATATGTAATCTAGGTGTAGACCATGTTGCATTAATTAAATTTATCATCTATTTAGAGGATATTTCTAAATGATTCTCTACTTACTGACTTCCCAGTCTAGTTTTACCTAGGCTAGTACCCTTGACTAGTTCTTTGAAGCTTCTTCTTTTTTTTTTGTAGACCTTTTTCTTTTTCTCCATGACTTTTCTATAATCTTTTCTTGATTTTTTTTTTTTTTTTACTTTGCTTTTCTTGGTGTTTCTTTTAGTCCATTAATTGTTTCCATTTCTGCCAGCTAAATAGTCTCTGTGTTTCTATAGACAAAATCAAAAGCACATAGAATTTCAGGATCTTAAGGAATCTTAGAGATGAATTAATCAAAATACCCTCTGGTACTGCAACCTATGTTCAACATCCTCCCACCAAGTGGTTGTTTAAATGGAGAATTTGAAACTCAAAAGAGATTAAAAGTGACTTATTTGGATATGATAAGTGACAGAAATGAGATTTAAATTCAGGTTTTTTCCTTTTTTCTCATCTTGTAGGTAAATGTTTTAATAATTGAAAGATGGGGAGGGGGTCTTATGAACACAGTGAAGGGGGGTAAGGAAGGAATTAGCAGGAGAGGCCAAGTTTCAAGAAGAATAACACTGGGTTGGATAGTTTTAGGAAAGATGTCAGAATATTGGGGTTTATGATAAGTTAGATAAAGATGAATTATAGGAATGACGGATACACACACACACACAAAGGAATGAAGGACACAGGATATTGGGAGTTGTTTAGAAAGGCATATTAAAATAGAGGGTTGAAGAGAATCTTGAGCAGCTTTTTTGTTTGTTGGTTTAATTGAATGAACTAGCATACTTCAGGTTTTCTGTTGAGAGATATTAAAATCATTTGAGCCACTGGGAAGAATCTTTTTACAGCATATAAGAATGTGATATCATTTACTTCCACCCCAACTTACAGAGAGTGGCTTAGATCCTCTTGAGTAATAGGCGCAATGGAGATTCTACACAACATAGATGTATGGCCCAAGGTAGCGGTCTCCTCACTCCACCTCTTTTCTTAATTCTCTGATGCCCTGCCCATGTACATGTAGGGTTTGGTGGGGTATGAGTGGCTGTCAAATCAGTAACAGGAGTTTTATTTGGGTAGTTGGTAACATGTCTACGTTGAGATGACTCCATGGATGACTGAAACTCCATTTTGCTTGTTCTCCAGGAGCAGGAAATGGCTCCTACTCTTGGACATTTGAGCCTATCCTTGTTTTGGGAGTCTGTGCTTTCATAGACTAAAGACTTAAAGGTTGGAGAGTACCACTGAGCCCTGCAGAAGAGTGATAATAGGGGTGGGAACTCACAGAAAGAAAATATTAGGCAGTGTATAGGGAAATAGAGGCACAGCCACCCGGACTCTGTTTTTATAGCAGTCTCTCTTCTTGGGTATCTGAGTGCCTATGAAGGTTTTTAAGGTCTTGCTCGTTTATGTAGACCTAAATAAGGCAGGACCAGTGAAGGAAAAAATTTGAACCTTATAATTTTTAATCTTTTAATCTGGGAATAGTATTCCCACTAATAACATAAATTTGTTCTTTAACATTTATATATTTATTTATTTCTTTTAATTGAAGCATAGTTGACACAAGATGTTATGTTAGTTTCAGGCGTACAAGGTAGTGCTTGAACAACTCTATATGTTACACCATGCTTACCACAAGTGTAGCTACTATCTGTTACTGCATAATGCTATTACAATACCAGTGACTATATTCCCTATGTTGTACTTGTATCCCTGTGACTTACTATAACTGGAATCCTGAACCTCCCATTCCCCTTCACCCATTTCGTCCGTCCCCCACCTCCTTCCCTTCTGGCAATACAGAATTCTCTCTATTTCTGGGTCTGTTTCTGCTTTTTGTTTGTTCATTTGTTCTGCTTTCTAGATTCTACATATAAGTGAAATCATACAATATTTGTCTTTCTCTGACTATTTCACTTAGCATAATACCCTCTAGGTACATCTACATTGTTGCAAATGGCAAGATCATATTCTTTTTTATGGCTGAGTAACATTCCTCTGTGTGTGTGTGTGTGTGTGTGTGTGTAAGAGATACATCTGTTGATGGACACTTGGGTTGTTTCCATATATTGGCTGTTGTAAATAATGCTGCAGTAAACATGGGGGTGCATATATCTTTTCAAATCAGTGTTTTCATTTTCTTTGGGAAAGTAAGTAACCAGTAATGGAATTACTGGATCTTGTGTTATTTCTATTTTTAATATTTCAAGGAACCTCCATACTGTTTTTCACACCATTTTCTATCCCCACCACCAGTGCACAAGGGTTCCTTTTTCTCTACATCCTCACCAACACTTGTTTTTTGTGTTTTTGATTCTAGCCATTCTGACAGGTGTAAGGCGATAATTCATTGTGGTTAACTTTTGAACAATTAACTTTCAAACATTTCAGAGAATTCCTTGCCTGTCACTCTTAGTTATGGGAACTAAGACTGGGTCTTTACTAGGTATTTCACATCTTCGGAGAGGTGGAGGCAAGATAGATAACGAAAACCTTCTTAAAAACAGAGACCAAATTTTGAAAGACCTGTACTCTAACAACTATAAAACATTGATGACAGAAATTGTGTCAAGACAGAAGAAGTGGAAAGACGTTGCATGCTCATGAATGGGAAAAACACATATTGTTAAAATGTCTATACTACCCCAGGCAATCTACAGATTTAATGCAATGCCTATTAAAATACCAACATTTTTCACAGAACTAGAACAAACAATCCTAAAATTTGTATGGAACCACTGAAGACCTCGAATAGCCAAGGCAATATTGAAAAACAAATTGGAAGTATCACAGTTCCAGATTTCAAGTTATATTACAAAGCTGTAGTCATCAAAACAGTATGGTACTGGCAAAAAACAAATATAGATCAGTGGAATAGAACAGAAAACCCCAGAAATAAACCCATAACTATATGGTCAATTAATCTTTGACAAAGCAGGAAAGAATATCCAATGGAGAAAAAGCAGTCTTTTCAACAAATGGTGTTGGGAGAACTGGACAGCTACATGCAAAAGAATGAAACTGGACCACTTTCTTTAAAAATACACTCAAAAATGGGTTTAAGACCTAAATGTGACACCTGAAATCAAATATTTGAAGAGAGCACAAGCAGTAATCTCTCTGATATTGGCTGTAGCAGTGGTGTTTTGTTTTTTTGTTTGTTTGTTTTTCTCTAATTATGTCTCTTGAGGCAAGAACAATAAAAACAAAAATAAACTATTGGGACTACATCAAAATCAAAAGCTTTTGCACAGTGAAGGAATCAGTCCACAAAATGAAAAGGCAACCTATGAATAGGAGAGGATCTTTGCAAATGACATAGCTGATAAAGGGTTAGTATACAAATACAAAGAACTGATAGAACTCAACACCCAAAACACAACCCGGTTGAAAAATGATCAGAAGACATGAACAGACATTTTTCCAAAGAAAACATACAGATGGTCAACAGGCACATAAGAAGATGCTCAACATCACTCATCATCAGGGAAATGCAAATCAAAACTACAATGAGACACCACTGCACACCTGTCAGAATGACTAAAATCAAAAACACAAGAAACAAGTGTTGGTGAGGATGTGGAGGAAAAGGAACCCTCTTGGATTGTTGGTGGGAATGCAAACTGGTGCAGCCACTGTGGGAAACAGTATGGAGTTTCCTCAAAAAGTTAAAAATAGAACTACCCTATAATCGAGTAATTGCACTACTGGGTATTTACCAAAAAATACGGAAACACCAATTCAAAGGGATACATGCACTCCTATGTTTACTGCAGCATTATTTACAAGAGTCAGCCCAAGTGTCCATTGATAGATGAATGGGTAAAAAGTGATATACATACACAATGGAATATTATTCAGGCATAGAAAAGAATGAAATCTTGCCATTTGCAATGAAATGGGTGGAACTAGAGAGTATTATGCTAAGTGAAGTCAGAGAAAGACAAATACCATATGATTTTACTCATATGTAGAATTTAAGAAACAATAAAAATGAGCAAAGGGAGAAAAAAAAAAAAGACAAACCAAGAAACAGACTCTTAACGATAGAGAACAAATTGATGGTTACCAGAGGGGAGGGAGATGGGTGGGGGAATGGGTGAAATAGGAGACAGAGATTAAGGAATGCACTTGTCATGATGAGCACTGGGTGATGTATGGAATTGCCCTATCATTATATTGTATACATGAAACTAATATAGCACTTGTATGTTAATGATATAGGATTTAAAATAAAAACTTAACAAAAACAGAGGCCAAATTTTAAGTATTATCAAGAAACTTCATTCAGTAAATAGCTGACCTTTCATTCGATTTTTCTTTTTAATGAACTTGTTTTTGTTGATGTTTTTGCTCTAAAGTATTTCTGTTAAACCTGGTACTGATGATTCATGGCCTACATCAGATGATGAAGACTTTAATTTTGATATCAAGGTAAAGTACTCTTGTGAAATTTGTTTTCCTGCTCTGAATTTAGTTTGTATATTATTTACTCTTAAAATTTAGCAGTGGCCTACCTATCATCATTTTGTTTGTAATGGAAAGTGGGTCAGAACAAACCATTTTGTAGAATTTTTTTTTTTTTTTTTTTTTTTTTTTTTTTACTCTGGTAAATACTGAAGGTGGAGGCTGAAAAAAATGGGCTGGAAAATAGGTAATGACAGGAAAATTATATTGGGAAAAGCTTTTCCATAATGGAGGAAATAAGATATTTGGTGTAGGATAAGGATTTTTCTGTGAGTTTTAAGTTATCTTAACATGACTTTTCTTTCTTTCTTAACATGACATTTATAATACTCATGCCTAAATGAAATCTTTAGTGGATTCAATTATTGCGGACGTTTTTCCCTTGGTAACATATAGTTTTACAAAAGACTTTTTTCTCTATTTTTATCCTTTGTTGTACATTTAGACTAAAATAATATTAGAAATTGTGGAAATTCAGAAATTTAAATTCTCAGAATTTATATTGCAAAGGTATTCCACTGTGTTTTCAAAATAATTCCATTAAGATTATAGTTAAAACGTTATCTAAGTGAAGAATACATGTTTTGCCTAAAATAATAATCAGCTCTAGAAGCAGAGGCTCTTCATACCCATATGGTAAAATGTCCAATTTCAGAAATCTTTTATATTACAGTTTTTAAAAATATCTACTCAATCTTTGTATCAGATTCTACAATTTAAAATTTCATTCTTATTTAAATATTCATTTTAAAGCCCCTGCATCATTATAAGCTACTGGATGTTAGGAAACGTAATTGTCCATCTCCTGGAACACCTAGAATAAAGTCTTGCTTGGAAGAAGCAATTTAATATTTTTTGAATGTGAATAAATGAGCAGACAGATGGAATTCTGTATAATGGAATGTTATAAGTAATGTGCATAGTGTGTCATAATTAAATACATGAATTTTTAAAAATATGGCTCAAATTTATATTCCTATTTTTTAAAAAGATTTATTTATTTGAGACAGAGAGAATGAGAGAGACCACATGAGAGTGGGGAGGGTCAGAGGGAGAAGCAGACCCCCCCGCTGAGCAGGCGCCCCCCCCTCCACCCCCCCGATGTGGGACTCGATCCCGGGACTCCAAGATCATGACCTGAGCTGAAGGCAGTCGCTTAACCAACTGAGCCACCCAGACGCCCTATATTCCCTTTTTATGTTTAAGATTTATAAGTGCAAATGAATGATGTTGAGGAAATAAATAAATAAGAAAAAAGGTTACAGTATATTTTTTAGTATCCTCTAATTGTGAGCTCAGAATTTTCTTTTTTTTTTTTTTAAGATTTTATTTATTTATTTATTTGAGAGAGAGAAACAGCATGAGAGGGGAGAGAGTCAGAGTGAGAAGCAGGCTCCCCGCAGAGCCAGGAGCACGATGTGGGGCTCAATCCCAGGACTCCGGGATCATGACCCGAGCCAAAGGCAGATGCTTAACCAACCGACTGAGCCACCAAGGCACCCCATGAGCTCAGAATTTTAGATACAAATTCCTCAACTTTTTTCTTTAACCCCATCTGTGTCTCATTAGATATCCTTTCAAGGTGTACATTTCTCCTTAGAATTCTCATTACCAATTCTTTCTCCATGTGGAAAGTTGATGTGTTAGAAACATTTCTTTTTCTATTTTTTTCTCTCTATAGTAATAATTTATAACTTTCAGGTACTGATAAGGTAAAGGTAAGTGGAAAAAATATTTTTCAGTATATGTAAATATGATTATGGATATACTATAAACAGAAGTCTCTTAAATTTTTTGAATTACATATTATAAATATATATATTATGTATATATTGTAAATATATACATTACATATATATTATAAATATATCTAAAACAGAGGCTTTCATTCATAGTATATCCCTAATAACACTGACTTTTCTCACTCTACATTTATTTGTTTAAAAAAACTGTAGTAAGGAATTTAATTTTTTCTCTATAAAGTAAATTGTTGGGGTGCAGGTGCCCCTTCAGATCACTATGTTTGTATCCTTTGGATAAATACCTAGTAGTGCAATTGCTGGGTTGTAGGGTAGCTTTATTTTTAACTTTTTGAGGAAGAATATATATATAATAATCAGTTAGGGGTAAGGAAAATAACATTTTGGGACTAGCTATTAAATCTCTCATAATCCTCATCCCAGGAGAAAATATAGGCTTAGTAAATGGCAGAACTGAGATTTGAATCTCCATTTGAATGATTCCAAAACCTGTGTTCTCTGTGTAGTGGTGCTCATTTGATAATGGGGAATTATCAATAATAATTAAAATTAAAATAATAATTATTTTATCAAATGTGATACTTGTAGTCCTTAAAACTATTAATTTTTTTCTAGACTGTCCCAAAACCAAACTTGAGAGCGCTAATGAATGCTTCTGAGCAATTCAAGAATGGTAAGCTATTTGAAGACGTGTTATTCACTAATTTTTGCCCATTCTTGTATTATTCAGTAATTCGAAATTACAGATATTTTCATGTTCTTTTTATTTTGTTTTTTACTAAGTGGGAACAAAATGTGGCCTTATAACACTAGGAGGTAGAACTTTATCTGAGCACGATAATTCTGATTATGAAGATGAAAATATAGTTGGACTTCTTTACAAACCACCATTCAAAGCCAATGACTTTTCTTGTCCTGCTTTTTCAAAACCTGTCAAATCGTTAGCAGGCCATGGTGTTATAAAGGTAAGTTGTTCTGTTTTAAGCTTTTTTCCCTATTTTTTTCACATACCATCCTCTTGATCCTTATAATGAAAAGAATCTTAGGAAAAAACAGAAGTCCTCAAGATCATAAGGGGAAATAATATAATAACAACAGAGAGGTAAGTACCAGATTGAGATTTATAAAGGTTGGTGGGAGTAAACAATTCTTAGGTATGCCATTATGGAAGGAAAGAATTAGAAAGCAACTGGAAAGAACAGCTAGATGGATGTGAAGATGAGGGAGGGGGTGGGGGGAAGAATTAATTTAAGAAGGGCAAGATGAATGTAAAGATTAAAGAGTTGAGAGAGATTATTATAAAAAGACAACAGCAGTAGTGAGGCTAAGGGAGAGCAGATACTCTATATTACAAAATATGGTAGAAATTATTTTAAGTGCAAAATAAGAAAACAACGTGAAGTAATAAAAAAAAATGCTTAGACTCTTCTGAATGACTTAAAGCTGACTTTTATGAAGAACTGGAAGAAAATTTTATCCTTCCATTTAAGTTTAATAAAGTGTGCTATCTTATATTTAATTTAGCAAAACCTGTGTTTATAGATAATGCAAAGTGAAATCTGTTTTAGGCCTTAATCAGATTTATTATGAATTTTGAATTTTTGGCCATTGTCTTTCTTGTGGTTTCTTTCTTTCTTTCTTTTGTAAGATTTTATATATTTATTTTTGTGAGAGAGAGAGAGTGTGAGTGCACGAGCAGGAGGAGGTGCAGAGGGAGAAGCAGACTCCCCACTGAGGAGGGAGCCTGATGCAGGACTCAATCCAAGGACCCTGGGTTCATGACCTAAGCTGAAGGCAGACTCTAAACCAACCGAGCCACCCAGGTGCCCTTTCTTGTGGTTTCTGATTTAACTTCCTGTGTGGTAGAATCTTGGTAGGTTTTAGATCTTTTTGAGACTAAAGAGAGGAAATAAGTAAACATTTAGTCTTTTCATTAATTAAAACTGAAATTTCTGATTATGTAAGTGAGGTTCTTAATCTTTATCCAATAAATGAAATAAATTTTAAGCTGTAACACTCTTAAAGAAAAAATAGAAAATTTTGTTTCTGGATTGTGATTTATAATTTATTTTTAATTGTATCTGCATTTAATAGATACACAGACACACATCAAATGAATGAACTCACAATTTATAGGTTTTTTTCTAATATGAACTGTTTGTCATTGTAGAATCATAAGGAAGGAAAGGTTGCCAACAGAGTATACAGAATTATTTCTGGAAGATGATTTTTACTTTTTCAAATATCTCCAATAGTAGATACATTTTATATTATTCTCAGGAAACTTTAGTATTCATCGTTGTTAATTTTTGTTTTAGATTTAAAAAATTTTAAGTAATCTCTATACCCAACATGGGGCTTGAACTCACCACCCTGAGATCAAGAGTCACACACTCTTCCAACTGAGCCAGCCAGGCGCCCCATAGTTGTTAAATTTAACATGTGAATTCTTTCATATCTGAAATTCAGAAATACTGGTGATTTGATTTTTTTTTGTCCCTTTCTTCTTTCCTTCTGTGAATATTGGGTCCTGCTTGATGATCATACATGTATTTGGAGACTTTAAAACCTTCAACTTGGATGATCATGATTATTAATTTTTTAATACTAGATTCTTTCCCCAGTCTTTAACTACCATCCTATATTCATTGATAGGAAATTAGAGCTATTAGTATGCTGTTCACAGTGGAATAAGAAAATCATGTGAATTTTAAAATAGGGCTTTATATTTTTCTCGTACATTGTAGTAGTACTTAAAGATGCCTCAAAATTCTATAATCCTATAAGTATTTCTCTTCTACAATTTAAATCTTTTAAAATTAATTTTTAGAAAATTATTCTTACAAAATCTTGAATTGGTGTTTTGCAATTAAATCTTTTTATTAATCTTAAAAATGCTATTCATTAAAGAAATTAATACTTGCCTATATATATATTTTTTTTTCTAAATATTTATTTCAGAGAGAGAGAGAGTCAGGGGGAGGGGCAGAAGGAGAGGAAAAGAGAGGGAGAGAAGCAGACTCCCCACTGAGCATGGAGCCTGATTTGGGACTCAATCTGACAAACCTGAGATCATGACCTGAGCCAAAATCAAGAGTCAGATGCTTAACGAGTTGAGCCACCCAGGTGCCCACTAACTTGCCTATATTAATAAAAGTCTATTTTCTATCCTTGAAACTAATGTTGAAGTATATAAATGAAATATTGAATCCCATGGTTTTTCCCCCCCCTGCTTTTATTTTTATTCTGAAAATTTCAGAGTTCTGTGTAGGTTTACATTAATTATATCAGGTTAGTATATTTTATAGATATTTGTTTTATTAACATCATGTGCTTTTCCTGTCATTTTTTCCTACTCCAAATGTATTTGTGTAAAACTTTCTCCTTAGGTGCTTCCAATTTGGTATGTCCCAGATTGAAGACTTTGTTTCTGACCCTTTCCTCTTCCCTGACTTTTTGTAATCTGCTTTGTCATTTGTTTTCCCCATCCTAGTATATTGTGCCACTGAAACACTGAAGCAGGAAAAATCCTGGACTGCAAACTTCCCTGAAATTACTACATCCAGGGGCACCTGGGTGGCTCACTTGGTTAAGCATCCGACTCTTGATGTTGGCTCAGGTCATGATCTCAGGGGTCCTGGTATCAAGCCCTGTTACAGGCTCCATACTGAGTAGGGAGTCTGCTTGAGGATTCTCTCTCTTCCTCTCCCTCTGCCCCTCCCCCTGCACGCACACACACTCTCTCTCTCAAAATAAGTAAATCTTTAAAAAAAAAAATCACCACATCTCTACCTCTGAAACCAGTAATACATTATATGTTAATTAATTGAATTTAAATTAGAAAAAGGGACGCCTGGGAGGCTCAGTCAGTTAGGGGGCTGCCTTCAGCTCAGGTCATGATCCGGGGGTCCTGGGATTGAGTCCCAAGTTGGGCTCCTTGCTCAGCGGGAAGCCTGCTTCTCGCTCTGCCTGCCACTCCTCCTGCTTGTGCTTTCTCTGTCTCTGACAAATAAATAAAAAATCTTAAAAAAAAAAAGTAAAAAACAAAACAGAAAAATCACCACATTCAGTATTTTGTCCCTGCTTACCATTTTTCATATCTTATTATCATAATTCACTCTCTCACGTATAGTTTTGAAATACTCTTCTGGTTTTGGTTCCCTTATGTTCATCTTTACATTGCTGTCAGACCTTTCTACAATATATTTCTGACGATGTAACTCCTCTGCTTATTTAGTGGATCCCCATTACATGAAGGAGAAAGTTCATATTCTAGCATGACACTTGCCTTTTTTGCTTCAGTCCTGATTTTCCAGTTATCTCTCTCTGTCCCATTCCCAAAAGTTGTGTTCCAGTTTTGCCACATTCTGGAGCTATCGTAACTTACTGCGTTATTTCATACTTCATCCTTTCGCTCATTCTACCTTTTCTAGAGTGTCCTTTGCACCCTCCTTGTGCACCTTGTCTGTCTTTCAATATACAGCCCTATCTGCAGCATTTCCTGAGCTTCCCATATGCAACTCTTTTCTCCTTTGTGCCTTCACTGTACTTTATTCACTTCACCTGCAGAACTAGTAAATGATACCCTTCTGTTCTTAATTGTTTTGGTCCATCTCTACCCCTACTAGCATATAGGGCAGTCTCTGTCGTTTATATTTCCAGCTTCTCCCACGATAGTGCCTATGACTTGACAGGTACGGTGTGTCTTTGTCTTTCTGAGTGAGTGAGTGAGTGAACAAGTGAATTAATGTGATGTTTTCTGAAGTTGGGTTTTTGTTTTGTGTTGTTTTTATAGGAAGGAGAGGTGCAGCCGGCAACTGGAAAAAAAGACAATGGTATTAATATTACTGAAAGTGCTCCACAAGAGCAAACAGTTAGTGACCATCTGACTTCTGCTGATAGAGCATACAAAAGTAATAGTAGTGGTAAGTTAGTAAACATCTGTGAATTTTTTCCTATGCTCAAATGCTAGTATAAAGAAATCTGAAAGTATGTAGATCCAGATGTTATGCATTTCATTAAGATATGTTTCTTTTGCTGTCTTTCTTTTTAAGTATCCTGACTACTACCAACTTTTTCTTCCTGAAAATAATTCAACCCTCTGAAAATCTTTACTGCTATTACTTTTATTTTATTGAAATAGTCATGAGTAGGGATAAGCTTGTACATATGTTTAAAATTCATAATAATACATGTTCTCATTAATGTTATCTGTGACTGTATTTTATAGTTACGATGTCAGCATTGGGATTAGGAGAAGAGGAAGATGGAGAATCACCTTGGGATTCTGAGGTACTGTTTTCTTCTTATTATTTTAAAATATAAGCATTGAATGATGTTAAAGCATAAAAGGGATGCTTAGACTTTACTCTGTCATCTCTGCATTTGCCCATAAAAACTATTTCCTTATACTTTTTACCTGTAATTGATAAAATAATTATGTGCTAAATATAATAATACAGCATAATACAGTTCTGCTAATTTGCAAGCTTAACTTAATGAAAGCTGTGTATTATTACTGCAGAAAACTGAGGTTTAGGAGTGATAAGGAATTAGTTTGCGTTTTGAAATTAAGTTATCTAAAAAACTAAAGAATTACTCCAGGCCAACCTATGGCCAGATGTGATTCTGTGGTGTATATGGATGTGCAAAATTTCTGATGAGATCTAGAAAGTTTGGATTATAGTTTTTTACAACTTGGAACTTGAAAAGCTAACGCCTGGGACTTGAAAGTATTTTATATATATATATATATATTTTTTTTTTTTTTTTTTTTTTTAAGATTTTATTTATTTATTTGAGAGAGAGAGTGAGTGAGCAGGAGGGAGAGGGAAAGAGAATCTGAAGCAGACTCCCTCTGGGCGCAGAGCCCTACTATACCAAGAGTTGGACACTCAACTGACTGAGCCATCCAGGGGCCCTGAAAGTATTATACTTGGATTGTCAAGTAGATTTACAAGGAGCATTGGGATTATAATAACAATTTGGCTTAGTGGTGTTTTATTTATTTATTTTTAAAAAGATTTTATTTATTTATTTGAGAGAGAAAGAGATAGAGAAAGAGAGCATGAGCTGGGGGAGGTGCGGAGGGAGAGGGAGAAGCAGGCTCCCCACTGAGCACATGGGGCTAGATCCCAGAACCGACTGAGCCACCCAGGTGTCCCTGGTTTTGTGGTGTTTTAATAGGTAACAGCCATTTGGGATCGTTAAAATAGTATGCATTGAGTATCTTTGTGGCAGCCATACTTGTAGAAACATAAGTATAAAGTAATGATGACCTATTCTAAGGTGACAGACTGTGGAAGGAGGTGAAAAGGACCTGATCTCTTAGCACAGGCAGGTGCTTCAGAATGGTGCAGGCACCGTATTTGAAGTCAAAAGATATGCTAGCATCCTGGTTCTGTCACTTGGTAGCTGTGGGATGCCAGAAAAACTTGTTTAACCTGCTTGAATGTCAGTGACCTGATTCATAAAAATGGTACTAATACCTACCTCTCAGGTATGTGTAATGAACAAATGTGGTAACAAATGTGAAAACACTTTGTATACTGTAAAGGCTGCTATAGAAATATAGGACAAAAATGATCACAGCAGTATTTAGTGATTTATTAGATATTGAGGACACTTTTTTTTAAATGTGAAGATTTCTGAAGGACAGTAACATAAATGGCAGTAGTGTCCAGAAAAGAATGGGAAAGTTAGAACGGGCAGGTGGATTTCTAAGTTGGGGTATGTTACGTTTCAGTGACATTGTATAGGTATACAGTTGACCCTGGAACAGGATGAGTTTGAATTGTGTGTCCACTTACACGCAGACTATTTTTTTGATACAGTTCAGTACTGTTAATCTGTTTTCTCTTCCTTATGATTTTCTTAATAAACTTTTCTTTATATTGTAAGAATACAGTATATAATACATATAACACACAAAATGTGTTAATTGATTTTACATTATTGGTAAGGTCAGCATTAGGTTATAATTTTCTCTGACCTTCCATGCTCAGTTTACAGAGTCAATGGCCAAATGAGGATTAAGACATAGATTAGATCTAGAGAGCATATACGAGGTCTTCTATTTAAATGTTTTGGTTTTTCATTTACATTGTTCCTATTTTCAAGTCTAATTGCTTTTAAAGTAGGAAGTTCAATAGGAGATTAGTAGTTAAGTTTTTGGGGAATCAAAAGTTATGTGTGGATTTTTGACTGCACGGCTGTCAACGCCCTTAACCTTTGCATTGTGTAAGGGTCGACAGTATAGTGACTTGGTACTTGAGACCTTCTCAGTGAGGTGATTTTATTTATTTTTTAGAGAGAGAGAGAGAGCGTGTGAGAGGGTGGGGAGGGGCAGAAGAAGAGGGAGAGAGAGAATTCCAAGTAGGCTTCATGCTCAGCACGGAGCCCGACATGGGGCTTGATCTCATGACCCTGAGATCATGAACTGATCTGAAATCAAGAGTTGGACACTTAACTGATGCTGCCACGCAGGCACCCCCTCAGTGAGATTATTTTAAATGTTTTGACCTTAAATACATTTCTGTTATTGAATATCAGCTATGTACCAGGCTGTATAAGTTGAGGGGTTAGGCTGTAGTGGTAGGAGCAGAAAAAATAAGGAAACAACAATCCATTGGTAAGTTACTATAAGTGCTTCATATAAAGAAAATGGAAATGTTAGGTTAGGGAGTTTTGGGGGAGTTTGTAATTAGGATGGGGATGAGAATGGGAGTGGAATTTTGTTAGTCAGGAAAGATCTCTCTGAATGTGGCAAGAGCCGCCAAGTGGCGGATGAGAAGGACTAGTCGTGTGAAGGTCTTGGAGAAGAACATTCTAGACAGAGAGAACCATGGATCACATCTATTCATCATTTCACTCTTATGACTTGGAATGACCAGGAAGCTGGAAGATCCACCCCATTGACATAGTCATTGTTATTGTTGTGTATAGAAAAGAAAATGTGCATACTAAGATAAGTGCCTGGTACATTTTTTTTTTTTTAAGATTTTATTTATTTATTTGAGAGAGAGACTGAGAGAGAGAGAGCATGAGAGGGGGAGGGTCGGGAGGGTCATAGGGAGAAGCAGACTCCCTGCCGAGCAGGGAGCCCGATGCGGGATTCCATCCAGGGACTCCAGGATCATGACCTGAGCCGAAGGCAGTCGCTTAACCAACTGAGCCACCCAGGCGCCCGAGTGCCTGGTACATTTTAGGTAATTAATAAATAAATGTTCTTATTCTTCCCTTATGAAAGCTTACTACTTTTTTTTTTTTAATTTTATTATGTTATGTTACTCACCATACATTACATCATTAGTTTTTGATGTAGTGATCCACGATCCATTGTTTTCGTATAATACCCAGTGCTCCATGCAGTGCGTGCCCTCCTTAATACCCATCACCGGGCTAACCAATCCCCCCTCCCCGCTCCCCTCTAAAACCCTGTTTGTTTCTCAGGTCCATAGTCTCTCATGGTTCATCTCTCCCTCCAATTCCCCCCGCCCATTTTTCCCTTCCTTCTCCTAATGTCCTCCATGTTATTCCTTATATTCCACAAATAAGTGAAACCATATGATAATTGACTTTCTCTGCTTGACTTATTTCACTTAGCATAATCTCCTTAGCATAAGCTGTACCAACTTGCATTCCCACCAACAGTGTAAGAGGGTTCCCCTTCCTGCACAACCTCTCCAACATTTGTTGTTTCTTTCCCTGTCCATTTTTGCCATTCTAACTGGTGTAAGGTGGTATCTCAGTGTGGTTTCGATTTGAATTTCCCTGATGGTAATGATGATGAACATTTTTTCATGTGTCTATTAGCCATTTGTATGTCTTCTTCAGAGAAGTGTCTGTTCATCTCTTCTGCGCACTTTTTGACTTGATTATTTGTTTCTTGGGTGTTGAGTTTGAGAAGTTCTTTATAGATCTTGGATACCAGCCCTTTATCTGTAGTGTCATTTGCAAATATCTTCTCCCATTCTGTGGGTTGCCACTTTGTTTTGTTGACTGTTTCCTTTGCTGTGCAGAAGCTTTTTATCTTGATGAAGTCCCAAATTTCATTTTTCCTTTTGTTTCACTAGCTTTTGGAGATGTATCTTGAAAGAAGTTGCTGTGGCCTATGTCAAAGAGGTTACTGCCTATGTTCTCGTCTAGCATTTTGATGGATTCCTGTCTCACATTGAGGTCTTTCATCCACGTTGAGTTTATCTTTGTGAATGGTGTTAGACAATGGTCGAGTTTCAGTCTTCTGCATGTGGCTGTCCAATTTTCCCAGCACCATTTATTGAAGAGACTGGCTTTTTTCCATTGCATGTTTTTTCCTGCTTTGTCAAAGATTATTTGACCATAGAGTTGAGGGTCCATATCTGGGCTCTCTATTCTGTTCCATTGCTCTGTATGTCTGTTTTTGTGCCGGTACCATGCTGTCTTGGTGATCACTGCTTTGTAATATAGCTTGAAATTGGGCAACGTGATGCCCCCAGCTTTGTTTTTCTTTTTTAACAGTTCCTCGGCGATTCGGGGTCTTTTCTGATTCCATTCAAATTTTAGGATTGTTTGTTCCAGCACTTTGAAAAATGTCATTGGAATTTTGATCGGGATGGCATTGAAGGTATAGATTGCTCTGGGTAGCATAGACATTTTAACAATGTTTATTCTTCCGATCCATGAGCATGGAATATTTTTCCATCTTTTTGTGTCTTCTTCAATTTCTTTCATGAGTGTTTTGTAGTTCCTAGAGTATATATCCTTTACCTCTTTGGTTAGGTTTATTCCGAGGTATCTTATGGTTTTTGCTGCTATTGTAAATGGAATCGTTTCTTTATTTTCTCTTTCTACAGTTGTGTTGTTAGTGTATAAGAAAGCAACTGATTTCTGTGCATTGATTTTGTATCCTGCCACATTACTGAATTGCTGGATGAGTTCTAGTAATTTGGGGGTGGAATCTTTTGGGTTTTCCACATAAAGTATCATGTCGTCTGTGAAAAGAGAGAGTTTGACTTCTTCTTTGCCAATTTGAATACTTTTTATTTCTTTTTGTTGTCTGATTGCTGTTGCTAGGACTTCTAGTACTATGTTGAACAACAGTGGTGAGAGTGGGCACCCTTGACGTGTTCCTGATCTTAAGGGAAAGGCTCTCAGGTTTTCCCCATTGAGGATGATATTCGCTGTGGGTTTTTCATAGATGGATTTTATGAGCTTGAGAAATATTCCCTCTATCCCTATACTCTGGAGAGTTTTAATCAGGAAAGGATGTTGTATTTTGTCAAATGCTTTTTCTGCATCAATTGAGGGGACCATATGGTTCTTCTCCCTCCTCTTATTAATGTGTTCTATCACATTGATTGATTTGCGAATGTTGAACCACCCTTGCATCCCGGGGATAAATCCCACTTGTTCGTGGTGGATGATCCTTGTAATGTATTGTTGGATCCTATTAGCTAGGATTTTGTTGAGGATTTTGGAATCCATATTCATCAGGGATATCGGTCTGAAATTCTCCTTTTTGATGGGATCTTTGCCTGGTTTGGGGATTAAGGTAATGCTGGCCTCATAGAATGAGTTTGGAAGTTTTCCTTCTGTTTCTATTTTTTGAAACAGCTTCAGTAGAATAGGTATTATTTCTTCTTTGACTGTTTGGTAGAATTCCCCAAGGAATCCATCACGCCCTGGACTCTTGTTTTTTGGGAGGTTTTGGATCATTGCTTCAATCTCGTTACTGGTTATTGGCCTATTGAGGTTGTCAGTTTCTTCCTGTTTCAGTCTTGGCAGCTTATAGGTTTCCAGGAGGGCATCCATTTTTTCCAGGTGTTGCTCAGCTTATTGGCATATAGTTGTTGATAATAATTTCTAATAATTGTTTCTATTTCCTTGGTGGTGGTCGTGATCTCTCCCCTTTCATTCATAATTTTATTAATTTGGGTCCTTTCTCTCTTCTTTTGGATAAGTCTGGCCAGTGGTTTATCAGTATTATTAATTCTTTCAACGAACCAACTTCTAGTTTCATTGATCTGATCTACTGTGTTTCTGGTTTCTAATTCATTGATTTCTGCTCTAATTTTAATTATTTCTCTTCTAATGCGTGGCTTAGGCGTCATTTGTTGCTTTTTCTCTAGTTCTTTAAGGTGTAGAGTTAGTTGGTGAATTCGGGATCTTTCTATTTTTTTGAGTGAGGCTTGGATGGCTATGTATTTCCCCCTAGGACCGCCTTTGCAGTATCCCATAGGTTTTGCACCGATGTGTTTTCGTTCTCATTGATTTCCTGAATTCTTTAAGTTCTTTTATTTCTTAGTTGACCCAAACATTCTTGAGCAGTGTGCTCTTTAGCTTCCAAGTGTTTGAATTTTTGCCAAATTTTCTCTTGTGATTGAGTTCCAGTTTTAGAGCATTGTGGTCTGAGAATATGCAGGGAATAATCCCAGTCTTTTGGTATCGGTTGAGACCTGATTTGTCGCCCAGTATATGGTCTATTCTGGAGAAAGTTCCATGTGCGCTCGAGAAGAATGAGTCTTCTGTTGTTTTAGGGTGGAATGTTCTGTATATATCTATGAGGTCCATCTGGTCCAGTGTGTCATTCAAAGCTCTTGTTTCCTTGTTGATTTTCTGGTTAGATGATCTGTCCATTGCTGAGAGTGGAGCATTGAGGTCTCCTACAATTAATGTATTGTTATCAATATGACTCTTTATTTTGGTTAACAGTTGGCTTATGTAGATGGCTGCTCCCATGTTAGGGGCATAGATATTTACAATTGTTAGATCTTCTTGTTGGATAGACCCTTTAAGAATGATAGAGTGTCCTTCCGTGTCTCTTATTACAGACTTCAGTTTAAAATCTAATTTGTCTGATATAAGAATTGCTACCCCAGCTTTCTTTTGAGGTCCGTTGGCATGGAAGATAGATCTCCATCCCTTCACTTTCAGTCTGGATGTATCTTTAGGTTCAAAATGAGTCTCTTGTACACAGCATATGGATGGGTCCTGTCTTTTTATCCAATCTGTAACCCTGTGCCGTTTTATGGGAGCGTTTAGGCCATTCACGTTGAGAGTGATTACTAAAAGATATGAATTAATTGTCATCACGTTGCCTGTGAAGATGTTGTTTTTATACATTGTCCCTGTAAATTTCTGTCGTATATCACTCTTGGGGTCTTTCTCCTTTTATAGAACTCCCCTTAATGTTTCTTGCAGGGCCGGCTTAGTGGTCACATATTCTTTCAGTTTCTGCCGGTCGTGGAAGCTCTGCATCTCTCCATCCATTCTAAATGAAAGCCTTGCCAGATAAAGTATTCTTGGCTGCATGTTTTTCTCCTTTAGTACCCTGAGTATATCTTGCCAGGCCTTTCTGGCTTGCCAGGTCTCTGTGGATAGGTCTGACGTTATTCTGATGTTCCTGCCTCTGTACGTAAGGAATCTCTTCCTCCTAACTGCCCTTAAGATGGTTTCCTTGGTTCTAAGATTTGCAAGTTTTACTATTACATGCCGGGGTGTTGGCCTGTTTTCCTTGATCTTGGGAGGGGTCCTCTCTGCCTCTAGGACTCAAATGTTTGTTTCATTCCCCAGATTAGGGAAGTTCTCAGCTACGATTTGCTCAAATACATCTTCTAGTCCTCTCTCTCTCTCCACTCCTTCCAGGATTCCAATTATTCTGACATTGGAACACTTCATGGCGTCACTTATTTCTCTGATTCTATTTTCATGGATTCTGAGTTGTTTTTCCCTGGCCTTGTCTTTTCCCTTTTTATCTATTATATTGTCTTCCAGGTCGCTTCTTCTGCCTCAGTTACCTCAGCTGTTAGATTATCTAGATTGGATTGGATCTCATTGATAGCATTTTTAAGTTCTGCCAATTCACCTTTTATTTCTGCCCTTAGAGACTCCATGTTGCCATTAATTGATTTCTACATTCTAGCCATTGTCTTCACAATTGCTAGCCTGAATTCCATCTCTGACATCTTGGTTATATCTGCATCGCTTTGTAAATCTGCAGCATAAGTCATAATCTCTGAGTCTTTTCTGTTTTGGGGGCTCCTTCTCCTAGTCATTCTGTTGATGGGTGTTTGAGGGAATGTATAGAGTCTAAATTATTGACCAGAACCCAAGCAAGATGCACCTGTTTTCTTGGGACCTTAGGGTTGCTGGCCTCTTGTTTTCCCAGCCTGTCTTCTGTGGGAGGGGCCTGCCGCACTATTACTCAGGCAACCCTGTTTGGGCGGAGTTGCCCTGAGCCCCTGTGGTGGGGGATGGGCTCAGTGGAAATCAGTTTTTGGGGCTTTTGTTCTCTGGTGCCTTTCCCTGGCAGCTTTCCGCATCTCTTCTGCGAGTCAGAGCAGAAGAGACCGTTTCCAACCCTCTGCCTCAGAGCAGAGAGACCACAGTCTGTTCTTCCGTGAGCTCTCCAGGCCACACTGTCTCTGTTTCTGTCCATGCTGCTATAAACTGCAGGCTCCTGGGTTGTGCGCCCCTCCACAGCGCCCCCAGTCCTGCCTCCAGCGTCGGGGCACGTCTCTGCCCTTTGTGTTTCTAAAACCGGCAGCCGCCCCCAGTTCGTGCGGGCGCACAAATCCGCCGCTCGGGGTTCCCACCCCGGGGCTTGCAGTTCACCGGCGGGACACGGTGCACCATGTTTCCCTCTCGGAGGCTGCAGTTCACGTGCGCGCGACCGTCGCTGTGGGTTTCTGTCCGGGGGGCTGCGGTTCGCGTGTGCACGACCCCGCCGGTCTGGTTTTACACCCCAGGGGCTGCCCTAAAGTTCTTTCCGGAGGCTACCGGTCTGCGAGTCTGTGCCGTGTCCGCAGTGTGCGAGGCTATCACTGACCGGGGGTGCAGGATCCCCACGGCCAAGCACCCTCCCGCTGCCATTTATCCTCCGATATCTGCCCTCAGAATCAGGGCTCTCTGCTTCGTACCTCAAAACCAACTGCCTGCGATATTCTGTTTGTAGAGATCCAGATCTTCTTACATCTCAGGCTGGTTTCGTGGGTGCTCAGAGTGGTCTGGTAGATATCCAGCACAATTCTGGGGACCAGTTGAAATAGGGTCCCCTAGTCCTCCACCATCTTTCGCCCCTCCGCTTACTATACTTTTTGAAGAGTTTCATACCTGTATCTAAAGTTTTTTGCTATTATTTAAATATAATTTCAAGGAAAGTTTTTCTTCCTACTTTGCCATTTCATTCAACCATTTCTCCTATCAATAAAAAGTCCAAGCCTTTGTTTATCTAAATGAAGCAGCAGCTACCACAGTGTTCTGTTTATACTCAACATGATATACTCCAAGGTTTCTCATCATGTCAAGTATCTTACTTTAGCACTGAAAAAGTTTCTGCCATTAGGAACAGTTTAAATCCGTAGCAAATATACTTATTAAAGAATTTGTTTAAATACATATTTTTAATGTCCTTTTATTTTGGTGGGAAATGCAAAGGAGAGTTAGGTGTTTTGTTAGTTCCTGTTGAAACGTACATATAAATCAGTCTTCTGTCTATGAAAGTATTTACTCCTCTGGCCTTCCATGTTCAGTTTACAGAGTCGGTGGGCAAATGTAGATTAAAAGGTACACTTAATCTAGAAAGCATATATGAGGTTTTTAGATGTTTTGGTTTTCAATACATGCTTTTCTTATTTGTAAGTCTGATTGCTGTTAAAGTAGGAAATTCAGATATTTTCTTAGAAAAGGATTAGGAAGTCTTTATGCAGCTCATTTTTGATGTTAATTTTAACAGAGTATTTCTGAGAATCCTCCAAAGAAAGACATTAAACATTTATTTAGAGCTGCGGATCAGAAAGGACCACGTATATTAAATGAACAAGTAGAAGGTAAGAATTGTATTTTCTTAAAAAGTCACTTGATAGAATGTTAATTTAAAATGGGAATACTGATATGTTCTAATATCCAAAGAAAATCACCTATTAAATGCATAGAAAGGAGAAAGATGTGAAAAGGAGATCAATTGTATATCTTATCAGGGGTCAGCAACAGATTAAATTGAGAGTGCCACTGAAGGAGCTAAATTACTGGTCCCATTTCAAGATACTCTAAGACCTAAGGAACATCAGGAAATAAGAGGAAAAGAGGGAATGATGAGAAAGGCGGAGAGTACCGGGAGTAAATGAAGGACAAAGCAGCTCTTTATAGTGGAAGGTGGTAACATAAAATAATTCTTTTAAAAGGAAGAGCAGAGTATTTGAAATGCAGGAATAATATCAAGTGAGCTTCCAGTACCAAAGTTTGTCAGAGTAGTATGCCAAAACTTTTCCACTCTTACTGATTTCCTCACTGTTGGGACGACATTAAGGACTGGCGTAGCTGATTATGCAGAGCTATGTCCTAGCCAGCTATAAATGTATATATCTTAATGTCATATAAAATGGTGGCACTTCATCAGATAGTATCATTTAGTGCAAAATAGGAGAATTGGAAGGAAGAAGAGAGCAGGGTCAGTTAGGGGGAGATCAAGGAAGCTTTAGCCCTGATAAAAAGTGCATTAGAAAGGTTATGACTTTTTTAAAAATTCTATTTATTTATTTGACACAGAGAGAGAGACAGCGAGAGAGGGAACAGAAGCAGGGGGAGTGAGAGAGGGAGAAGCAGGCTTCCCGCCAAGCAGGGAGCCCAGTGCGGGGCTCGATCCCAGGACCCTGAGACCATGACCTGAGTTGAAGGCAGGCGCTTAACAACTGAGCCACCCAGGCACCCCGAAAGTTTATGACTTTTAATACATTTTCAGTTTTGGAGAATCGATAGTGACGAACTTGAGGCTTTTTCTAGAAGGTTCAGTTAAGGTAAAGGAATGTGGCAACAGACTCCGTGTGGACCAGAATTTCTCAAATTTTAGTGAATCATCCGAGACCTTGTTAAAAATGCACATTGTGAGCAGCAGGTCTGGGATTCTGCAGTCTGACTTCTCAGGTGATGTCAGTGTTGGTGGTCCTTGGGTCATGTGCTGCATAGGAAGGATGTAGAGTTCTCTTTAGCGAAATCAGGAAGTGCCATTGGATAATTCAAGACATAATGGAATCAAGGAAAAGCATTATTTTGTTTTTATTGCTGAGCATGTTTTTAGCTAGAGGGGAGCAAGGAGATGCAGAAATAGAGGTTATAGATGTAAGATACTACTGCTAAACAAAGAGGAAAGAAGTGGTGGAGATAATCCGTAATAAAAGGGATGTAAAAGCAGAACAATCAAGACCATAGATCCAGAAATTACTTTTTTAAAAAATTTATTTATATTAGGGATAGAGAGAGCGAGCGACCAGGGCGAGGGGCAACGGGAGAGGGAGAGAGTATCCTTAAGCAGACTCCCTGCTGAGCCTGGAGCCTGATGAGGGGCTCATTCCCAGGACCCAGACATCATGACCTGAGCCGAAATCAAGAGCCAGGTGCTCCCAGAAATTACTTTTGAAGAAGGTGCATAGTGAAGGGAAGGAGGGTAGAAAGTGAGACGTGTTAGCTAGGAAATTTTGGAGTTGATGAGGAAGCTCGAGAGAATTCACTTTAGATGACTTGAGTGTATTTGCACTCAACTCAACAAAACATTACATTACAGCTGCTCCACAAAGAATACTGAAAGCAGATGGAGTGCTAACGTTGGGGTAAAACAGCCACTCTTTCATCCTCCTCAGATCTATGGGACATCAAAGATCTCTCTTGTATTGGTATTCATTATTCCAATGAGATTAATTTGAATATGGAAGCTTCGGCTTTGTTTTTTTTTAAGATAGCTAATTTTTTGATATGATAGCTGTTTCACAAAAACTTTCAAAGAATAACATGATCTACCAAATCAAACTAATTTTGGAAACCAAAGAGATTATAGGGTTCGTTCTCTAAATGCTACAATTGTTATTATCAGTAAGATTGACACTGAATACATATATTTGCATTTTTTTTCAATATTTATACTGGGTTCATATTTCTCTCTTGTCGCTGACCTAACCCACCTTCCTATCTCCAGAAACAGAACACCAAAACCTAATGTAATCATTTTCAGAGCCAAGCATGAGGATTCAGCTTAGTACTAACTGCATGAATGTTTAGTTGCCTTTCATGTTTACATATAATTAACTATATGTCCATTTTGCTTTTTAGATTCTCCGAAAAGATATCCTTACGTGAAGGTAAAACTTTTATATTTTTATTTTGAATTTTTAACTACAGATTGTATGAAAGGTCCATCATGTCTTAATCATATTGTTTCAATACCCATTCAGCCTCCCGTTGAAGTGAAAGATTCTGTTCCTAATAAAACAGTAGAAGTGAAGGAAAAACAAGCATCCAACTCAGGTAAATTTTACAATACAAATTTTACAGTGGAAAGAAGTACACTAAAATATTTGAAATGCTCACAGTCTTCTTATTCTGAATTCTTTTTTTTTTTTTTTTTTTTGGTGGCAAATTTAAGTGAAGGATTTGACATAAATAAGGTAGATACCATTGTTGATACCCATGTTTGAACAGAAGATATTTATAAGCATAAGAAAAAGAGACTTTTAAAATGTAAGCTTTAGCTCTAGTTTCTACTTTTAAGCTTTGAATTCCTGAAGTTCCCAGTTTGGAATCCCATTACTTCCTTGGGATTCCCAGAAGTTAATTATTAGACTCTCAGATTTTTCCAGTGTTCACAATGTTTATTTCAATTCTGACCTTTCCCTAGAGTAAAGCTTCACTTGCTATCATGTCAATTGTGTTTTAAGTTTATTTCATCTTAGCGTTATTATGTTGATCATCTGAAGCCAAACAGATGTTCTGATTAGTGGACTCTGTGTGTGTGTGTGTGTGTGTGTGTGTATGGTGTCTTTGATTATTAAAACTGTGGGAAGTAATTAGTTCTATCCTAGTATTTGGTAGACACAGTCTTTTAAAACCATAATTCTGAAACTTATTGGCCTTAGGGTCCTTTTATGCTATTTAAAAATTATTAGGAATTCCAAAGAGCTTCTGTTTAAGTGTTGATATTTACCATATTAGAAATTAAAACAAGCCTTTAAAATACAAGCATACACGATCATACATTCTTAGCCGTTAGAGCTCTGACCCAGTAATCATGCGAGTTGTGATACTATCACGTATCCTATCTTTAGAAAACTTCACCATACACTTAATAAGAGAATGAGAGTGAAAATGTCAAATAACATTTAGCATTATTGAATGGATGGATCTTGGAACTCTGGGGATTCTCAGATGACATGGGAGAACTGTTTTAAACCATGTACAGGTTTCATGGATACAAAATGATAGAGGGGCCCTTGTGGTGAAATGGGCATGAAGGTTTCATTTCTGCATTTCTTGCTTTTTTCTTTCCCTTGTCTTAAGAGGTTTAAATCAGACAATCTTGTTTAAAAAAAAAAAGGAAAGTATTTTTGTTATATATTCATTTTCTGTTTCATGGCATTGTAGTTTTTGGATCTAGCGTGGACTGAGACTTACTGTGTTTTTACATGGAAATGATTAGATCACCCGAGGCTTTCATTTCTCAGATGAATTTCTGATGTTTGTCCAAGGCTTAGAAATTTCTGAAGATAGGGACGCCAGGGTGGCTCAGTCCGTTGAGCGTCTGCCTGTGGCTCAGGTCATGATCCCAGGATCCTGGAATCGAGTCCCACATTGGGCTCCTTGCTCAGTGAAGAGCCTGCTTCTCCCTCTGCCCCTGCTGCTCCCCCTGCTTGTGCGCTCTCTCGCTCTCTCTCTCTCTCTTCTTCCTCTAACCAAAAGAACATCTGAATAAGAATTATGAGAAAGTAATTTCCTTTGGGCTAGTTGTTAGCATTCAGTTGAGAGTAGGTAACAGGATTATATTTAGAACTTTGGGACCAGTGGGGAATACTAGGTAGAGATCTAAAGATTGCTTACTCAAAACATAGTTTCTTAGCTTTATTTTGTAGCTCTAAATTCACAAGTATTGGTCAAGCTATATTCATTGTAACTATAAAAAGCACCTTCCCAAATCAAATATTAAAATATTTCCTATGTTCTGTATGACTTTTGTTTTAGAGTTGGCTTTCCCAGCAGTAATGGGAATAGTTGAGAATTTACTATATAGTATCATCTTCTCAGCTATGTATGCATAGTCCATCTCCTTGTTTTATTATTTTTATTTTATCTCTTTAGAGAGAGAGAGATGGGGGGAGAGAGGGAGAGGGAGAGAGAATCCCAAGCAGGCTTCATGCTCAGCACAGGGCCTGATGGGGGGGGCTCAATCTCATGACCCTGAGATCATGACCTGAGCCTAAATCAAAAGTTGGACACTTAACTCACTGAGCCACCCAGGTGCTTCTTTATTATTATTATTGTTATTTAAAATTTTTATTGATTTGAGAGAGAGGGAAATTGAGAGAACGAGTGGGAGGAGTGGCAGAGGGAGAAGCAGACTCCCAGCTGAGCAGGGAGCCCGATGCGGGACTTGATCCCAGGTCCGTGGGATCATGACCTGAGCCAAAGGCAGCCGTTTAACTGACTGAGCCACCCAGGCACCTCCCTTTATTATTTTTAATAAATAAATGGAATATTGGTTTTAAGGAGCACTATATTTTTTATTTTTTTATTTTTTTATTTTTTATTTTTTTTAAAATATTTATTTATTTGACAGAGAGAGAGATAGCAAGAGCAGGAACACAAGCAGGGGGAGTGGGAGAGGGAGAAGCAGGCTTCCTGCCGAGCAAGGAGCCCGATGTGGGACTCGATCCCAGGACCCTGGGATCATGACCTGAGCCGAAGGCAGACGCTTAACGACTGAGCCACCCAGGCGCCCAAGGAGCACTATATTATTTAAAAATAATATATGGAAAGTCCATTTTAATTCTACTAAGATACTCTGTCTATTGATTAACCACCTCTAATGTGTGCTCTACTTAATGTACCAGTTCATTCCATGCCTTTTATCAGTCATATGATCAGGTCTGTACTAATAAACCGTACAATATTTTTTTCACCCCTGTACTTTTATGTTCTTTCTTTCCTTGTAGAATTAACACTGTATTTTCAAAAGATTTTCAATTATCTCCTAGAGTAATGCGTACAGGCAATAAATCCAAAGTTATTTACCTATACAAGTGACTTGTTTGCTGTTACTTCTTCATGAGCTTGGTAGATCCAAGAAGTAGGACTTTTAAAATACCTACAGGCTCCTGTAACAAAGGAAGATCTGAAACACAAAGTATAAATACAGGCAACTTAAAACAGTTCATGTAGATTGTTTCTCTTCTCACTTGATGCCTTTTATAAAGTAATGAGCAAAGTTAGTTCTCTAGAGACCCAAGATTGTGTGTTTATTCATTTAATACAGATTTATTCTGTACTCTGCCCTGATCATTTTATAGCCTCAATATTTCTGGAACCATTCTGTCAGTGCAGGTGTACTTCATCTTTATTTTGCCTTACTGCCTTCTAATTCATCTCCCATCTTTTATTACAGTGCCCCTCAAATTCATCCCTCTCCACAGCATTTAGAGTGATCTGTCTCAAATGTAAATATGACTATGAACCACCGTTGAAAATATATTTGTGTCCAGGTATCTTAAAATCACATATAAAGCTTTCATAGTCTTGACTTCCTCTTAGATCCCTGTATTTTAGACAAATATTTACCCTGTTGTGTGCTTCTCTCCCTTTTAGACAAATATTTACCCTGTTGTGTGCTTCTCTCCCTTGTCTTACTACAGCCTTGCATATTCTTCCCGTTTTCCTCCCTCTAACCCCTTTGAATCTGGCTGACCTCAACTGTTTTCATTTTCAGTTCAGGCATTATCTCCAGAAAAAGCATTCCTGACACCTTTTATCTACATGCTTCTTTAAACCCGGGTGCCTAGCACTTACGGGGAACTCTATAAATAATTACTGAGTAAAATAAAGAGTGTAGACACAGAAATGACTTAAGGGATTGCCCCATACAGGGGCACCTGGTTGGCTCAGTCGGTTGAGTGTCCAACTCTTGATTTCGGCTCCAGTCATGACCTCAGAGTTGTGAGATCGAGCCCCGCGTGGGGTTCAGTGCTGGGCTTGGAGCCCCGTCAAGATTCCCTCTCTCTCTATCTGCTCCTCCCCCTCTCCAAAAAAAGAGAGAGAGAGAGATTGTCCCATACAGTCCAGGAGCAAAAGAAAGAGATATATAAAGAAGTAATTTACAGTTCAGGTGGTGAAGATACACTAGAAAAATCGGTAAATTAGTAAGGTAGCCCTGAAGAAAGAGGCACCTATTCATCTGGGGAAGAGGAGCCATAATCAAGGATGGCTTTACATAGCAGTCTGTGTCTTAAAAGATGTGAAGAAATTTATCAAGTAGTAGAGGAAAACATTTCAGGCATGTTTACACTCATCAGGGACACACACCCATAGGAAGGTTGTACACTAATAAAGGCATAAAAAATACTAATAATTTTGGAAACCATGAATAATGTTGTAGTTGACGCTTTGGGTGTTAAGAGGTGCTGTTACAAGGTAAAGAACAGTCTGTTGTGATTTTATATGTTTCTGCTGCATAATATAATTTTGTTTCTGATTGTTTTGTTCATTGATGTTAGGTGGATGAACTTGTGAATGAATCTTTGAGATGTTTGTATGTCTTTAACCTGGTGACATTTAGTATTTCCCAAATGGTTTGTTGAAGTTTCCTATAATTAAAAGTATTTCTGAAAGTAAATATTCAGCTAAAGATTAAGTTTAATTTAAACTATCAATAGATAAAATGTTATTTTCTATTTTTAAGAAGGTTATAGCTTTTATCTAACCATTCTAAGTAGTCCATTTTAACTAAATATATAGATTGGCCAGCAGAACTAGACTTAGAAAGGACATCAGAGGAAGAGCAAAAAAGACTTGATGAAAGTTAAAATAACCACCTAAAGGTATGTAAAAAGTTAAATTTAAATTTCCGATTTTATATTCTTTTTCCTGCTTTAATAATGTAACATAGTTCAAATGAAATGATCTTTTGAATGGACATATTGAAGTCCTTAGATTATAATTTAATATTTAGTTTTTATAAAATTTTACAAGTTACAAAACTTATAATATTGTTAGAATTTATAGTAACTTATAGCTAAACTTCATCCTTGGAATTGAGATAAAAAAAAAATTCCTAAATATTGTTTGCTTCTTCACATTTTTGTAACTTTTTATGTGATAAAGAAGGTAACATCAAATATTGAATCATATGTTTAAGCAGTTGAAATTATGAGTAGTACAATAATGATGACTACTGACTTAGATTCGTGTAGAAGGAGTAATTATTCTCAGTGGTTCAAAATGTGCAGTTCTCTATTGCCAGTCACTGATGCCAAGATAAAAGATTTATTTTGCCTTGTGATCTCTGTGTAGTTGACTTCAGAGAGTGGGGTCATAAAATCAGCACAATTGCCTATTGTAGAATCACACCTTCCAGGGTGGGACCTTTGTAGTTGGGTAATAAACAATAACTTTTTCAGTTATTTCATTTCAGCATACGAAATCAGTAAGTATTATTAACATTTTTCTCATCCACTCTCAGTGGACATTATATTAGAGCTGTATATAAGCAGATAATTATAGTGATGTATAACACTATCATAGTACATAATTTGAATTAAGATTTCGGAATTTTCTTTCTGATTGATGTTAATTGATCTTGGCTCCTAATAATTGAAAATTTGCCTATTCTCTAGTTATTAATCTTTAAAGAAAATCCTCAAATGCACTGTAGGGGCTCACTATTCTTAAATATGAAAATTATAATTTATATATATATATTTATATATTTATATATACTTAAGAATATATATATATTTATATATATATATAAAGTATGGTGAGATAAAATGCTTTTAAGTTTGCAACATTAAAAAATAATCTAATTCATTTTTTGGTAGATGTAACATGTAATGAATTATTTCAAAAAAACTGACAAAGTTAAGTTTATGGATTTATGTTTTTCTTCTGTCTTAAGCTAGGGCGAGTTATTTGTCCCTTCTTTGTTACAACATAGTGACTTGGGAGCAGCTTAACATAGATTAAGAAATTTAACAGTTAAATTTTAATTATTTTCTAATTTTTCTTTGTCCATACTTGATTACTTAAGGATAAAGGTATTTCACAAACATGTATCCTGGCAGAAAAGACATGTGAAAATCAAACCCAGCAAATTAACGTTCCACTTTTGCATCTGCAAAAAAAGTCTCGAGAACCAGAAATGAATAAGAAATGTGATAGAAAGGATAATATATCTGTATATTCAGAACATCCTTCTGTGCAAAAGCGTGAGGAAATCTCGATCAAATAAGGCAAATTAGTGTGGAAAAATAATCTAAAACGCATCACCAGTGAGTTAAAGCGGACGTTTGGTGCAACTTGTGAAAAACACAAAATTGCTCCTTATCCTAAGGAAGAGTCACTACGTGGTAACTTTAAAGAAGGAGCAAACTTAATGGAAATACCTTCTAACTTGACAAATGATAGACTTGATTGTGAGAAAAAGGACATATTTGTAGTGCCTGTCCCTCTAAGTAGTTCAGGCATTTCCTGAACAAAAAAAGTCTAGTCTCACATATGCTTGCCAGGCATCTTCTGATTTTTCTTTAAGTGAAAATAAATCAGACTGTGAAAATGATAACAAACCAGACACTGAGCATGTTTTTAACAAAAATAAGAGTTTTAAAAGTGATACAGAAACTAAAAATTAAGGAACCCACTCGCTACGTTTGAAGTGAAAGAAGACCAAGAGTTTGACGTGCAAATGGCAAAAAATATGAACGAAAATAGCACTAATTCTAAATTAGACATTGGACGTATACCTCAGTCTAGTGATTCAGAAAGCCGTTTCGACAAAAGGTTTTCCCGCTCCAATGAGATGAGACAAATGGCTCAAATAAAAAGGCACCATAGTTCTGCCGTTACATTTACAAGAAAACAAAAGTCTTGTTCCAGAAGCCATTCTGTGCAGTTAATAACAGTACTAATAACTATAGAAGTATGGAACCCGAATTAGAAAATGTGAGTTCTTCTCCACCATGTAGTTACAGAACATCAGAAGTATGTCTAAAAGAAGAATTACAGCAAGATGTTCAAAAGTTTAAGAACGAGATAGGCATGTTACAGATAGACATCCTGGATGAGGAAAAAAAAAGTTCAACTTCAAAAAGAGGTAGAGGTTCACTTTGCTGCTGCTCTTTTGTTTTTCCTCTTTATCAATTATCTGAGTCATTCTGATTCTCCACTTAGGAAAAAAGTTCGTGTATAACATGGGGTTGTCTAAATACGTAATTGTGTTCGGAAATAGATTATTTCTGCTATCTAAATGATAGGAGTGCAGGAAAACATTCTTAAGATTTGTTTTCCTTTAGTTTCTCTGTAAGTCTCCCAAGTGGCATATGACCTGGGAAACTAATTTAGCTACGCACCATGTGACCTCATGAACCAGAGTAACCGTAAAGAAAATTCCTTAAAAAATGCAATTATCGGGGCACCTGGGGTGGCTCAGTCGCTAAGCATCTGCCTTCGGCTCCAGTCATGATCCTGGGGTCCTAAGATCGAGCCCTGCATCGGGCTCCCTGCTCAGCGGGAAGCCTGCTTCTCCCTCTCCCACTCCCCCTGCTGGTGTTCCCTCTCTCGCTGTGTCTTTCTCTGTCAAATAAATAAATAAAATCTTAAAAAAAAAAAACTTAAAAAAATGCAATTATCTTGGCACATCTGGGTGGCACAGTTGAGCATCCGACTCTTGGTTTTGGCTTGGGTTGTGATCTCAGGTTCATGAGAGTGAGCCCCGCCTTGGGCTCTGTGCTCAGCGTGGAGTGTGCTTTAGTTTCTCTCTCCTTCTCCCTCTGCCCTTCCTGCTCATGCTCTCTCTCTAAAATAAATAAATCTTTAAAAAAGATATATAATAATCTCTAGTGTTTTGGGTTTTTTTTAACATTTATGTATTTATTTGAGAGAGAGCACATGTGTGTGCACAAGCATGAGCCGGGGGAGAGGCAGAGGGAGAGAGAAAGGGAGAAGCAGACTCTCTGCTGAGCAGGGAGCCTGACATGGGGCTCCATCCCAGGCCCCTGGGATCATGACCTTAGCTGAAGGCAGACGCTTAACGCTGAGCCATCCAGGTGCCCCATCTCTAGGGTTTTTATTTTTATTTATTGGCTTAAATATAAATTGCATTTCCATAAACAATAAAATGGGAAAGAAGCAATGACTAAGAGAAAGGATATAAACAAGTATTTCAGCTAAACCTATTTGTTTGTTTCAGTATGTGCAATCTTTTCTGCTTTGTACTCACTCTTGGAACTTAGAATTCCAACAGGACCACTTTGAGATATTTTTAATAACAAATATTTGTATTATCACTTTTTTCCTCCACATGTTTTTTAAACAGACTCTTTTATTAAGATTTATTTATTTATTTAGAGAGCATGAGCAAGGGGAGGGGCAAAGGGAGAGAGAGAGAGATTGGGAGAGAGAGAGAGAGACGGAGAGAAGTAGACTCCCCACTGAGCATGGAGCCTGATGTGGGGCTCAATCCCACAATCCTGAGATCATGAGCTGAGTCAAAATCAAGAGTCAGAGGCCCAACTGACTGAGCCACCCAGGCGCCCCCCCTCCACTTTTTTTTTTTTGGTCACCATTCTCACATGTTTCTGTTGAGTCAAACGTTCATATTATGTTTAGTAAAATATGGTACATTTTGACATGTATGGTTTTTATAATGTAGGTAGCATAAACCTTCAGAAACCCTCAGTATTTAACTCGAAGGGAGAAAACTGACTTTTGAGGTGAATTGAGTTTTAAAAATAGACAAAAATCTAGAGATATCCTCCTTCAAAAGAAAAAGTAGCTAAGCACCTTGTCCCCAATTAAGATATTAAATTACTGTGCCAGTGTCATACTTTTAATGTATCTGATTAATTTAATGAATTTGTTTGGTAACTTAGCTGATTCAGCATTAAAGAATTACATCATGTCTTTTGGTGCCATAAGATGCTAGGTAGTGCCACTTTAGGAACTTTGGACAAATCATTTAACCTTTTTTGGTTCTACTCCCATTGATCAGTGGAAAATGGAATTAAAGTTGATAATTACTTTTATACCCTCTAGCTATAAAAGTTTATGATAGCCATGAATGTGGAATTTGGGGAGCATTACTCATTTCCCAAAATTCTACACTAATATCAGTTTCACTCTGTTCTTTTTGTGTTGTGGTGAACTTTGGTTCATATATTTTAATGAACACTGCCACTTTTTTGATAACCCTAGGATCCAAATGAAAAAAGAATTGTAAAAGGCAATTGGCGAAAAAATAGCTCAGTGCAGAAAGAGGAAAACTCTTTGCTCCTGGAGCTCCACAATGTCACATCCTTTAAATCTGGCTGTTTTTGCAAAATCCAGGTGGTAACGACAGACGAGGACAAATTTTGTGTCTTTGTCTTTTTATTTCTTTGTATCTGCTGGTCAGATGGGGTGGGGTGGGAATGTTAGGTAGCAAAGCGTGGATATGAATACAAAATTAAGAAAGCCCTTTTTCAAATTTTGGAAAATTCTGCTGTTTTAATTAATTAATTATTTTTTAAAGATTTTATTTATTTGTCAGAGAGAGCGAGAGAGAGAGAGAGAGCACAAGCAGGAGGAGCGGCAGGCAGAGGGAGAAGCAGGCTTCCCGCTGAGCAAGGAGCCTGATGCGGGGCTCGATCCCAGGACCCTGGATGAGACCCGAGCCGAAGGCAGACGCTTAACCAACTGAGTCACCCACGCGTCCCAATTCTGCTGTTTGTATTCAAACGGAAATGAAGCAGAACTTATAAAAATTGCAATTATTTATAATGATAAAGTTAAACACAAAATATTTTTATCGATTAAAATTACAACAAACTAAGAGTGAAATGATAAAATTAATGAAAAAAGTTCTGGGATGACTGGGTGGCTCAGTCCTTAAGAGTCTGCCTTCGGCTCAGGTCTGATCCCAGGGTCCTGGGATCGGGTCCCGCATCAGGCTCCCTGCTCAGCGGGGAGCCTGCTTCTCCCTCTGTCTGTACCTCCCTCCCCCTGCTTGTGCTCTCTCTCTGATAAATAAATAAATAAAACCTTTAAGAAATTTATAATGAAAAAAAGTTCTTTTTAATGAATAATGTAGTAACAATTATCCTTAGTATCACATTTCCATTAAAGATTAATGAAGAAAAGAAGAGACACCAAAGTAATGAGACGGCAGTATTAGAAAACACATATGCTGTCGCTGCTGCTGCTGCTGGACTCATTCAACAAAGAGAGAGTGGAAAAACTGAAAACCACCTCTTTCCTGTTGGGAAAAAGGAAGATTCTGATGGGTAAGCCTATGGCCATATTGAAATAGTAGGTAATTATTATTTTCCTATAAAACCAGTTCTAGTTGGAGCTAACATTCATGATTAACAAGTTTTATATTTTTAGTAAGGCTAGTCCATCCTGGGTGCGAATCAGAAAAATGCAAATAACGAGATACCATTTTTTGCAGTCCTAGTGATAAATATTTTATTAAAAAAATAATAACCAAAGGTAGCAAATGGGAGGAAAAAGGCATTCCTGTACACTGTGGTTAGATGCACGTGGTAACTCCTTTCTGAAGGGTGAGTTAGTGTGTTTCAAAAACTTTAAATATGCTGTCCCTGTTTTAAGTTTATTTTTTAATTTTTTTTAAAGATTTTATTTATTTATTCGACAGAGAGAGACACAGCGAGAGAGGGAACACGAGCAGGGGGAGTGGGAGAGGGAGAAGCAGGCTTCCCGCCGAGCAGGGAGCCCAAAGTGGGGCTCGATCCCAGCACCCAGGGATCATGACCTGAGCCGAAGGCAGACGCTTAATGACAGAGTCACACAGGCGCCCCATATGCTGTCCCTTTATTCCAATGCTTCATTGCCAGGACTAGATCCTATAGGAAAACATGACTTGCGTAAACACACACACACGCACGAACACATTCTAAGGACATTTATTGTGCATTATTATATATATAAAATATGACAGATATGGTAAGGATATTTATTATAGCATTCTCATATCAAAAAGTTGGAGATAGTCTAAATAGCCTTCAGTAAGGAAATAAGTTGTCACCCCTATGAGACAATGTAACATGCGGCCATTTGAAAAAATGAGTTTAGGTCTACAGTGTACTGATTGTTTAACAAAGTATATTTAAGGTGTTCGGTTTGATGTCATGTCTTATGCAAATTTTAGAATGCTTTTAATATTTGCTGAGTTGCAAAAGGAAGTTACCTGCTACACTGGCACTCTATCTTATTACCAACAAAATTGCTAGCTATTAGGTTTTTGGTTTTGGTTCCGTTGAGCTTGAGTGTTCAAATGTTGGACCCTCAAATTGATCTGAATATTACCAAGAGATTTCGTATGTCAGCTTGTCCCATATTGTATATAAACATTTGATTTGATGATCCTTGTGCTATAAACCAAGATGTTCCTAATGCAGTGAATCTTCTTTTGAAGGGACCTTGCATGCATGCTATTAACCTTCCTTTTTAAAGCGAGTATATTTTTATATGCACCACACCAAATTTTTCAACAGTGACTTCATATTATATAATTTACGAAAATTCATTTTACAAAATAGGAATATTTTCTGCATTCCAAACCCCTTATACTTCTCTTATAGAATTTTATTTTTTTAAATTTTTTAAATTTAATTTTTTTTTAAGATTTTATTTATTTATTTGACAGAGAGAGAGAGACAGCGAGAGAGGGAACACAAGCAGGGGGAGTGGGAGAGGGAGAAGCAGGCTTCCCACCAAGCAGGGAGCCCGATGTGGGGCTCGATCCCAGAACCCTGAGACCATGACCTGAGCTGAAGGCAGATGCTTAAAAACTGAGCTACCCAGGCGCCCCTCTTATAGAATTTTAATATGACTAATTATTTCGGATATATCCTGGAGTTAGATGATTTTTATCAAGCATGAAATATTGCTGTTGAAACTTAATAGTTTTTCTATGGTCTTTCTAAGCATGAGAAAAAGTGATAATCAGGTTATATAATATTATATATATATTATATATCCAGAAAATTTTTAAGGACTCTTTTGGTTTTATTGTTTTGTGAATTATTTAATGCCTTGGTCTGCCTTTTTTTTTTTTTTTTTTTTAAGATTTTATTTATATTAGAGAGAGAGAGTGCGTGGTGGGGGAGAGGGACAAGCGGACTTGGCACTGGGAGCAGAGCCCCATGCGGGGCTCGATCCCACAACCCTGAGATTATGACCTGAGCCAAAATCAAGAGGTTTAACCAACTGAGCCACCCAGGTGCCCCCTTGGTCTGGCATTTTTAAAAAAAAACATTTAGTGATACATGTATGTAATTTGAAAAACTATATTACAAAATATATTACAGAAATACTATATCATCCTTGTGTAAGGATTGAACTAAACAAGAAAATTAAATCATCTATGATCATTCCTCTTAGCTATGAAATCCTTAAAAGAACCATGTACACTCACTGATCCTGATTTACCTCCCATTCATTCTTGAATTCTCTCTAGTAATTTTCACTCCCACTACCCCGGATTTGATTTTTCAAAGGTTACCACTGATTTTCACTTTAATGAATCTAAACATAATTTCTTAGATCTCATTTTATTTGACCTATCAGCAATATTTGACCCAATGGAGAACTCTCTTCAAAATTCTGTCTTCATTTAGCTTTCAGGGTATCACTCACTCACCTGGTTTTCTCCCTGCCTTTCTAGTCTGTACATCTCAGCCTGATTTGCTTCTTTCTCCTCATCCCCCACCTCTTACTTACACATTGACATCTTCCAGGAATCGGTCCTTGATTTTCTTTCTCTTGACTTTTACTATCTTGTATATTCTAAGGATCTTCAGGTTTATATCTCCAGCCCAAATCTCTCTGCATAATTCCAGACCTACATATCAAACTGCCTATTTGATAGCTCTTTGGGATAGCTATTGAGTATTATGATCTTAACATGTCCAAAATCGAACTATTGATATTCTTTCTTATACCTGCCCTTCTTGTCTTTCCTAATGGAGTTAATGACAGTTCTTCCGGTTGCTCTGCCAGAAAACTTGGTATCATCTTTGACTCATGTCTTTTTCTTTTTCATACATGTCACATCTAAACTGTCAACAGATCTTGTCAGGTCTTCCTTCAAAATATATCCAAGAGCCAAACACATCTTCCATGACCAAGCCACTATCATCTGTTGTGTGTATAAGTGTAATAATTAACTAATTGGTCTTCTTGTTTGTTCTTTTGTCTTTTCTCTGTTTCCATTAATTCTAAACACAGTGGATCTATTAAAACGTAAGTCAGATTACGTCTTCCTCTGCTCAAAACCTAATTGCCTCCTATTTCACTCAGAGTACATGCCAAAGTTTTCTAACACCTACAAGGCCTTGTATGATCTGTTCATCTTGGTCTCTCCCTATCCCTTACTGCCTCACTCCTATTTTCTGTCCCTTTCACACTGTCCAGCCACACTGAATTTCTCACTTTTTTTTTCCCCCTCACTATAAACACTTCGAGCATCCCTCTGTACTTGCTGTTGACTCTATCTGGAGTGCTTTTCCCTCCAATACCCTCCTGTCTTGCTAGCTCCTTGCTCCTTCCTTTTTTTCCCCCCTTCAATTTTTTGCTTAAAAGTTACTTTCTTAGCAAGGCCTTTCTTGGTTATCCTGATTACCTCTTTCCCTACAGCACATCAAAATTTGATTTCTCTGCTTTAGTTTTTCTCCTCTGGTACTATCTTGCCTGTGTAGTTTATTGTTATTGTGTTTACTTCACTCATGAGTAGGATTTTTATCTGTTCATCGCCATGTCCTCAGTGCCTAGAAAACGTTCTAGCATATATAGTTCTATTCAACAAATGTTTATTGAGTGAATGGAGTTTAACCTGCATGTATTGTTTTTTAACATCATACTAACTCTCGCTTAAACAAAAAGAAAGTTTGATATGGGTCCATTCTGACAATTTAATCTGTCAGTTGTATGCATTTTTTTTATTTTGGGGGGGCCCAATATTGTGGTTACTTGCTATTTATTGGTTTTACTGGTATTTATGTTAGTTTTAATTATGGTAAAATGGATCAGAGGAATAGCAAACTTCATTTATATTTTATTAAGGAAAATGAAATATGGTGGTAAATTATAGGACTTTAAAAATTCTTGCCAAAGGATTATGAGCCCTCAGTATCTGAAATAGAAAGATGAAGTTGGAATTTATTGCCCACTGGTAAGATAGACCTATGCTGGTCACTTACAGTCTTTTCTGACAGAGCAGTCTGCTATTCTTATACAGGGTTTTGGGAAGAGTAGAGTTGAAGGTTTGGGGGACTTTCAGAGAATTAAGTGGTTTGTCATCATCTGAAACACCATGGTAATTTGGGTGAGACTCTTGTTGATTGGTTGGCACACGAGGAACGTGTATGTAATGGTTTTGTCTCCTATTGGCTTTCTTTTAGAAGGGAGGAGCTGACACTGCTTGGTGGGTGAGTGAGGCCAGTGGGCATTGATCAGTCGCACACATTTAAAACTGGTTTTGGTGGCTTCTTGTTCCCATGGCTTCATATTTGGGTCCCCCCTCCCCAAGTTTGAGATGCCTTTAACATCTATAGATGTTTTCTATTTAAAAGTTGCTTCTATCAATTGTGTTCAAAATGAAAGCTATTTCATATTCTGTATAGATTTATTTTTGAGATTTGGGTTAAGAAGAATTGTTTAATAATTGCCTTCAGGAAGATCCTTCTTTTTTGGATGTTAAATTTTAACTAGAAGAGTTATCTGTGTAACAGTTTTAAAACAATAATTGCTGGCTCTGTTTTTGTTTTCAGTGCTCTTAGGGGTTCATGTTCAATTCCTAAATTAATAATCTCCTGTGGGAAATTTCAGTCTTTTGTAAATTTATGTAACTATAGGCTGCTCATATTCTCTTGCATATATTTAGTCCATGAAAAAGTAATTATAATTTTCTGTTGGTAAATCTAGCTTTTTATATTAGGATTAAATACTAGGCTAAAAGTATGCAAAAGTTACCAAATCATTTTCTTTAAAAAAATTAATTTTTATTTTATTTATTTGTAAGAGAGAGATAGAGAAAGAGAGCGAGAATGAGCGCATGAGCAGGACGGAGGGGCAGAGGGAGAGGTAGAAGCTCAGTGGGGAGCCTGAGGCAGGGCTAGATCCCAGGACCTGGAGATTATGACCTGAGCCGAACGCAGACACTTAACCGACTGAGCCACCCAGGCACCCCCAAATCATTTTATTTTCAAACAAAATTAACCAGGTTATTGCTATTTTTGAGTGATATATATAGTGACATATGAGTATTTTTGAATTTTCTGCAGATTTATTGAGGTATAATTGACAGATAACTGTGTAAGTCTAAGGTATACCTATATTAATTTAATACACTTTTATATAGTAAAATGGTAATAGTGTTAATAACTCCATCATCTCACATAATTATCATTTCTTTTTTAGCAACTCTCTTAGCGACTTTCAAATATATAATACAGTATTGTTAACTGTAATCACCATTCTGTACATTAGACCCTCAGAACTTGCTACTCTTGTAACAGGAAGTTTGTATCCTTTGGCCAATATCTACCCATTTCCCACAGCCTCCTAACCCTGGCAAGCACCAGGATGTAAATTTGTTGTTGTTTTTTTTTTTAAGTTTCTACATGTAAGTCAGATCATACTGTATTTGTCTTTTTGTGTATCTTATTTCATTTAGCATAATTCCCTCCAGGTTCATTTATGTTGTTGCAAATGGCAAGGTTTCCCTCTTTTTTGTGGCTAAAATATTCCATTGTAAATATATACCACATTTTTTAAACCCATGGATCCATTGATGGACACTTAGGTTGCTTCCCTGTTTGGCTATTGTAAATAATGCTGCAGTAAACAGGGGTGCAGATACCTGTTTGAAATGATTTCATTTCCATCAGAAATGTTCCCAGAAATGGGATTACTGCATCATATGATAGTTCTATTTTTAGTTTTTTGAGGAACCTCCACAGTGTTTTGCATAGTGGCTGTACCAATTTACAGTCCCATAACAACAGTGTGCAAGGATTCCCTTTTCTGTACATTTTTGCCAGTGCTATCTCTTGTCTTTTTGATGAAAGCCATTTAACAGGTGTGAGGTGATAGATATATCATTGTGGCTTTGATATGCGTTTCCCTGTTGAATAGTGTTGTTGAGCCCCTTTTTTGGTACCGTTGGCCATTGGAGTATCTTCTGAGGAAAGCTGTCTATTAAGGTGCTTTGCTGAGTTCTTATTTGAATTATTTGTTTTTTTGCTGTTGAATTGTATGAATTCCTTACATATTTTAGATATTAACCTTTTTTCAGATATGTGGTTTGCAGATATTTTCTTCCATTCTGTAGGTTGCCTTTTCATTATGTTACTTGTTTATTTTTGTTTTTTAGATTTTATTTAAATTCGAGTTAGTTAACTTATATTGTATTATTAGTTTCAGGGCTGGACTTTAATGATTCATCACTTGCATGTAATACCCAATGCTCATCACAAGTGCCCTCCCTGATGCCCATCACCCAGTTACAGCATCTTCCCACCCACTTCCCTTCCAGCAGCCCTCAGTTTGTTTCCTGTAGTTAAGAGTCTCTTCTGGTTTGCCTCCCTCTCTGTTTTTATCTTATTTTTCCCTTCCTTCACCTATACTTGTTGTAAATGGAACTAGAGTGTTGCTTGTTTCTTTTGCTGTGGAGAAACATTGTTCCATTGTTTTTGCTTTTGTTGCTTGTACTTTGGATGTCGTATCCAAAATCATTGCCAAGATCAATGTCAGGGAGTGTTTTCCCTGTTTTCTTGTAGGAGTTTTATGGCTTAAGGTTGTCCATTTAAGTCTTTAATCCAGTTTGGGTTAATTTTTGTGAGTGATGTAAGTTAGGGGTCCAGTTTCATTCTTTTGCATGTGAATATCCAGTTTTCTCAGCATCATTTATTGAAGAGATTATCTTTTCTTCTTTAAGTGTTCTTGACTATATGCATGGGTTTATTTTTGGGTTCTTGATTCTGTTTCATTGGTCTTTGTGTTTGTTTTGATGCAAGTTCCATATACTGTTTTGGTGACTATAGCTTTGTAACAGTTTGAAAACAGGAAGTGTGTTGCTTCCACCTTTGTTGTTCTTTCTCAGGACTGCTTTGGCGGTTTGGGGTCTTTTCTGTTCCATACAAATTTAAGGATTGTTTTTCCTATTTCTGTGAGAAATATCACTGGAATTTTGGCAGAGATTGCATTGAATCTGTAGATGGCTTTGAATAATGTGGATATATAATATTAATTTTTCAAATCCATAAACTAACATATCTTCCTATTTGTGTCTCTGCTCTTTCTTTTATCAAAGTCTTGTAGTTTTTAGTGTACATATCTTTCACCTCCTTGATTGGATAATTTGAAAGTTTTAAAATTTGAAAATTTTAAATTCACAGATTTTTTTTTTGATCCATTTTAGTGTCAGTGATTTCTATTGTTTTTTTGCATTTCATTCACTCTATTATTCAGCTCCAGAATTTTTGTTTAATTCTTTTTTACTATTTCCAGCTCTTTTTCAAAAAAAGATTTTATTTATTTATTTGAGAGAGAGAGAAAGAGAGCAAGTCAGGGGAGGGACAGAGAGAGGGTGAGAGAATCTCAAGCAGACCCAGGGCTCGATCCCACAATCCTGAGATCATGACCTGAGCCGAAATCAAGAGTCAGACACTTAACTGACTGAGCCACCCAGGTGCCCTTCCAATGCTTTATTAAACTTCTCGTTTTATTCATATAGTGTTTTTCTCATTTTATTGAATTGGCTTTTTTTTAAAGATTTTATTTATTTATTTTAGAGAGAGCATGTGTGTGAGTGGGGGGAATAGCAGAGGGAGAGGGACAAGCAGACTCTGCCCTGAGCGTAAGCAGGATGCATAGCTGGATCTCATGACCCTGAGATCCTGACCTGAGACAGAATCAAGAGTCAGACGCTTAACTGACTGAGCCACCCAGGCACCCCTGAATTGGCTTTTTGTGTTTTCTTGTAGCTCATTAAGTTTCCTTAAAACTGCTCTTTTGAATTCTTTTTTGGATAAATTACAGATCTCCATGTGTTTGAGATCAATTATTGGACGATTTGGTGTCATATATCCTTGACTTTTTATATTCTTTGAAGTTTGGCATTGCTGTCTTTGCTTTTGAAGTAGCCTTTAATGACTGCCTTTCCAACGTGTCCAAACCTGATTTTTTTTTGCTCTGGTGGTGTGCCGGAACTTTTCTGCAGGAAATCTGGTTTTCCAAAAAGTCTCTCTCATCCATGGGTTATTATCTAAGACAGTGTTTTCCAGGGGCTCCCAGATGTGGCTGAGAGGAAGGGGCTGGAACCAGTTTATGGGCTATTGCTGGGTCCACAGCTGGACATGTAGTGAGTGTGCCCGTTACCCGATGCATGGGTAGGCAAGACTTTTCCTAGGTCCTTGGTGTATGGTCCTTGATTCCACAGCTCCTACAAAGAGATCCATAGCAGTTTTGTCCCCACAAATGACATTGTATTGTAATTGTATATTTACCTGTCTTTGAAGCAAGGGATGTGTATTTCCTTGTATATGGTTGGATTTCATAACTGTTCTGTGAATTAATAAATGTTCATTGAGATGGGTAACAGAATTTTACAAAAAAATTGTTTTTATTCTTTACCAGTAAAATTATTAGAAAACATTGGCTTTTTAATGGATATTTTAACTGGATTTTTTAAAGTAGTGATCCTGGTTTGCATATGAAGGGAGTAAGGAAAGATGAAAATGAAAAATGGACATCAGAAGTATCTGTGATTACACCAGGGCTTGAGAAGGCGGATTCCCTACCTTCTTGTCCAGTACAAGTGAATGATGACAGCACTTCAAGTGAAATGGATCGGGATGAAGTAAGGTAAAATCTATAAATTCTTTATTTCCCTCTGAAGGAAGTTTAGCAGTGATTACTTTTTATGGAAATAAAACGCTGTCGTGTAGGTACAGGCTAAGGCAAGAAATACTCAAGTATATCAGATACACTGCTTGAAAGGTTAAGATGAGGACAAGTGACTTTGACAAGGAGCAGTTTCAATAGTCACCATGGAAGCTGGACTGTAATGAAAAAGTATAAACAACTCCTTAGAGAATTTTTACGGGGAAAGGTAATAGAGAAATGGATGATAACTGAAAAAGAATGTGGAATTCAAGGGAATTTTCTTTCTTTTTTAATTTTAAGATGGGAGCTTTTAGAGTACATTTGTATGCTGCTGGAAATGATCCGATAGAGATAGACATGGTTATTTAATTTTGTTTGCATTTCCAAATATTAGAAAGCTTATTGATTGTATTACATTATCTTTTTTGTTTTAAGATTTTTTATTTTTTATTTGACAGAGAGAGAGTACAAGCAGGGGGAGCGGCAGGCAGAGGCAGAGGGAGAGGGAGAAGCAGGCTCCCTGCCAGCCAGCAGGGAGCCCGATGTGGGACTCGATCCCAGGATCCCGGGATCATGACCTGAGCCGAAGGCAGACGCCTAACGACTAAGCCACCCAGGCGCCCCTATTTTAAGATTTTTTTATTTGCTTGACAGAGAGAGAGAGAATGCACAAGCAAGGGGAGTGGCAGGCAGAGGGAGAGGGAGAAGCAGGCTCCCCACCGAGCAGGGAGCCTGATGTGGGACTCGATCCCAGGACCCCGGGACCATGACCTGAGCCGAAGGCAGATGCTTAATGACTGAGCCATCTAGGCTCCCCTGTATTACATTATCTTTTAAAGATTACAGTAATTGTCCTTAGTATTCCTATTCATGTAATTTTGTGGCCAGAGGTTGTTTTTTTGGTTTTGGGGGGGTTTTTTTGGATTTTATTCATTTGACAGACAGAGACATAGCGAGAGAGGAAACACAAGCAGGGGGAGTGGGAGAGGGAAAAGCAGACTCCCGCTGAACAGGGAGCCCGATGCGGGGTTCGATCCCAGGACCCTGGGACCATGACCTGAGCCAAAGGCAGTTTTTCAGAAGTGGGCGCCTGACGACTGAGCCACCCAGGTCCCTGTGGCAAGAAGTTGTTGATTCAGAATTGGTTCCCCGGTGGAGTATTCTCATATAATTGAATGTGCGGAGAGTATCATTCATAGACTTAAAAGTATATAAATGATAGTAAATATACAAACTCTTAGGCCATTCTGAGTAGAACTAATCATTCCTTGATGATTTTAGATATTCAGTGCCTTTGACAGAATCATGCATAGCTATGGTTTTGTTAGGGACTTTGAAGTATCTGGTTGCATTAAGTCAATATTTGTTTCGATTCTGGGGAAAGACTTTATTTATAATTGAAAAATAAACTATTAATCTATCATAGATTATTACTTTTAGATTATAAAGTTCTAAATGACAAAAGCCATGGTTCCTGTACCAACAGTGTCATTGACACATATTGTGTGCTCAGTAAGTATATATTTGTGAATAAACAGTTGAATAAATAGATGAATGCCATTGATGAACTTCTTCAGAAGAAGCAGATCTTTAGTTTATGGAAAGTAGATTTTCAATATTGCCTAGGTATGGAGTCTTCTTATTTTAAAAAATGTGTGTTAGATCCATAAATTATTATTTATAATTATAGCTAGAAATGGAATAATAGTAGATTCATTTGCTGTCATATTACTTGGAAACACTTAAATATTACCTTCACCACATATTGTAAAACACACGTTTTGAAGGCACATATCCTGGATTTGAATTCTGGGTCTACTCCTGACCAGCTGTATGGGCTTGGGGAAGTTAATTATTTCTGTGCCTCATTTTCTTCCTGTGTAAAATACCTAATATAATTACCCATGTTTATAAGATTGTTGTGAGGCTTAAAATACTTTTAAGATGTGTAAGGGGTTCATCATAATGCATAGTAGTTGTACAGTAAATCCTCAAAACACTAGTATCATGATTATTAAAAATGGGTTTCTTTCATATAAGAACCTAACTTGCACTTTCCCAATAGATTTTAGAGCCAATAAAAGCTTGTTTTTATTGAAAATGACAACAAAAAATGTGGTATATTTCTTCGTATCAAATAATGCCAGTAACATTATGCTTTTCCTTTGCTTTATGTCCATTTGATCTAAATTTAATGCTTAGTATTATTAATAATATTGTTTAGATATGATTTAGATATTCTTGGTATTTTAAGTATTTAATACTTGCCTGAAAAGAATTGTCTTTTTTTAGACCTGCAAAGAAAACATCTCATGAAAAGAAAGAGGTAAAAATATATGCATAATTCTATTTCATTTATTTTTTTTAATTTTGGCTTTATTATATTACTTTGATAAATAATATTTATTAGAAATATTATTCCACGGTAAAAAATTACTTTAGGAAGGGCATAGTGAAAACATAGAAAATCTTCCTTTGTTGTATAGACATTTATTGTGAAAAAGTTTTTCAGAAGTGGGCGCCTGGGTGGCTCAGTCATTAAGCGTCTGCCTTCGGCTCAGGTCATGATCCCAGAGTCCTCGGATCGAGCCCCACATTAGGCTCCCTGCTCCGCGGGAAGCCTGTTTCTCCCTCTCCCACTCCCCCTGCTTGTGTTCGCTCTCTGGCTGTCTTTCTCTCTGTCAAATAAATAAAACCTTAAAAAAAAGAAAAAAGTTTTTCAGAAGTACTAATTATTGATAAAGGTCGTTTTGATAAAAATCAGTTCTTTTAAAAAGTACCCATGTTTTTGCTCTTATAAAAAGATGGGTATTTATCATCTCTCTACACTTAGTATATTGTATGAATATTTGGGGGACATTTTGAAATAGTATTTTTTATTTGTAGGTCAAAAAGCAAATTAATTTTATGGATGACCTTGACTTAACGGAGTCATCTGGAACAGCTTCAGAGGATTCCAAGTTGCCTTGCTCTAAGTATATGAGTTGCAAGTCGCTATTTGTACAAGTTGGCCAGGATCGTAAAGGTAGGACCATTGTATAAGTAGAAAGCCTTTGTATGTATATTACTGTAGTAATATGTGCCCATCTTGTATAGTGCTGTACCACACAACACTCATGAGCTACTCATCTCAGAAATATGTTTTATATGAGAATAGAGAACTGTTGAATACTCTCAGCCAAAGGGCTATAATTTCCACTCTATGTTTTGTCATGGGAATGGCACACGTGATGTGTTGTTAACTGCGCTTCTGTTCTGTGCCTTCACCCAAGGTCAGGTTACCATTATTTTTCTCCTAGAATACTGAAATAACCTCAGGACTGTTTTCCCTGTCATTCCACCTCCCAGAATCTTGGTCTACACTGCAACCATAGTTATCATAATCTTTAAAAATTCATGTTTCATCACGTTACCCCCTTGCTTAAAGCTTCGCTATTACTTCTCATTGCTCTAAGGTGAAAGACCACAGTACTCTAGCTTCATCTTGTATTGTTTCATATCCTTCTTTTTTTTTTAATTTTTTATTTATTTGGCAGAGAGAGACCCAGTGAGAGAGGGAACACAAGCAGGGAGAGTGAGAGAGGGAGAAGCAGGCTCCCCGCGGAGCAGGGAGCCGGATGCAGGGCTCGATCCGAGGACCCAGGGATCATGACCTGAGCCGAAGGCAGATGCTTAATGACTGAGCCACCCAGGCGCCCATGTTTCATATCCTTCTTTCCATCTGTGTCTCAGCCACTGTTTTAGATGTTTTTTCCTATAATAGAGCATTTTCCCCCCCAACAGCTTTAGTTAGGTAAACTGCACATATATGAAGTGTATAATTTGATAGTTTTGACATATGTATATGCATATGAAACCATAACCATAATTCAGGCAGTTAACATATCTATCACCCATAAGTCTCATGTCTCTTTATATTCCCTTGTTACAAAACTGCCAAATTGTTTTCTAAAGTAGTACCATTTTCCATTCCCACCAGCAGTGTATGAAAGTTCTAATTTCTCCCTGTATATTCATGAACACTTAGTATTGTCAGTTTTTTAAATCTTAGCCATTCTGATGGGTATGTAATATATATATATCATTATGTTTTTTTTAATCATTATGGTTTTATTTTCTATTTTATTTTAATTTTTTATTGTTATGTTAATCCCCATACATTACATCATTAGTTTTAGATGTAGTGTTCCATGATTCATTGTTTGTGCAAAACACCGTGCTCCATGCAGAAGGTGCCCTCCTCAATACCCATCACCAGGCTAACCCATCCTCCCACCCCCCTCCCCTCTAGAACCCTCAGTTTGTTTTTCAGAGTCCATCGTCTCTCATGGTTCATCTACCCCTCCGATTTTCCCCCCTTCATTCTTCCCCTCCTATCTTCTTTTTTTTTTTTCTAAACATATATTGCATTATTTGTTTCATAGGTACAGATCTGAGATTCAACAGTCTTGCACAATTCACAGCGCTTACCAGAGCACCTACCCTCCCCGTGTCCATCACCCAGTCAGCCCATCCCTCCCCCACACCCCCCACTCCAGCAACCCTCAGTTTGTTTCCTGAGATTAAGAATTCCTCATATCAGTAAGGTCATATGATACATGTCTTTCTCTGACTGACTTATTTCGCTCAGCATAATACCCTCCAGTTCCATCCACGTCGTTGCAAATGGCAAGATCTCATTCCTTTTGATGGCTGCATAATATTCCATTGTATATATATACCACATCTTCTTTAGCCATTCATCTGTCGATGGACATCTTGGCTCTTTCCACAGTTTGGCTATTGTGGACATTGCTGCTATAAACATCGGGGTCCACGTACCCTTTCAGATCCCTACTTTTGTATCTTTGGGGTGTATACCCAGCAGTGCAATAGCTGGATTTATTATTTTCAAAATAAATTCTCTATTTTCAACTTACATCTTTTTATTTATTTATTTATTATTTATTTATTTATTTTATTTTATTTATTTATTAACATCTTTTATTTTCAACTTACATCTATTTTCAACTTACATCTCTAGGAATGCATCCATTTTCAACTTTCTGAGGAACCTCCATACTGTTTTCCAGAGCGACTGCACCAGCTTGCATTCCCACCAGCAGTGTAGGAGGGTTCCCCTTTCTCCACATCCCCGCCAACATCTGTCGTTTCCTGACTTGTTAATTTTAGCCATTCTGACTGGTGTGAGGTGGTATCTCATTGAGATTTGGATTTGGATTTCCCTGATGCCGAGCGATATTGAGCACTTTTTCATGTGTCTGTTGGCCATTTGGATGTCTTCTTTGGAAAAATGTCTGTTCATGTCTTCTGCCTATTTCTTGATTGGATTCTTTGTTCTTTGGGTGTTGAGTTTGATGAGTCCTTTATAGATTTTGGATACTAGCCCTTTATCTGATAAGTCATTTGCAAATATCTTCTCCCATTCGGTCAGTTGTCTTTTGGTTTTGTTGACTGTTTCCTTTGCTTTGCAAAAATTTTTTATCTTGATGAAGTCCCAATAGTTCATATTTGCCCTTCCTTCCCTTGCCTTTGGCGATGTTTCTAGGAAGAAGTTGCTTCGGCTGAGGTCGAAGAGGTTGCTGCCTGTGTTCTCCTTGAGGATTTTGATGGACTCCTGTCTCACATTGAGGTCTTTCAACCATTTGGAGTCTATTTTTGTGTGTGGTGTAAGGAAATGATCCAGTTTCATTCTTCTGCATGTGGCTGTCCAAGTTTCCCAACACCATTTGTTGAAGAGACTGTCTTTTTTCCATTGGACATTCTTTCCTGCTTTGTTGAAGATTAGTTGACCATAGAGTTGAGGGTCCATTTCTGGGCTCTCCACTCTGTTCCATTGATCTATGTGCCTGTTTTTGTGCCAGTACCATACTGTCTTGATGATGACAGCTTTGTAATAGAGCTGGAAGTCCGGAATTGTGATGCCACCAGCTTTGCTTTTCTTTTTCAACATTCCTCTGGCTCTTTGGGGTCTTTTCTGGTTCCATACAAATTTTAGGATGATTTGTTCCATTTCTTTGAAAAAAGTGGATGGTATTTTGATGGGGATTGCATTGAATGTGTAGATTGCTCTAGGTAGCATTGACATCTTCACAATATTTGTTCTTCCAATCCATGAGCATGGAACATTTGTCCATTTCTTTGTGTCTTCCTCAATTTCTTTCATGAGTATTTGATAGTTTTCTGAGTACCGATCCGATGCCTCTTTGGTTAGATTTATTCCTAGTTATCTTATGGTTTTGGGTGCAGTTGTAAATGGGATCGATTCCTTAATTTGTCTTTCTTCTGTCTTGTTGTTGGTGTATAGGAATGCCACTGATTTCTGTGCATTGATTTTATTTCCTGCCACTTTACTGAACTCCTGTATGAGTTCTAGCAGTTTTGGGGTGGAGTCTTTGGGGTTTTCCACATAAAGTATCCTATCATCTGCAAAGAGTGAGAGTTTGACTTTTTCTCTGCCGATTTGGATGCCTTTGATTTCTTTTTGTTGTCTGATTGCTGTGGCTAGGACTTCCAATACTATGTTGAATAGCAGTGGTGATAGTGGACATCCCTGCCGTGTTCCTGACCTTAGGGGAAAAGCTCTCAGGTTTTCCCCATTGAGAATGATATTCGCTGTAGGTTTTTCATAGATGGCTTTTATGATATTGAGGTATGTACCTTCAATGCCTCTACTCTGAAGAGTTTTGATCAAGGAAGGATGCTGTACTTTGTCAAATGCTTTTTCTGCATCTATTGAGAGGATCATATGATTTTTGTTCTTTCTTTTGTTAATGTATTGTATCACGTTGATTGATTTGCGGATGTTGAACCAACCTTGCAGCCCAGGGATAAATCCCAGTTGGTCGTGGTGAATAATCCTTTTAATGTACTGTTGGATCCTATTGGCTAGTATTTTGGTGAGAATTTTTGCATCCATGTTCATCAGGGATATTGGTCTGTAATTCTCCTTTTTGATGGGGTCTTTGTCTGGTTTTGGGATCAAGGTAATGCTGGCCTCATAAAACGAGTTTGGAAGTTTTCCTTCCATTTCTATTTTTTGGAACAGTTTCAGAAGAAAAGGTATTAATTCTTCTTGAAATGTTTGGTAGAATTCCCCTGGGAAGCCATCTGGCCCTGGGCTTTTGTTTTTTGGGAGATTTTTGATGACTGCTTCAATTTCCTTAGTGGTTGTAGGTCTGTTCAGGTTTTCTGTTTCTTCCTGGTTCAGTTTTGGTAGTTGATACATCTCTAGGAATGCCTCCATTTCTTCCAGGTTATCTAATTTGCTGGCATAGAGTTGCTCATAATATGTTCTTATAATTGTTTATATTTCTTTGATGTTGGTTGTGATCTCTCCTCTCTCATTCCTAATTTTCTTGATTTCTCTTTTCTTTTTGCTAAGTCTGGCCAGGGATTAATCAATCTTGTTAATTCTTTCAAAGAACCAGCTCCTTGTTTCGTTGATCTGTCTACTGTTCTTTTAGTTTCTATTTCATTGATTTCTGCTCTGATCTTTATTATTTCTCTTCTCCTGCTGGGTTTAGGCTTTATTTGCTATTCCTTCTCCAGCTCCTTTAGGTGTAGGGTTAGGTTGTGTACTTGAGACCTTTCTTGTTTCTTGAGAAAGGCTTGTATTGCTATATACTTTCCTCGTAGGACTGCCTTTGCTACATCCCAAAGATTTTGAATCGTTGTGTTTTCATTTTCATTGGTTTCCATGAATTTTTTAAATTCTTCTTTAATTTCCTGGTTGACCCATTCATTCTTCAGTAGGATGCTCTTTAGCCTCCATATATTTGAGTTCTTTCCAACTTTCCTCTTGTGATTGAGTTCTAGTTTCAAAGCATTGTGGTCTGAAAATAGGCAGGGAATGATCCCAATCTTTTAGTACCGGTTGAGACCTGATTTATGACCTAGGATGTGATCAATTCTGGAGAATGTTCCATGGGCACTAGAGAAGAATGTGTATTCCGTTGCTTTGGGATGGAATGTTCTGAATAGGTCTGTGAAGTCCATTGGGTCCAGTGTGTCATTTAAAGTCTT